ACTATTTAGTTAAAGATAGACTTTATTAATATCTTAATAGCTAATTTTTAGGAAAAGCTAGTTAATAAGTAATTATATTTATATCTTTATATTCTTTACTATATAAAATATACTCTACTTATAGCTTTAAAGATTATTATTATTATTTCTAAATAAGCTTTATTTTATTTATATTTTATTTTTACTTTCTATTTTTAAATTCTTCTTAGTAAAAGGTTAATCTATAGCTCCTTTTTATAATATAAGGTTTCTTTTTAAGGTTTAAGGCTCCTTTTACTTTCTTCTATAGGAGTTCCCTAAATTAAAGTATAAAAGTTAATAGTTAATAGATCCCTACTTTAATAGCTTTATAATAGTTATTCTTTTATATTTTAAAGAGGATTTTAAATCTTAGGTTTAAGTTTATTTTAAGGTCTTTAAACTATATAGCTAAATAGCTTACTTCTTATATATTTTATAGCTTTATAGTTATTATTACTTACTCTTAATTTATAATCTAATATTATTAATTTATTTTAGTACTCTTTACTTAATTTAAAGCTATATTATATACTTCTTAAGCTTATTTTCTTTTAAGCTCTTTACTTATTCTATAAGCTACTTTAAGATTTTTATAGAAAATAAAATATTCTTTATCTTTATAATCTTATTTAAAGCTAATATATAAGTTTAAAGATAATATAAGCTAACTTATTTAGTTATTTAAGTAAATATATTATAAATTATATCTATTTCTTAGTTATATTATACTAATTTAGTATAATACTTTATCTACTTAATCTTTAAATCCTCTTAATCTATTTAAAGAAGATTATTATAATAAGATATAGGGCTTTAGCCTTAAATAAAGCTTATTCTAAATATTCTAAAAGTTAATAGGATTTTTATTATATAATCTTTAAAATCTAGCTCTTTTAATTCCTTATAATATATTATATTAAATACCTTTAAGTCTTTTAATTCTACTAAATATAATACTCTTTCTATTATAGCTTTAATAATATATTTTTATTTAAAGGAATCTTAGTTATTTAAGCCCTTTAAAGTTAATAATATTATAGATATTTTTACTAGGATTTTATAATATTTATATTATTTAAAAGAGAATCCTTTTTTAAATTTAGTACTTATATATATAGTTATAGCTACCTTTAAGAAGTATAACTCTAAGACTCTTAATTATTAAACTAAAGGGTTAGGATTTTTAGAGATAATTATATATTACTTATATTTTAACCTTATTTAGATAATCTAGAGGAGTTTTATCTATAGTTATTTATATTATTACTAAAAGTAGTTAATTAAGTTATATAATATTCCTTCTTATATAATAAGGTATATTTTAGTAGAATAAGCCTTAAGCTCTTTAATTAGTAGGTCTAAATTATATAATACTTTATTTTAATACCTATTAAGTATATTCCTTAGCTCTACTTACTAGAACTATAACTATTAAAACTATACTTTAATCCCTTTATAGAACTTTAATATTTCTACTTAAATACCTCCTATTAGTAATAAGGGGTTTAAGCTATCTATAGGGGTAATTCCTCTATAGCTAGAGGTCCTTAAGGTACTAAGGCTATTTATTATAATACTTTAGTAAAGAATATAAATTATAGTAAACTAGCCTTATAATAGCTATAGATAGGTATTAACTCTTAAGTTTATATTCTTAAGGAGGAAAAGAGTAAGTTCCTTCTAGTAGCTTAGGTTCCTCCTTTTATAGTGCTATTATAGCTTAAGCTAGGGCCTAAGCTATCTATAGTTACCTTCTATTAAGCTTAGCCTAGGACCTTACTAGGCCTTAGTCTATAATAATAAGTAAAGATATTATATAAGCCTATTTATAATCTAAATTAGAATTATAGTATATAATCTATATAAGACTTTCTAAAAAGTTAAAATAAAACTACTTATAAGGAATAATAATAAGAATTATAAAGTTATTATATAAAATAGCTAAATCTAATATATATTAATATACTATATACTATAAGTACTTTATAATATATATAAAAATAATAACCTTTAATTATAACTTATACCTCTTAATTATAGAAAGTAATACTCTTAGTTTTAGGGTTATTAGGATATAAATTAATAATATACTTAAGTTATTTAATAAGGTATTTACTATAAAGGAAGAATATTAATTAAAAAAGGCTAAGTTTAAAGTAAAAGCTAGGATTTAACTTATAGAAGGGTTTAACCTTAAGTTTAATAATAGAAAAATATCTCTCTATAGTATAATTATTAAGTTTACCTAAAAAGGCTAAGCTAATATACTTTAAAAAGCTATAAAGGACTTAAATATAAAGAGCTATAAGGCTTAAAGAGTATAAAATATATAGATTATAAGTATTATATAACTAAAGGTATTATATAACCTATTTATAGTAATATAATCCTAATAGAACTTATTAAAAGAGGATATTAATAGATTAAATAAGAGACTTATATAGTAAATAAAATACTATAATTATAACTTTAACTTTATATTACTTAATATATATAACTTAAAGCTATATATCTTTATAAATAGCTCTCTTACTAATAATAAAGATATAAGCTCTTAAATTAGATTTATTATTATATTTAAAATAAAGATTAAAGTTAAAGGTTAAAAACTTATATTTTAATTAATTAGAAATATCCTATATTAATCCTCTATAAAATATAAATATATTATAAAAAGTAGCTTTATATTAGAAATCTATAATATAATAATAAGCTTTAATATAAGTATTATAATTATAAATATACTTTATATAATTACTTTAAAACTAATACTACTAAAAGTACTACTTATAATTTATATTAATTCTCTCTTACTATATAAATACTTTATTAAGCTTAATACTATAGTAAAGAAAAAGCTTATAATTAATATAATAGCTTTATACTAATTATATAAATACTATAAAATTATAAAAATAAGATAGATCTATAGAGATAATAACCTTATTAATATATTAATAAAAGTTAAGCTTAATTTAATATTTTTAAAACTTATAGAATTAAATAAACTAAAGATTAAAATATAAAGAGATATAGAAAGGCTATTTAAGTTAAATATAGCTTAGTAAATAATAAATAGATTTAACTTATATAATAATTACTTAGAAATATAATTTTAAATATATTATAAATAAATAAAATATATAAGGGGGGGGCCTTTAATTAAAGCTAATTTATTCCTTTATTTAATTAAAGCTATTTATAAATATAAAAATCTATTTAAACTATTTAATTTTTTTTTAATTTTTTTTCTATTTTTTCTATATTTAGTTTTTTAATTTATATAAAGAGGTCTAATTCCTCCCTATTTAAAATAGAAGGTTTAAAGAGTATAAAGGAATTACCTTTATCTCTCTTTATACTTATATTAAACTTATATTTATAAGGCTTCCTTAAGGTATAAGAGGTATATTACTTAAAGGTTAATTTAATAGAGTTAGGGACTATAAGCTTAATATTTAACTTATACTTAGTAATAATTAAGCTATTAAAAGTACTTTTATAAATAAGTTTATAAACCTTCTTTTAAGTTATATTTATATAGTTAATCTTAAAGTAAGCTTTAATATACTTAAGGGATTTATCCTTACCCTCTTTAGTAACTAGAAGCTTAATAAAAGCTTCTTAAGTAAAAGCTAAATTCTATACTAAGAGTAATATAATAAGAGGAGTAATAATATAAATATTATTACCTTTATTATAATATATATATTAAACTCTATTTTTATTATAATTATAATAATAACTATTACTCTTCCTAAAGGTAAGTAATTTAATATATATAGTATATATATTAATATACTTATTAAAATTAAGAGTTAGCCCTAAAAGTAAAGAATAAATAAGTTATTAATATTTATATTTAATTAAAGTAAAGCTTCTTTACCTAACTCTTTTTCTTTATAACCTTAGCTAACTCCTTCTAAGTACTTAAGAGAGTTATTATCTACTACTTTAAAGAAGTAAATAGTTAAGTAACCTTTATAAAACTTATTAAATAAAAGTATTAAACTTAATATATAAAGTTAAACTTACTCTTAGTTATAATCTTATTAATAAGAGGGGATAATATATAAGGTATAAATATTATAAAAGGTACCTCTATATATAGTTAGCTTTAAAACTTATAATATAAAAGTAATTATATATAAAAGAGAGGATATTTAATATATTTAAACTATACTATAAGTATTAGCTATAAAACCTTATCTTAAAATATATAGATCTCTATATATAAAATAAGGGAAAGAGAAAGATAATTATTTTATATATAATTAATTATAAAACTTTATTTTAAAAGGGTAAAGATTATTATAAGAATATATATATAATACTAAAATAGCTATATAGAAGAAGGAAAAAAGAAATATAATAATAATATAGAATAAAGATTATTATAAGTAGGGTATATATTTATAATTACTTATTACTAAAATAACTTATTAAAATATAATAATAAGGTAATTAAATAATAAAGTATATATAATCTATAATAAGATATATAATATAATAATATATATATATAAGGGAATAATATAATACTTAAGATATACCTTTTTAATAAAGGTAAAAGGATTTAGAATTATATATTTTTATTTTATATATATAAAGAGGTAGAAGGATAGCTAAGATAGTTAGGACTATCTATATAGAGTAAGAAAATAAAAGACTACTTATATTAATATATTAATTACCTATATAGGGGGTTATTAATTAAAGGCTAATTATAGAGCTATTAGCTTAGTTATAATTACTCTAGAACTAGGTATATAACTAGCCTAGCTCTATAGCCTAGGATAGTAATAACTAACTATAACTAATATAACCTATCTACCCTTATATATAAGCTTAGGAAACGCCTTCTAATAAGTATAAAATAAATTAAGTTATATCAAGTGAATGGGAGAGAGAGTTCGAGTGTAAAGTCAAACAAACAACAATATAAGATGCCAGACCCGACATCCAAACACAATGAATAATCAAGTGAACATGTTGACCACAGGAGAAGATTCAAGAGCCTCCTTGAGGATTGCCACATCCTTCCTAACCCGCTCCTGCAGCCAACGGTCAGCCTTCTCAACCAGCATCTCCCACGACCCCCTCTCAGCGTTAAACTTCCTACTCAGGAAAGAAATCACGCAAACAGTCGCGATAATCTCGTCCTTTTGCGCGTGGTTGACGACTGAATCAGGTAGATGCAGGCGTAGCAAATGAGCGCTGGAGATACCTAAAACTCTTTCCAAGTTGTGGTCCAAAATCCAGGAACCCGCAAATGTCTGCAGCGAGATGAGGCTATGCAGGCGACCGAGAGCTCTAGTATCAAGACCGTGAATGCCCGGGGAGGCCTGCACGGCGGCCGGGCTCACGAACGCAGGAGCTGGAGCGACTCTCTGGGGCGGCTCGTGCACCATCTCTTCAGTGGTGGTGAAGGCTGCGGTAAAATCAAAAGATTCGCCATTGCCACTTCCGTCATCAAGGAATGAATCAAAGTCAAAGTCGTTCAAGACGTCGCCAGAGTGCAAGGCTCCGGACGTGCCCAAGGGAGTTCCAAAGTCAGGGGGGAAGCTGGCCATAGTAGGGACGACCGCGCCTGGCAAATTGTTCGACGAGGGGACGGAGAAGCTGACATTTTGGTGAGACACATTGCCAACGTCATGGTCGTGCTCTTGCCGTGCCATCATGAGTCTCTTCTTGTTTTGTTGCTCGAGCAGCATGATTTGGGATTGGTAATCAGGCAGTGAGGCAGCGTGCGCCCGTGGGACCTGGTCAACGTTTTGACGTGTATATGCCGTTCTCGAAAGGTTGGTTTGAGTGCTGTCTAGTTGATTATCGGGGGTCCCTGGAGTCGTGGAGGCGGGCTCCTCGACAGCGACAAATGAGCAGTGTTTGCCTGCAACCTGGAATTGTACTCCGAGCCTGACTGCTTCACGCTCAACCATGTCAGAAAACCTGCTTTCAAATTTATCTCTCAAGTACCTCCCATCATTATCCACTGCGTTAAAGAGCCATCCGCGACCCTCCTCAAGGTCTTTAGTCTGGTTCCGAGCTGCCAGCTGGTGAATGGTGGTTGACTTTTCGGGAAGTTGCTTGATAGGTATTTCCAGCTCTAGGATCGTGTCTTGGAACGCGCCTTTGAGGAGGACTGACTTTGGGGTCTTCTCGGGTGTCGCATCTGAAAGTAGAACATAGACAGTAGTCCTCATAAATGGGTAGAGTTGTGGAATCTGGGTAGGAGTCTGAAGGTAACGAGGGGCCTGCACGGTCAACAACTCGTCATGCTTGGCCCTTTTTGCGTCTCGGCCGCTCTCAGTGATGCCTATATCCACAGTTGGGTCGTAAAGCGAGATACTTTGTTGCTGAGAGGTCTTTCCTGGTACTGTCTCTTTTTCAGAATTTGTATCAAGATGAAGCGAGTCCACGACTCGTTCAATGAATTCGAAGTCGTCCTCTTCTTCAAGAGAATCGTCAGATGGCCCATACTTGATCTCGAGGGTATACTCATTTATATGCGGAAGAAGGGCACCTCTCAGCATTCTGACAACCTTGTCGTCAATTCTTTCGTTGTCTGAAACCATCTGCGCAAACCCATTTCCTACTCTCGCCACACCTTCGACCAGTGCTGAGCTGGCACCATGTCCTATGCCGAGACTGAAAACGCGGACCCTGCCTCGAGTTGACGCCACCTGATCATTGATCAATTTGAACAGGGCTTCTTGGTTCCATATTTCGCCATCTGTTAACAGGAAAACTTCAAGATTGAGGTCCTTGTAGGCATTCTTGAAGGCACCATCCATCGCCGAATAAATTTCAGTGCCACCATAATCGGCCCTGAATGTATTGATATGAGTAACAGCTTCTTCAAGCGCTTCTTGGTCGTATTTTCTTGACCTTGGCCACAGAGAGGTATACGAACTACCAAAACTGTAAATGTTGAATTTAACACCGACCGGTAAGGATTTGAGGAAAGTAGTTAATGCAACAACAAGATTTCTGATCTTCATCCCCATGCTGCCACTCCGATCGCACAAGAATACGATTTCCGGCAGCTCTGATACTGGCATGTTGAACTTTGGCACCAGAGTGGCCATGAGAGCCCGCTGATTGGGAATCGTGGGGTGTACTTCCAGAAACGCCGTTGGCTCCATTAGCCCCTTGGCCGAGACTTCAATGACGAAGTCATGGTCTAGAGTAGAGTTTGTCTGGTGCAGCACGGCGGATGCCTTATTAAGTGAGCGCTCCGACGAAGCTGCGGCCGTGGACAGGGCGCCAATGGTGACAACAACTGGATGGGAGGGTGACGCGAGCGACTCGATGAAGGACCCTCCGGGCATTTCGACATCGACTGTCATCGATATGCCTTCTTCTCTGGGGTGCATCCCATTAGTCGTCAAGCCCGAAGATCCATATCGTGGGGCGACACGAGTCGGGATAGTCAGGCGAACTTGGTCGGTCTGTGCATCATGCTTCAGCTCGCCGATATAGACAATTTCGACAACCACTTTCCCACCAGCGGGCACATTGCCGATAGTGGTGGTAAAAACATCCGAGGCTTGAAAGGATTGTTCTACGAGGCCAGCGACTCTCCCCTCCTCTTTCGCCTGGGTATAGTCTCGCCTGGCCTGCTGCCGCTCCTTGACAACGCCCTTGATAATGCGGTCGGCCACGGTGCAAGTGAAGCTGATCACGGAGACACCGTCATAGAGGGGAAAGACGTAACTGATCTCGTCAATTGGGATTTCCGAGGAAGGATTAACAAATTGCTGGGTCAAATGTGTCCTTGATGTGATATCAAAAATAGTCGTGTGGATATCTGTTTTGACCTGCGGAAGATATCTTGGACGACCATCGACCACGACGACGCAGCCAGATTGAGACATTGGTTGCCACTGCATGGTTCAGGTGGAAAAGGTAAGTACTGTGATGGAGAAAATAAAGTAGGGTCTTCTGAGTAGCTCTGGGCTCTTGCAATTGGCCAATTACACTGCCAATTCGGGAGTTCTTGATCAATTTTATATGCACTATCAGTTGGTTGAAGCACTCCGTTTGGATGCCGAGTCTAGGCCCTCCGAGATTCGGTATGATTCGAGGATACGGAGGATGACCATCCCATTTTTGAGGGGTAATCGACGTAATGTGACATGATCCGGCACCTATGATGATGCTTCGCCGCGCCAAGCCTTCTGCCTTGCGAGGCTTCCGAGCTGCCTCGCAATAGGTCGCACCATTAATCTCTGTCGACGTGTTCCGGATGACTTCTTCTCTTACTAAAGTGCCCGGAATATTACCAATACGACGAGCGAGATCGGAATCAGAGGCAGGAAAACACTATCATGAAGGCGCAATACGCCGGAATCAACTGAAATTGATTCGTAATTCTAAGCTATGACTAAGTCCGACTAGCTGTAAATAGTACTTGGCTATCAAACCAATCACCACACCTTCAATATGGTCTGGTGTATGGTACCGTGATCTCAAAGAGTTTATGAGGATGCAGATTCTAGACTTCAGGGTAACCTGCTAACTACGACGTTGCAGCAATGCACAACCCTAAATTTGACATGTGAGAGAGGGGAGGCGGTGTGTGATCAATGGTTCTAAGGACGGCGATCACTTCAGATTGTCTTGGCGCTGTGCTAGTCACTGCTAACGTGCGAGCACTTTAATGAAGCGGTAGCGATTGTTATTTACTGATAACTATCTAAGAAAACGTTTCGAGCTATGAGATGAATATGTATGTATATGCTAGGGATTACTGAGGCTCACCGGTGAGCGTAAGTAAGTTGTTGGGGATTGGCTTGAAGGAAAGAACGGGCGGGTACCACGTGACGGTGTCCCAGGTCATTTTGTTTCGGAACACAGCGCCCCGAGAGGCAGCCAACCCATTTCCCATCATCAACTCACCTCGTCGCAAATTTGAACTCGCAATATTTGGAATGAAGGAAACGATTACTCCAGAAATGGAATCTGACTGTTGTGGTCCACCGGTCCCGGCTCTCGAGCCTGCTCCTGCGCTACCCGCAACTGAGGAGGGCGCCTGCCAGAGTGGTTGCTGCGGACGCCAGAATGTCGAGACTCTCGCCGCCGAACCTCCAATCCAGAAAGTGCCAGATGAAGAGAAGATTGAGGATGATTGCTGTGGCGCCGGAAAATGTGCCAATGACGTGGCCAAGGAAGATTCCGACGCGCCTGATTGCTGCCGCGGCAAAGCCAATCCATGCTGCGACACGTCTTGCCTCGACCGGCTGGCGCTGCGCGAGTGCGGTATGAGTGCTGCGGGAAGCTCTGAATCGATCGGTAAGATGAGGTGTGAGATTCTTTGACGCGATGTCCTGGTTGCTAATTCGATACAGCCTGTTGTAACACTACTGAGGGCGAGGCTTGCAGCGAGCACACTCTCTCGGCATTGGACCGTTATGGCGCGACGCTGCGGGCTCTGGGGTGCCTCTGCCGGACCCTTATTGCTCTTGGCCAGGAAACCTGCTGCGAAATACGCGAGCGACACTCACTCGACGGCAACCAGCCCTCTAAGAAACCGTCTGTTGGCTCCGTTCGCACCTCGCTGGATTCTGGCCACAGTAGTGGCTCCGTCACGAAGAATCAAGCTGCGGAAAATAGCCTGCGTCTGCGAAAGGGCTTCAAAGAAAGCGTCCAATCCGTCAAGGTTTCTCCTGTAGGGGATGCCTGTGGTGGCTCCTGTTGCTCGAAGGAGAAGCCTGCTCTCGCCCCTTCGCTTAGGAGCAAAGGTCCGACGACCTGCTGCTCTGAGGGGAAGGGAGGAGGATCTCCACCGAACGGCAAGGATGGAAATGATTGCTGTGCAAAGGCAGATATCCTACCCTCGGGAGCCCAAGCCGGATCTGAAGGGCTCTGTTGTACGGACAAACAGGCTGCCAATATCGGCCCGACGGGCGGCGAGACTGGGTGTTCCGGCTCGTGCTGCTCTTCTGCAGAGCCTAGTAAGCAGGCGGCTTCGCAGTCTGAAAGCCCGGGCTGTTGCTCGGAGGATATTTCTCCTGGAAAGTCTCCTGTTAAGACTAGTTGTGTTGACTCTTGCTGCGCTTCCAAAGCGCCAGACAAGCAAGTGGTTTCCCATGCTGAACGCCCGGCCTGTGGCTCGGAGACTATTTCTCCCGGAAAGCCTTCTCTTGAGATTGGTTGTTCCGGCTCTTGCTGCCGTGGAGACAACGGCATCGGGGTAAATGACACCAAGCGCACATCCGTTGACTCGTGCTGCGCTGATAAGCCAGTGGGCCGCCGCTCAGGGTCTTGCGCTGATGCTTGCTGCTCTTCAACTGCCCCTGATGCCCGCCTAGGTATTGAAAAGGGCCCAATTGAGGCCGTAAGTGACATTGAGAATCAAGGCACTGGAAACGAACGAGTGGTTTTGAGCATTTCGGGCATGACTTGCACCGGGTGCGAGACAAAATTGAACCGAACCCTCGCTACTGTTCCTGCCGTGAAAAACCTGAAAACCAGCCTGGTTCTCTCTCGAGCTGAGTTCCACATTGACCTTCGGCTTGGATCTGTTGAAGAAGTCATGAAACATCTGGAACGAACAACAGAATTCAAGTGCGAAAGGATTCAGAGCCAGGGATCCAGTCTTGATTTCATCATTTCGAATGATCAATTTCAATCGATTAGTAGTGAAAAGTGGCCAGATGGTGTTACCGACATTGCGCTTGTTGGCAAACAGACCGCACGAGTTACATTTGACCCGAAGATAGTCGGAGCTCGTGACCTTGCCGAGAAGGTTTGGCGTTTGCCAACAGAATTGGCTCCTCTACGTGCTGACCCGTCGCTAGAAGCTGGTAGCAAGCATGTCCGACATGTTGGGTACATGACACTTCTCTCCGCCGTGTTGACAATTCCTGTGTTGGTCATGGCGTGGGCCCCCCTCCCCGAAAACGAAGTCGCATATTCCTCGGCTTCGATGGCACTGGCGACGATTGTTCAATTCGTCATCGCGGGACCGTTTTACCCCAAGGCTCTTAAGGCTCTAGTCTTCTCCAAGGTTATAGAGATGGATCTCCTGATTGTCCTAAGCACCAGCGCTGCCTACATCTTCTCCGTGGTCTCCTTCGGGTACCTGATTGCCGGAAGCCCCCTCTCCACCGGCCAGTTCTTTGAAACGAGCACTCTGCTGGTTACACTGATTATGCTTGGTCGATGGGTTGCTGCTCTGGCTCGCCAGAGAGCTGTCGAGACTATTTCTGTCCGATCACTTCAGCCATCGAAAGCCATCCTCATAGACGAAGAGAACGGCACAGAACTTGAAATTGACGCTCGGCTTCTTCAGTATGGCGATATTTTCAAGGTTCTGCCTGACACCAGAATCCCCACGGATGGCACCGTCATCAGGGGTTCATCTGAGGTTGACGAGTCGATGCTCACAGGTGAATCGAGGCCAGTTGAGAAGTTTCCGAAATCAGGAGTCATTGCAGGTTCCATTAATGGATCTGGAGTCATGATTGTTCGGCTGGGCCGCTTGCCTAGCGACAACACTATCAACACGATTGCTGCGATGGTTGACGAGGCTAAACTATCCAAGCCCAAGCTGCAAGATCTCGCAGACAAGGTAGCATCCTACTTCGTCCCAGTGGTTGTGGCTTTGACTATTATTACTTTCGTTATCTGGGTTGCGGTGGGTATGACGATTCGTGGGTATAATGGCTCTGAAGCCACGATCGAGGCAATAACGTATGCCATTACTGTCCTCATCGTGTCATGCCCTTGCGCCATTGGGCTGGCTGTTCCCATGGTTATTGTCATCGCAAGTGGAGTCGCAGCGGAGAGGGGCGTCGTGTTCAAGTCTGCAGATGCTATTGAAGTCGCTCACAAGACGTCGCATGTCGTGTTTGACAAGACTGGGACTTTGACCCGAGGAAAGCTTTCTGTTGTCGAAACTCATTGTAACAGCCAGGACAAACTTCCATTTCTTCTGGGTCTCATCGAGAATAGCCGACATCCAGTCTCGGTTGCTGTAAGCGCTCATCTAAACGATGCAGGACTCATCGCCTCGCCTGTCCCCGAGCCCAAGAGCCTTACAGGCAAGGGTGTCGAAAGCACTCTGAATGGCCAGAAACTTCAAGCAGGCAATTCTCGTTGGCTTAATCTTTCCGATCATGAACATGTTGAATCGATGCTTGCTCGTGGGTATACTGTTTTCTGCTTCGCCATTGACGGCGTGTTGGTTGCAGTCTATGGTCTGGAAGATGAGCTGCGGTCTGATGCTGCGGACACACTTGAGGCCCTTGAGAAAATTGGCGTGGCAATTCATTTAGTTTCTGGCGATGATGACGGCGCTGTTCAAAATTTGGCGGCCAAGCTCGGAATTCCTGCCAATAATGTTCGTGCTCGCAGCTCGCCCGCTGACAAGAGAGACTACATCCAGGCGCTTCTTGACACCAATGTGGGTGGGAAGAAGCCTATCGTAGTGTTCTGCGGCGACGGGACAAACGACGCTGTTGCTCTGGCACAAGCTACGATTGGCGTTCACATGAACGAGGGGACAGACATCGCGCAATCTGCGGCAGATGTCGTCCTCATGCGACCCGCCCTTTCTGGCATCCTCGTCATGATTAACGCCAGCCGGAAGTCTGTCAACCGCATCAAGTTCAACTTTGGATGGAGCTTTGTGTACAACACCTTCGCCGTCCTTCTGGCTGCCGGGGCTTTTGTCAATGCGAGGATCCCACCAGAATTTGCGGGACTTGGAGAGCTGGTGAGCGTCTTGCCTGTCATCGCTGCCGCTGTTCTTCTCCGCTGGTCAGCCATCTAAGGCAAGTCGTCCTTGCAACTAAACAATCAACCACGGCAATGATTCCACCAACATTCCCTACCTTTGGGTAGGGACAATCATTGCTTCAGATGATTCCGAACTTGAATTGATCCTGTAGAATACTACAATCCTGTCGCTATCGCCAACCTGCTTTAAGAGGGCTGAGACTTCCCCCGGGAAGCCTTACTCTATTCTTTTACTCCTTTTCCCCATTCCTTGAGAAGGATCTCTGCTGCAATATGTTGCCTGCCTTTGTAACTCGATAAGAACTCTACATAGTCTGCTCAACGATATTGAACATACGCTCATTTGACTGCAACATTTTTGCACATCCTCTGCAAATACCAAATGTGATTCGTTTCCGGCATTCCTTTTGTTACGTAGCTTCAACATCATTAAACCTACTCGAAGCAGTTATGTACCCTTCATATTCAGCCCTGTCTCCAAGCTTAGGTGCCCTAATGCAAGCGAAATAAAAATGTGGACTTCATGGGATTCCGGCTCCAAGAGTGAGCAATATACCCTTTTTAAGATCCTTGCACCCATTAAAATCCATTCAATCTTAGCATGAGTAAGAGTTGAGAAATCGGATGTGCTTCTCCTCGGATTCAAAGCCGAGAAAACTTGATTGTGGCAGGCCATTGGGGTGTACTTGAAGCAACGGTTTAGGAAACGGGTATGATACTCCGTACAAAATAATGCTTAAGTAAAGCTGACAATTTCCTTTTTATAGACACATACTCCTCACTTCCGAAAGTAAATCTGATAGTCTTATGGCGATCTTTCGTTAGCAGATGATTACTCCTCACTCCCGATGCATTATGCGCATTTCCTGCCGATTCCGAAGGAGACTCGGTTATCTCATAGTTCAAATTAGGACTAGGCCAATTGCGGATTGTTTCGAGGGCCAGTGATGATGGACGGATATGTCATGACATCTACCAACAACAAATGGCGATTCCGTTTTGGAGGTCGTATCGTGTGGTTGCACCGGGCTTCCTTCTGGATGCATACCACTTGCGAATCTCCAACTGAGCTGGCAGGGAGGAGCAGCATAATGCAGTTGACGCATGGACACGGATATATAAATGCTAGGCCACATCCGCGATAATTTCAATTCCATGCCCGATCCACAGTATCAGATCTGTGGAGAAAATTTCACACCGCGCGTCTCAGATATCAACGTCTGAACAAGACAAGCAGGTGCTGACGTATGCCCTCGCATATATAGACGGACTAGGCCTGCATTTTCCACCAAAGATAATCCGAATTGCAGCAATGGCACTCCTTCATCTCCTCACCTCGCCGTGGCTCGCCGTGGCTGGCCTTGTGTCGCTGCTGGGCTACTTCTTCATCCTCCCGTACTTCACCACCAATGCGGCCCTGCGCGGCATCCCAGGCCCTTCAATTGCCCCCTTCACGAATCTGTGGCTGCTGTGGACCTGTCGCCGGGGCAAGCGGTATGCCATTGTCCACGAGACTCACAAGAAGCTTGGTCCGATTGTCCGCATTGCACCGAACCACGTCAGCGTCGCCGATGCGGATGCTGTGAATACCATTTATGGCCACGGCAATGGCTTTCTCAAAGCGTGAGTGAATTGCATCTGGTGTATATATCCAACTGGCCACGTCGAGATGCTAACATTGCGACCAGCGATTTCTACGACGCCTTTGTCTCCATCCGCCGAGGCCTCTTCAACACCAGAGACCGCGCTGAGCATACCAGGAAGCGCAAGCTCGTGTCGCACATCTTTGCTCCCAAGTCTGTGGTTGAATTCGAGCCGTATGTGCGCCAGAATCTCGAGGAATTCACCCGGCAATGGGACGCTCGGATAAAGAACACTTCTCAGCGAGATGGCTCAGCGCATCTTGACTGTCTGTCATGGTGTAAGTTGAGTAGTGCCTCCAGAAAATAAAACCTGTGTTACTGATGGTATTACTCGTATTCAGTCAATTATCTCGCCTTTGATACCATCGCCGACCTGGCTTTTGGTAAGCCATTTGGTAAGTTACTCCTCCCTCTCTCAGCTGCGTGAATAATTCTAATAAATGCTGCCGTATCTAGGAATGCTATCTAGCGGAGCAGATATCGCTGAAGTACGCACATCTCCCACTGGCCCATCGATCTATGCACCTGCTGTCGAGATCATCAACCGCAGAGGCGAAGTGTCTGCCACATTGGGCTGCCTGCCTTGGCTCAAACCCTACGCTCGCTGGCTGCCGGACCCCTTCTTCTACAAGGGCCTGGAGGCCGTCGAACGACTCGCGGGAATAGCAGTTGCTCGTGTCTCTGACCGCCTTCAAAACCCGCCTGATATCGATCGTCAAGACCTCCTGGCGCGATTGATCAAGGGAAAGGATGACAATGGCGAGCCTCTTGGTAGAGAAGAGCTGACTGCCGAGGCTCTGACCCAGCTCATTGCCGGAAGCGACACCACGTCCAATTCTTCATGCGCATTGCTATACCATGTTGTCAGGACGCCCGGCGTACTCCAGAAGCTCCAACAGGAGATTGACCAAGTTGTATCGGATGATGTGGAAGTTCCTTCATTTGATCAGGTCAAGAATCTCCCGTACCTAGAGCAGGTGATCGATGAGACGCTAAGGCACCACTCAACATCCGGCATTGGGTTGCCTCGCCAGGTCCCTCCTCAGTCGCCCGGTGTCCACATCCAAGGCCATTATTTCGGTCCAGGTACCGTCTTGAGCGTCCCGGCGTACACTATCCACCATTCCAAGGAGATTTGGGGTCCCGATGCCGATGATTTCAATCCGGGCAGATGGGAAAACCCAACCGCAGACCAGAAGAAGGCCTTTATTCCCTTTAGCCACGGGCCTAGGTCTTGTGTTGGGCGGAATCTGGCCGAAGTGCAAATGAAACTCATTGCTGCCACATGGGTCAAGAGATACAATGTTGAGTTGGGGCAGGAAATCATGGAGACACGGGAGGGGTTCTTGAGGAAACCTCTTGGGTTGAAGATTAAGATCACGAGAAGATGATCATGTCATTATCTACTCATCACTTTATTGTACTTGGCTATATACGAAGCAATATATCCCCTCTCCCGCCTAGTTGTGTTTGTAAGTTGGCAAATTCACCAATATGAACACTGATCTCGCTACCGTAGGCGAGAATATCCAGGCAAGCAATGTATAGACGCATCCCAAGAGCATCCACTCTCCTAATCAACACCAGACTTGAAATTCTCACCTCCAGACTCCTTGTCTATCTGCATACTGGCATCCAATCCACATACCCTAAAAAGCTCCTGTGGTGTCATCTCCTTCGCCTTGTCTGGCATTGATCCCGTAGCCTTGAGATGCTCCAACCCAGCCTTCATAGCATCATAAGCCGGGACAATAGCAGCGAATGGAACAATCATAATCTTAAACCCTGTTTCTTTGGCCTCTGCGGCAGTAAAGGACGGGGTGGCCCCGGACTCTACCATGTTGAGAAGCGCCGGCATCGGGGCCACGGCTTTGATCATCTGCGCCGCCTGCTCCTTTGACGTCAACCCTTCCAAGAAAGCCACATCTGCGCCAGCTTCGTAGGCGCCCTTGAGTCGTTCAATCGCCTCGTCGTATCCATGAGTCTGGAGAGCATCCGTCCTGGCGATGATGACGATGTCGCTCCCGATCCTGTTCCTGGCATTCACGGCGGCGCGGATACGACTGAGGTAGACGTCCCGGCTCACAACCTCCTTCCCTCCAAGATGGCCACACCGTTTCGTCTGGACCTGGTCCTCGATATGCAACCCGGCCACGCCAGATCGCGAGTACTGCTCCACGGTTCGGGATACCATAATGGGACCGCCATATCCGGTATCTGCGTCGGCAATAAGAGGGACGGGGCCGTCTGCTGTTGCGTACTGTGGGAGGGCTCCCAAATCGGCAATCATCTCGGCGTGGTTGCGCATGTGCGTCTGGGTCATCATTCCGAGGTCGGCGTGGCCCAGAACCGAGGCACTGCTTCCTGCTCCTGTCTACAAGCAGCCAAAAACTGGTCAGCTGTGGAAGTAGAGTAAAGAATGCAAAGCGAGATTTTCATGCCATGTAGATGCCGTCAAATCCGACATTCAAAGCGACTCGCGCTGAGAATCCATCGTATACTCCGGGACATAGTATGAACGAGTTGGGATCCTCGATGATCCGTCGTAGCTTCGTGGCAGCGGCCATTTGTTTTCGCTATTCCATGCAAGTAGGTGGGGTTGAGAGAGTTTAAAGATGTAAACTATCCTAAAGGCCTCGACTCTGTAAGAATTATCCCGATGAGAAATATAAATATACTTTTCGTCTTGTCTTAGTTAAGCAGAGTGAGGGGTTTGGTGAGTTTTTCGTCTCTCCATCCTCGGGTGACATCGTCCGCAAGTTCAGGCAAAAGTCGAAGCCAAAACAATTCGATAACTGCCTAGGTTGGGCGATCTACCTTGCCACCCGTGTTATCCCCGGTGTGTCAAGTAATGGAGATATCCCCAGCCAACTACCTACTTATAAATGTTGCATCGATGTCGGTGATCACATGTATTGGGGAGAGGGCAATGCTGAGCAAGCTCTTTTTAAGACTGATTCTATATAGCTCATTGAAAATGCCTTGTATGGCTTAACTAAAGCTTGCTCTAGAGGTTTAGGTCAGACTAGTCAATAATCGAATCCAAGGCTGTGAAGGCGATTAGTGTGTCAAAGTTTCTCCATAGAAGACACTAAGCTCTTTGATCCGTTCAATTGCCTGAATTCGAGTCTCTCGGACAATATCTCCGGCGGGTTGAAGCTTGTCTACCAACCCAACTCCGGTTCCACTGCGCAATAATTTAGCAAGAGGTCTGAATAAGACATACGAAACCAAACTTACGACCAGAAAACGTTTCTAGACTTATCTCCTGATTCTTGTGCTTCTTTTAGCTTAGCGATGTTTTGAGATAGCGGAATTCCAGCTCTTTCGTCAATAATCGATGGCCCCAATACCGCCCGTCCATCATAGAGTTTGGGCCAAATGTTATTCTCTCGAACATCATCGTGTAGGTATGACCTTTTATCAGTATTAGAATCAGCAAATTGGATCTTCAACTCACACCTGGATATACTCACTTGACAGTGCTGGATCCGCCGTCGGTGGTGCTTAGGACAACTTGTCTCATTTCCTTGGAGGTTCCAGCTTCATCGGCAACCAAGAACTAGACAATGAGCACGCATTCCTGAAATGTACGAGCCCCGGACTTACTCTAGTGCCCATGACGGCTGCTTCAGCTCCCAGAGACAGGGCAGCTGACACACCGCTACCATCCGCAATACCCCCCGCTGCGATCAAAGCCACATCTTTACCGGGGAATTCATCTCGAATGAGTTTACGGACTTCAGGCACCAGCGAGACAATGCTGGCACCCTGCGCCCATTGGTGGCCTCCTGCATCTACGTGTGATATTGGTGAATGCTCATTTGAGGTAATCGAAAGGAAAATAACCTACCGACACCCTGCGCCACGACGCCGTCGGCGCCACTCTCGATCGCATCCCGGGCCGCTGAAACAGACCCGACTTGGACCAAGACCTTGAGGTTCCAGGAGCTGCCTGCGCTGTGCAGAAGACGGATCAAGTGCTTATGCGTGGTTGAATTCGGCTCCGGGGCAAAGAGCCATATGACGACGGGCTTGTGCTTGCGGATTATCGGCAAAGCCGACTCTTCGAACTGAGCCACGGAGGGGTGGAATGTGACGAAACCGACGCCTACCGGTATAGGTTTCTCCAATGACTCATCGAGAGCTAGGAGACGACGTGCCGTTGTGAGCTGGAGTTCAAGATCTTTCAAGTCGTCGGAGTCCTTGGAGAGGACAATTCCGCCCGGGATGAAGCCTAGTATCCAGGAGTATCAGTATTGTTTTTGTGTGCCGGTTCATGGAGTGCGGAACAGCAGACCCAATCCTCCTGCTTTTGTCACCTCTGCAGCGAGGGGACCATTAGCTGCACCATGCATAGGAGCATTGAGAATAAGGGGGAAGGATACGCCTGGAAGCCACTTCTTTAAATTCGCCATGGTTACTGTTGAGGGTAATATTATCGAGATTGAGTGTGGCGAGGTTAACGTTAACGGTAGTAATATGTGGACTTGAGAAAAAAGGCGATGTGGGGAGAAGAATCATCGTTTGATGACATCCGAATGCGGAGCATCACGCAATTAACTTGACTAAAATAATCTATGCTATAGGCAGCAAGCAACATTGAGTCATACTGCAATATATATAGTGCTGCATGTATTAGATGAGGGATCGAAACACTTTGCCAGGGTTAAAAGGGTTGAACTAAAAGATTCAAGGTAGGCTTCATTAACTCTCTTCTGCGCTATAGATCGATCTCTATCTATTTTAGGGAACGGATGCTTTGTATATACTTAATGGGGACCTTTCCCTATGCTCCTTGAGAGTCGAGCATATATCGATTGTGAGGCGGTTGGGAACAAAGTATATTTAACTGTTGACATCGGGAAGCCTGTTTCGCACGCATCTACAGCCGATGGCTCGCATCCGGGTATTAAACAAAATCCATCCAAACCCGAGAGAAGGTATTCTTTTTACAATTTTGACTGCACAGGAATTGCGGCAATGACATCCACCTCAAACAGAATGTCGGGGTCTGCCGCAAGCACGCTGAGAACAGTCCCAGCAGGAGCAGCGCCTGGGAACCGACCCAAAAAGTCCGTCCTAATTTTTCGGAAGGCCACCATGTCTCGGGTCTCTGACTCTCGGTGTAAGAATAAATCGGGCACCCTTTTGCTTGATAGGCAGATAGGAGGGGGAGATACTTACGAACGTCGGTGACATAGTACCTCATGTGAACAATGTCCTTGGGGGTAGCGCCGACCTCAGCCAGAGCAATCTCGATATTTTTGAAGGTAGCAGCGACTTGCTCCTCGAATGTCGCAGCCATTGTGCCCTTGAGGTCAATGGAGCCTACCTTGCCGGCCAGGACGATGGTTTGGGCGTTGGGGTGGATGACTGCTCCATGGCTAAAGCTGAACTTGGCGAGCTTGTCGCTATGGATGCGCGTGAAGGCAGACATGTTTGCGATGGGGAAGAGTTCCTTCAAGCAAAAAGAACCAAATAATATCACGAAAAGGAGAGAGCGGGGTTTTCTTTTCCCTCTGGACTTGTTCCCTTATATACGTATACCATCCCCAGTTTCCAAGATCGCGGATCTAGTCTATTGAGACTCCACCGTAGGTCAACCCACACACGCTAATTCGGGGATATCTCCTGGGTCTCATCCGACTTACCTAGTCGGGTAGGACCCCTGGCCCGCCTTGGAGTACGGAGGACGTTGAGTAGCTGGCCGGCCCTGATGAGATACAATTGGGGTCCGATTCCAGAATTTTCGACCCTTACCGAGGTAGGTTTGAGGTTGTGATTGACAAGTATCGATAATAACTCGGATTTCTCGTCTGGATTTTAGCGCCCTACCGTCTCAGATATCTCGAAATCTCGGGAATTGGTGGAGGATGCACAATACCATTGAGTAGTAAGTGAGAGAGCAATGCAGTTTGGCAGCTGCTACTGAAGGGAAAAACAAGGAGGGGGGGATGACCGAGGGAATAGTCTTGGTAAAGTCCCGCTCGATAGGCTTAGCGACAAAATCAAGGCCCTCGGCTTGGAAGGTATACAATATCAGCGAGTGGTCTTATTCTTGACTTCAAGATCAATGAAGGGCAAGACGAGGATGGTTAAACTTTTATACCGTGGGCGTGCAGTCTACTTTGGTGGTTTTCGGAAATGCCATAAGCATGGATCAAGCACGTACAGGAGAAGAATGACACGTCGATTGAAACATAGAATGAGAGTTCTCCTCTGAGATTTGAGTGCCTGTCCTTGAGTATTTGACCTGCCAGACTCAACTTCATTCACATGCTACATGTACGCTAGGAGTGCCATACCTGTCCTTGGGCCAGATAGTTCTTATAACAAGGCGTGACCCTAGCACCTATTCAACATGAAGGTTGGTTCTTGAATATGCTCACTCTTTTCACATACCCTCAAATAATTCCTCTCTCAGTCTGAATGTATTTATCTGTTAGTTCTCAATTAAAGCCACCCAGCTGGTCATGCAGGCTCCCACGATAGTATAATTGATGCTGCATTTGTCTCGTCGGCCTCTGAATAGAGCACACGCTACATATCGTGGTCTAGCTGCTGGTGGCGATGGCCGCTTTAGTCTACTGGACTTGTCTATGATGTTCTTCAGATGAAGGCTTTCCTATACTTATTAATGCAGTGGGTAGGCAAGTATAATAAATCACAGGAGATACATATTCCTGCATGTATAGCTCCGTACCTGAAAGGAATGTGGTTCCTGGCCTCGTATTGACTACATATGATATCAGCATTTCCCCCACCACTTGTGCATCAGCGATGAGAAACTAAGCTCAATCCGTGCCGTATTCATCGAATCGACACTGCCTTTTCTAGATGTGATCCAGCAAATAGGGGCAAGTCGAATGTAGCTTCTAAGACAGATTAAGACCTCGTCGTACTGATGAGCACACCCTCGTGAGTCGTTGTGCCACCATGTTCGGTACCAAAGGCATCACACGACGATGAAAGAGAAGGAAAACACCAAGCCACGCAATTTATGACCTATAATCGACCAGTATTCATCGAGAATCTGGGGATTCGCGTAGATCCCGCCGCAGCCACTGGATTCATTGACGTCACGAGATTCGCATCTGGTGCGCTAGTCACGAACCCAAGCGGCCTGAACAACAGGCTAGGCACTCCGGCTAGAGTGTGAAGGGAAATGATTCACCACCTTGAGTTCATCCCATCACTAGTCTTCCCGTTGGTGGTGGCATGGGTTGGCCTGTCTGACACTCATCTGTCGATCTATGAGGCAACGACGCGATCGCCCACCATCTCCTCAGAGCCAGCAACGTTACCCATCACGCCATGTGGTTTCCGATTGCAGCACAATGATGGCAAGACGGCGCTGTGGTAGGTGCTATCAAGTCATGCATGCGTCCTTTTCCGTAAGTTTATGTTCTGATCAGCGTGTGTCGCGTTGCCGTGGAACATAATGCCCCCTCTCACTGCGAGGCATCGTCATCATTCTAGCGTGGCCCAAGGATATATCCCTAGCTTCGAGGTCATCGTAGAAACAGGTCCCTTGCCCATCTAACCCTTGCTCATACAACCCTTTCGCTCGATTTTGCGGCTCTTTTCCTTAAGTCTTTCCGGATAATCTATTTATATCCCTATCCTCGTTAGGAGACAAGCGGCCTGCTGGATAGTATTGCCCACCATGGCAACGCCATCAAACCCACGTTCCTCTCTGCACTCGCACACCAGCCGTCCCGATATTCCCAAGCGAGAACATCGGACCCCGGATCGTCTCCGTAATCTCCTCGTGGTGATCATCGGCGAATTCTGCGGGACCTTCATGTTTCTTCTGCTGGCTTTTATTGGTGCGCAGGCAGCTCTCGAGACCAATAATGCCACTGACCCTAGCGCTCCTCTTGAGCCTGCCACTCTGCTCTACATTGCAGCTTCCTTTGGCTGCTCCGTCGCTGTCAATGTCTGGGTTTTCTATCGTGTCACTGGAGGCATGTTCAATCCAGCTGTGAGTAGCACGTCTCAGTATACCCATTGCCACTTCGATTGTCATCTACTCACCCATTTCAGGTAACACTAGGGCTTCTCCTCGTCCGCGCAGTGTCTCCGACCAATGCAGCATGCATTATACCTACTCAAATCGTCGCCGGGATCGCGGCAGCCGCAGTCGTCGACGGTCTCCTCCCCGGACCCCTCCAAGTGACCAACAGCCTCGGACACGACATGAGCGTGGCGCAGGGATTATTCCTAGAAATGTTCCTCACTGCGCAGTTAGTGTTGACAGTATACTTCCTGGCCGTCGAGAAGCATCGAGCTACCTTCCTCGCCCCGGTCGGCATCGGTATCTCGGTCTTCATCGCACATCTTGCTGGAACGAGGTTCACAGGCACGTCGATCAACCCTGCTCGATCATTCGGACCTGCAGTCATCAGAGGGTTTCCGGGATACCACTGGATCTATTGGCTTGGGCCGGCGATGGGTGCCTTGCTCTCGTTTGGTGTCTATACGCTCATGAAGAGACTGGAGTACGACACTGCGAACCCAGGGCAGGATGCCGCGGACGAGGAGCTTGCGGCTATGGAGTCGGAGGCTAAGGCACGACCTGACGGGCAAAGTCCCAGTGCCACCAACCATCTTAATCCTATGATGTCACCTTCTGTATGAAATCTGGAGGTCAGTATTGAGGAACATCACCCGTGTCCATGGTAGGCTTGGATTCGGAGTTCGATATGGATTGGAACATTATATAAACTGGTGTTAGGATTGATTTTATTCCAATAGTCCACCGAGGGTAGTAGTGAAGGCTCAAATTAGAGCCCTATACCTTAATTTCCATAGGAAGGATACTCATTAGCCTTTTATCGAATTATTAAAATAATAACTGTTAGCGAAATGAAGAAGTATGTTGTCAACAGGAGCTTCTTGTACACTCAGATAGATGAAAAGAAGCCAATAGTGCATGCCAAAACAGCTGAGGATAAGAGGGGGATCTCGTCTCTAACTCCGGACATTGCTCTACTTGATGCTTCCAGGGCTTTAAACATCGTGTCAACCTCCCCATGGTTATTGGTTCGGAAGCCATCGTGAGAGCCAATGATTCCGCGTCATGCTGAGCTATCAAAAGCTAATTGAATGCGAATTTGAGCTTGTTCTCCACGTGGTGCGCCACAGGCAGATGTCTGATCAATTCCCCCTACAGGCTATGGGGATGACCCCTTACCTTGAGCACCCAACCTTCACGCCTCATGCCCGGTGGCACATCACATTTTCACAAGCTCGATATACAGTTTGGGAGTAGCACTCTTTCTTCAATAAAGGGGCAAGTGACGCATATATCATCTCCCAAGTGCTTAACAACCTAAGACAATAACGTGCCGCGAAAGGTTCTGTGGGCCAGAACAATACTCAGCTAGGCATCAGCTACCACCTTACATCTTATTTAAAGCTTCTCAACGCCTCAATCCCTGTTCCGCATAGCCACATGTGCTTTTTAGGGTGTCTTAACTGTCTGATTACTTCTGAATGGTTCCAACAACGGCAGGCTGCCAGTTGCTTCGAGAAGCTGTATACAGCTCCATGAAAGGCGCGGTCTGTTCGTCAAAGAGGGTGGCTTTGAGAAACACCTGCCCAGTAGTCTTACCGTCCGTGGTTTGGCTCAAAACGGGACTGGCTTAATGATCAATATCGGGAACAAATGTGTGGCAGCGAAATGATGATTTACCTTCCACATTTACCACAAAAGCGACGCTGATGTGCACATTAGTGCTGGGTGCTCTAAGACATCAAGAGATTGGAAATCTCACATCCATCGGCTTTCCGCTTGCAGTTTTGGTATCCACATAGGTCTGAAGCGCTCCCGTCGGGTCTTTGATGGTGACATCGGCTTGGTCAACCATGTAATTGATCGAGTATCCTGTGCCATACAGTGTAGGTCAGTTATCAAGGCGTTGATGGGTGCCGGAAATGGCTTCACTCACCTGCGCCAGCTCGAGCGCAGTTGGTACTATGGTCGTTAATGGGAAGGGATTCTCCATCGTTCATGTGCTATGTCAGACCTACCAATAACATGTCATGGATGAAAGTTTCTGCTCCCCAGCCTTCAACTCGACGCTCACAGCCTCACAATTGCAATGTCCGATAATCGACATGGTAAAATGCAATGTCTTCTTCAAGGTCGACAGAGGAGTGTCTACGTCGAGGGATGAATGATCAATAGTGCATAAAAAGCGACTAAGGTGCGGGGTGGAGGAAGGTGACGGACATGGAGTTTCGGAACAAGAGGAGGATTCCGGGAGACAGAGCGGGGCGCGGAATCGCTCCACCTCGTTATTAAGATTCACGTTGGTGGAGTTAAGCGGGATAACTTCTATGATCAATTTCAATTGCGCGTCTGTGAGTAACAACCAATGGGTGATTGGCGATATGACGGGTGAGACATGTGGCGTTGAGGCGCGGCGTTGAACAGCTCTGTATGGACGAGTAACCGAGTAAATGCAGGAGACGAAACTTAGAAATCAGCCCATCTATTTAGTTAGTTAGAAACAAGACAGAAGTCTCATGGGAAAATGCCAAACTTTTACCAACCGAAATCAGACATATCAGGTGTATTTATGCCGATCTATATTCATTGTGTTGAGATGTCGGGTCTGGCATCCTCTATTGTTTAACTTCATACTCGAACTCTATCCCGTATATATGCCGATATTAATAGCAAGCTATGTAGCCGTGCGCGGAGACAGCATCATGCGTCTCCTCAGGCGCGGGTACACGGCAGCCGAGAGGCTTAGTTCTCTCCTGCGATGAGTGAAGAGGGGATACCTAGCTACGATATTTGATATTAATACGATTGAGTGGTGAAGATGGTCATCCACGGATAAGACACACATTTCGGGTATTGGCACTTGTCTCGTCGGCGCACTGTCCATGACACAGAAGGGAGACAATGGGGCCCACGAGCCGTCAGGTCTGACATAGGATGCATATAGTGGCGTAGCTGAATGGTGGATGTTTCTTACCGCATATCAGAGAGACCTATCCCAATACCCTGAATATCTTACTGTGATTCAAAGGGGCTTATTAATTAGGATAGCTCCCCGCATTCAGCTCCTACATTGAAGATAGTTATGGAGATCCCTTCTGGTTACGTTGTGGCAATATGGAGCCGCAGTCATATAATAGGACGGAATGATCCGTGATTATGCACGGCGCTCCCGTGGTAGGGTTACTAGGTTATGTCGATCCAACGTTGATCTGCAATTATCCAATCAATAAGACTACCTCTATACTTCACGAGAGTTTACGGGCCTTCTCGGGTGACACCTGCATATATTGCTTGTCTCATGCTCGGGCATTCCGAAATATCTACCGGACGAAACATGGACTTTTGACCTCATGGGACCGTCTGGTCTGATTGGCCTTTTGGTCATGTAATATTTCACGTGCGAATAGGTTAGATATGTATTATAAGACGTGCGGCTATTCTTAAGAGCCTGTTATGTCCCTAGTCCAGGCTTAATGTTTTGTTTAGCGGAATACTTTGTCACTCCCGAGTCCGAGTTCGGGGATTAAGTACATGACTGTCTCGGATAATACTACTATATGTCTAATGTTTTATTGCTGTGGTATTGATAATGTTCCTATTGGCTTACTACCCTAATTGTCTTGACAGAGTGGCCACATGCTACTCATCAAACGACCAAGTCGGTAGATGATCATCAACGCGTAGGAGCTGAGGGTTGCAGCCACGGTTTGGTCAGAAGTTCTACGAAGCCAATGAGCTATGTTGTTCTGGCGTCATATGTATGGGAATGTCATTTTAGAATATCAGACATGCATCATATGCTGTAAAATCATAATATACCTCCTCAACAAAAGTACCCTACTTTGCAAAAGGGTCAAGTACTTCTGGCCCTCACATTCAATTCATCGAGCGATGCTCAGCTAATATTGAAATGGTGTGCTCGGTTGACAAGCTGTCAGCCCACGACGAAAACGCATATAAAGGTGCGATGGCCTTCCTTGATATATGTTGGGAAAATCTTTACACGCACAAGACTGCAACCACTGGAATATCATCCATTTGATCCTACAAAACCTGTTCTCCAAAATGCAGTACTCCGTCATAAAGCAAGCTCTCGAAGGGGTCAAGAAGCCGATGAATCTGGAGCCGCCCCTCCCCGGCACAAAGAAATGGACACTCACCTTCCCCCCGGGCACCGACCCTAAAGTCAGCGCTGGCCTCTCCTTCGCGTACCTGGGCGCGGGGACGAATAAGATGGTGTTCCGCGTCTACCAGAACACCCAACCCACCACTTGGGTTCTCGGCATGCAGCACAACCCCAAGTCGTCCACAGGGGCGAAGGACATCAAAGACGAGATTTCCATCCTCAATCGCCTAGCCCATGACGGCGTCTCCGTCCCTCAGCCCTTCAGCCCCTCTACAGTAGAGGCCGACGTTTTGATCAACTTTGAGCTCGACAACTACGACAGTGGCGACGTCGGTAAGGTGTGCGGCTTCCCGGAGGAGTATTTCGATTTGCGCACCCCTGAGCACCCTGCCGGTCTCTACCTGGAGATGAACAAGAACGCCGGTGATCTGAAGAACTGGCTTAAAGCGAAAGTTTTGGATGCCTTCCGCCCCAATAAGACCCAGTTCGAGAACCTGCGCACCTCGTTTGGGAAGATGAAGGCCTCATGGGATAAAAAGTATTGGGGCGATTTCCAGGTCATCTATGATATTAACGGTGGCCGCCTTATTGTCTTTGACCCGAACAATGAGACCACGAACCACAAGGCCACGGACGAAATCCTGCGTCAGTGGCAGGATGATATCAACCATTATACGACTTCTCATTTCGACGCCATTCCTAACTAAGGCGCCGATGCTCACGCCAGCACCGCTCCTCGTCCTAGGATGCGAGGGTGGGTTATTTTGGGATTTACTTTCTTTTCTTGGTTTTGAAATATGTGGTGAGATCTGTGATGACTGAAGTGGTTAATATAAATTCTTCGTGTGATTCATCTTTCACTACTAAGCACTGTTATATTCGTTGCTCACTGGGAATAAAGAAACTAAAGTTAATGGCCCATCCTGAATAGACGGATCATAAGAAAAGGAACATTCCATCAATTAATTACGCTCCCCTAGAGAAGAATCGCTTCCTTACGTAGCCTCCATCGGATGCCATGTTTCGGCTACCCAGATGTAGTTGAGTTTTCTGTTGCGTGCATCAGCAATAAACAGTACATGTTCCTGTAGTTAGGGTGAAAGCCGCCAGGAAAGATTCTAATGGCTATTAAGTAGTACACTCCGCGAAGCATGCTCAATGTCACCGTTTCAGATATGATTAAGCGCATGAAGATAGTAATATATATATATGCAAGTATATATGATAGAAATACTATTTAACTTCTATAGGATAAAGGAGTAGTTACTACTATAAGCCTTGAGAGCATATTAAAGTATTTACTAAGAAAATATAGTCCACAATACCACCGATATCTATCTCGATACCGCGAACTTCTGGGAGGCGTTACGCCGGCCATCAGCAGCGAAAACATTGCTTACCAACGATGTCGGCGGCCCAACCTATGCGAGGCTTGTGGTCTCGCTACCGGTGCCGGTCGCGGAGGCTTTGACCTTCCTCTCCTTGTCGCTGCGCTTGAATGGAGACTTTTGGAATGAAGTTGACAGCCTTTTCAATTTTTCAGAGAAGCGAGATCTTCCGGGTTGTACAACGGCTTTTCCTTGCTCAGCGGGCATATCTGGCACAGAATTTGACGGCGGCATTGTTTCTGCTATGAGACTGCGGAAATGTGAAGATTTCAAGCTGGTATAGTCTGGCAGAAAGCTCATGTCGTAGCCACGGTCAGCAAACCTTTGAGTTAGATCTTCCCATACCCGGCGCTTCGTCGTGTGTAGGACGGCCCCGTGTTCGATGAGGGCCCTGAAAGCATCGTATATGGCAGAGTCGATGAAGATTGTATCGATAGGAGAGATATTAAGAATAAAAGAGTCCAGTACTGAGTGACCACCTGCGTGACCACCAGAGTTAGGGTTGACGCCCAATGCCAGCAGTTGGCTCATGAGCTCTGGTGGGCATCTGTGAATCAATGAAAACTTGCTGTCTCGCTTTCGGAACAGGATGGTTTTGTCCGTAAGTCCCCTGAGGGCTTCTGATGTCATGGTGATGTAATCTCTGCGGTTACAAATGTCCTCGTCCGTTGCACCCGTAACATGGTAAAGGCGGTTTTTCCAAATCTTGACGAAGAGTTCATGCATACTGTCTAAATCCTTTTCGATTCTGTATCCATGTTCCACAATGTCAACTATCATTTGAATGGCGTCTGTAGGATCAAGATATCTTTTCTTTAGGGAGAGCAATATTGTTGGAAGAAGGCCGCCTTTGCATTTCAACATAGCATCTGCATGTTGCTGCAGAATTTCCCTCAGGAGCAAACGCAACCCGGCTGCGACACAAAATGTCAACGGGGTCCAATCGTCGAGTATAGTTTTATCCCTGACGAGGAAGTGCTGGCCAGTTCCGGTTGTTTTTTCTGCTTCTCTTGCATGGAAAAATAGTGGAATCAGGCGTTCCATCTTCTCTTGATCCGTCCCATGAAAGGCTGTGATTTGCCGTGCTCCTGGGAAAACATTCTGATGGAACAAGTACTCCGTCATGAAGGAATGGCCATTAGCATTGGTTGTTTTCCCGCGAACGCCCAGTATCGCATGTCGAAACCCGGGCTCCTGAACGAATTCTTGAACCGTCTGGTGCATAAACTGGATGATTGGCAAAGAGGTGTCGCCCCAGTGTATCGTTTCTTCTGCCGAAGCAGGTTGATTATACCAGGTGACCATATCATAAAACGTTTTCTTGTTGGGTTCCGATATTTCGAGAAGACCTCCCGAGATCGCTTTTAGCTGGTGGATTCCTTTCGCTAGCTCTTTTTTGGATAGATTCGTTGTCCCATCAAGATATTTCCCCCAGTCTACAGAAGTTGCTTCTTTGGACAGATTTAAGAGGCTTAACGCTTCCTCGACGTTTAAATTATCGCGGGACCGGACCATGCATTCAAGCAAAACATATGTGTCCCATCGGAATACATCGGGTATTCTTTCCACAATTGTGTAGTAGAAATCATCTAGTTGGTCTGGTAGTTCCTTCAGCTTCATTTCCAATCTGAAGCTCAGCCCCTGGCCATCAACATTCTCTTGCCATGGCTCGGCTACAACTGATGACAGCTGACGCATGACCAGCTTGACCCAGAGAAAAACGCCCTGGGATCGATGCACGATTTGTTCTGTCAATCCAAGCAGCACTCCTGCGCCAGGCGGCACGGACTCAACGGCATACTTTCGGATATCATCTTCCGTGTGCTCATGGATCTTGAATCCAGGGCATGAAGCAAATTCATCCTGGAACACTTTCCACGGCCGGCTGGAAAACAAAATTCGGACTCGCGTCCGTGACGAAGCGTCAATCATTCGTTTTAAGAAATCGGCGATGAACTCAGGCCGCCCATCATACTCATCGAGCGCGTCAAGAAGAAGAAAGAGGTCGAGGTCGACCTTATCTTGAAGTAAGAGAGCGTACAAGCACTCTTCTAATGCCCTCCTTGTCCAAAGCCTCGCAGGCAGCTCCAACTCGGTGTCTTCCAAATCGACGTCATCATCCAAATCGGCGCGATCTTCTCTCAGCTTGGCACGAGCTTCTTTCTGCTTGGCACGAACTTCTTCCGACTCGGCACGATCTATTGAGTCTCTCCAGGCAGCAATATTTTGCGGGAATGTTTTCTCGACAATCCGCTCTAATAAGGTGCAGAGTTGAGGCTCTTTGCCGATGATTTGGAATAGAATGCTCTGGATGAGACCCTCAAATGACTTTTGAATGACTGATCCTCGGTGGTGGAAGAAAAAGTTGATAAGAATCTGTTGATGTTTTGATCCCCAACGGTGAAGAAGCTCAAACGTACGGGAGTCATTCCAAATGAACTTCATCATGGTGGACTTCCCAGAGCCAGGCTTCCCGCTCAGCCAGAAAATCCCTTCCCCTTTTAGAAGCCACGAAGCCAGATTGATATCCGGGTGATCATAGACCCAACCAAACGTATTTTTCGTGTTCTCGTCAATGGTATATAATCTAAGATCCTGTTCAGGGGCCAGTAGGGACTTTCTGAGAACTAGTTCCGGATTAGCTGGTTTTGGAAAACAATATAGGCTTCATTTTAGAGGGTTTGGTACCTTGACTGAACCAAGGGATGTCATTTGTAAGGATCTTGGAGGCTTTCATTGTCCCATTTCCTGTAAACGCATTCGAAACAGGACGTTTTGACCGGTTGGCCGGCGTTCCAGAGATCACCCGGCCAGGTCTCTTTGTAGAGGCATAAATCATAGCATTATCCATGATTTCTCTAATTTTGTCTGCCATTATAGGTATTAGCCGGTCCCCGGGCTTAAACTTCACCATGTTCGAGTGGTCGGCGTCTATCTGAAGGAGGCGCTCCGGGGAGATTCCATGCCGGCCGCCAGTGGCAGACTCCGGTGAGACCATGACCGTGTCTGGGCCGGATCGCTTCCAGCCTCCACTAGAATTCTGTGGAAAACATTAAGCAACGTCATCGTAATGAGCAGAGGGATTCTCACAGATAAACTGGGCGTTGCTTGTGTTTCGTACGCCCAAAAGAGCACCATGTCTCGAGTGTAAGAGATTCCATCAAACTGCTTCTCTAGCGTTGGAACATAGTCTGAACGATTGGAAAGATAATCCAGGAGGGCCGTGTTCGGCTGATCCTCGAGCATCTCATAGATGTCAGGCACTGCCATTCCCACAGTCGGAACTCCGAAAAATATCGCGCCTTTGATGTTGCGGATGATTTGTCTTTCCCTTACTCCACTCCCCGCCAGCATGACCATGCTCTGCTTCAAGACTACACCTCCAAGACTATGAGCAAGGAATATGATAGGCTTGGCGGCCGGAGCAGCCCAGCCATTAGCTTTTAGCTCCGATATCAAGGATCCTGCTATGTCTGGCACAACCTGGAAAGATTTACTCCCAGATAGGGCTGTGTCATAGCCGTAAATGATGAATCTAACACCGGGGAATCGGCTGGGTAGAGCATCACGTATCCACATGAAAGATTTATCGCCCCGTGGCTGCCACGATCCCATAGGGTGGCTTGCAAGGCCGGATATCACGATACAACTACACCAGAGTCAGCCTATCTACTCCATCTGTATACATCCTAATAAAAATCATACGTACTCATCGGTGTGGCTATTTTCATTGATCTCGTTCAACGGAGTGAGGCCGTAGAAGTGGATGTCCAGGTTAATCGAACGAAGGGAGCCCAGCATCGGGAACGACCATTCCATGCGACCAGGCCCTTGAGCAAGAGCCACGGGTGCAGATTTGAACCTCAATGTAGCTACCTTTGTGGGCTCACTCGCCCAGGGATCAACAACAGGAGCAAGAGACTCTATCTGGATGTCTTCGAGGGCAACACCCGGGATGCACTGTGCGAGCAACTCGGTCGCCGCTAGGCGATCCACATGGTGCGGGAGGTTCGTCGCTCGATAGACTTTGGGTGCTCCATGTGAGGCCATGGCGTAATGGCATCCACATTGCCTATAGGTAGCACATATGCGTTTTCGAGCTGCAGCCGTGGAAAAACACGCAAGGCAGACGCTGAAATCTGAGGCTGAGATTTCTTACCCCCCTCAGGTGAAGGAAGGCACCGAGAGCTGCGAGTGTCAGCCTTTCGTGGGTCGCATAACCTCGTATTTCAGCCAATCAGATACCAGTTTGGTTAAGCGCGCGACTCGAAACCTCTACAAGAGAGCTCGGTGTATGACTTATAGTGGGGCGCGTCCAACCAATCATACGTCGTAGTTCGCTTGGCATCCTCATCTCGCACGCAGGAAGTCAATCATACGCTGGATGGGGGAACTACAATTTTCAAAGCTTGAAGTATCAGATCCAAGTAAAAAACCTACCCCAACTTCAAAGTCTGATACAAATTTGTTTTATTAAAATACTGTTACAATTACGGTCATACAATAGGCCCTGAGGCGAACCTATTCCATGGTGCACGCGGTTGAATGGTGTAGGTTTAGGGTAGCCCGCAAACACTACAATATGGTTACTTGAAGCTGCGTATGAGGTGAGCCTAATTATAGCATCAAATCCATGGCGGGGAGGCGTAAGCAGAGTATTGGTAATTGCGGACTAATTTACGGAGTAATAGCAAGAGACATGAGGAGTTTTCTAAACGGCAGCTGGCACGCGACATTTGTCCAGCGCGTATTTCATATGTATGTCGCCTACGCAGCCTTATACGACTTTGAAGTCTATAACCATAGAGGCGCTGTGGTTAATGCCCAAAACGTGCTGTGGGATTCACAATTGAATGCAAGTCATTGTCTCGCATCCAGCCCCTCGATTACGGTGCGCTCAGTACCGCCAGCATCTCGACACCCATTACTAAATTATGTAGTCTCCATGTACGTTATTCAATTAAAATAGCTTAATGTTCAAGTGTTTTAATTTCAATGTCACCCACAGGTAAGTCTAGGTAGCCGATGACGTCAAAATGAGCTGACTAATCATTATTTTCCTGTTGGCGTGGCATTTTCATATATTTGAACGCGACGACATATCTTACGCTCACCGCAAGACAGCCCGATCAGAGTCGTAGCAAAGCTACAGAGCCTAGAATACGCAATGTCGTCGATTGCGACTTTTTCCAATGCCATTGAGCCTTTCATTGATATCCCATTCAACTCATGGCTCACTCTGATTCTCGCTTTCGCATATGTGTGCGCTATCCGAAGCCCGAAGCTACTATTGCTCGTCGTTCTCGGGGCAAGCGCGACTATAGCACTCTTCGACAAGACTTCAACTGCCGCGCAGATGATTAAAGTCGTCGCCCTACTTCCCCTTGGTCTCGGATCTGTGCTTGCATATCAAACCATGAGCCGATCTTTCAAGATCAGACACCTATCTGCATTTACAGCCTACATCAACTTCGCCGTGTACGGGAATATTGTCATGATGCTTGGAACTCCCCCTGGCGGCACTCTTCGCGGACTCTGCAGCAAGGTGGCGTGCCTTGCTCTCTTTATCTGGGTTGTTCAACAAGGGCATCGAGTTGGTTTTAAGACCGTCCGTCTCCACGACAATTTATTCGTCTTCACGGCCGTGAGCAAGTCTTGGATATTTGCGCATGCGATATACAGATTCATCCTCTTGACACTACCGTGCTTTGGGTCCGGGCGTCGCCATAGACTCATGGAATTCTACTCTCTCAGCCTCACATTTGCTCTGTCATTGGCCACAGGCCTTCCGTTCGAGCACTGTTTTGGGATGGCTGATACGTTGACCGCTCCAGCTGCGGCAGGATTGTCGGCAATCGCAACAACATTTGACTTGATACCGCGTGATACAAGGAAAAATGAAGATTTGATTGTGAAGACACTTGGGGCTGATGGGGATCTGTATCTGAGCGGCGTGTTGCTGGCTGTCGCCGCGTTTGCTTGCTATAAAATCGGCACGGGACGTAAGTAGTTTAACATTGGAGGGTGGGTATATCATTCAATACATGATTTTGAACATCATATCCCATGGCTATCCCTGAAAGTGCCAAGAAGACCAACTTGATGGTCAGCCTCGCGCGAACAGTTCCCAATGAGTGGCTGCGCAAAGAAACTCAAAGCAGATGTTGGTTTTCCTCTCCTATCTCTTGTACACCTGGCCCGAGCCGCCCTGACTAGACGATAATTACCTCCTCGCAGGTTGCTTCCACAAACATGTCATAGTCACCCCCATTCATCGGCGCTTCTTGCATGCCTTCATCCTTGTTCCAAAGCCCTAGACCGATTCTCTGATAAGTCTGCGTAAATACAGGAACGCGTTTCAAAACCAAAAACAAAACAATGGTGGGAACATTCGTGGTTCTGTAACCATCGTTTGCCTTATAGGTCATGAGTCGAAGGCAAGCGTATTCCGTCTCGGAGTTAAATGAGCACCCGCAACCATTTGAATCATCATGGCGTGGATGGCTCCAACAATCCACGAGAGGGCTTCCTTTTTCAATCGTGGGCAACCTCTCGACGTCCAGAAATACCCTCCAAGATTGTAGTCTCGGAGTGCGGGCGAAGCATTGTCGTCTGCATGGAATTGGCCCGTCCCCTTGCCCGGCCATCCTCCTGTACCAAAAGTACTGAGGTGCACCGATAGCGTCTCCTGGGTGAAGAACTGCTAGCTCTACTGGAACGAGTGGTCCCGAAATTCGAAGAAAAGAAGATTCAATCGCGTTGCCGTGTGGCTTGCCAGTCATTATAGGCGCGCAGCCTACCTCGTGGACCACGGCGTCAAACGTAAGCTCGGGATTCATTCTTTCCCTCCAGACTCCTATCGATATCTCCATATGTCGGAACGTCACCGGCCCATCAATGGAAGCCCAAGACCATGACGGAGATACGGAATCTTCAATCTTCCTATGCTCCATCCGGTCGCTCTTCTCCAGCTGAGTATGATCAACCGTCCAGGTAAGGTTCGGAATGAAGCAATCTCCCCACAAGCCGCTAAAGTAGCCATCACTGATTCCAGGAGGCATGTATGAGTTTTTGACGACTAGGTTTCGAAGCAAGCCTAAGATTTGCTTGTCCTTTTCCGTTTCGTTGCTCTTGGATTTGGCAAATCTCGTCTGAAAGAGCCGAACGACACCTGATATCGCAATCAGCTTGTCACTTGACTTTGTCAAAGCTCTTTGGGAGTACTGTTCGACGAAGTCCATCCATTCCAAATGTAGCTTAGCATAAATGCTGAGTTCGTCATCGTCATCTTCCTCATCTGCGTGCCTACCCGTCCTGAGAAGGGGATAGATACCGCAAGCTTCCTCGTCGAGGTGGCCACACTCGCAAAACATTTTTTCCATGCAATTCCAGGATAACTCGCAGCCATCAAATACGAGTCTACGACGTGGCATGACGCTTTCCTGAAGACACCACCCTCTAGAATCTAAAGAGAAAAGCTTGGGGCGCTCCATCTGGCTGTCTCGGAATAGAAGATGGCTAGCAGGTCCGCCTAGTCCTGGTGGGACTTGGACTGGGACACTTTGCTGCCATTCCGAGGAGCCAAATCTTTGCGGGCCGAGAAACCCAAGTTTGCAAGAGTTAGGCTCGTTGGCTGATATAGTAAGGAATGAATTGAAGTAGACGTCGATCATCTTCTCTGCTTCACGGCGCCAGTCCTCGCCATCGTCCTGGACGATACACAACGCGTCCACCCAAAGCAGATAAATCCCCAGCCGGCGGCAGACCGTGATGGCATCTTGCACTGTCTTTGGTAGAGAAATCACAGGAATCCCTTTGAGATGGGATGAATAATTGGCCTTTGTAGTTATAATAACACCACTTGTATCCTTTCCCCAACAATAGCTCAGTGCGGCGTATGGCGACGCTGAAACAGCTGAACGCTCAACGAGCTGCACGGAGGAGGCGGCTTCAGATTCCTCAAGACGTAGCATCCTGCTTGGTAGGAAACTACGCTGAGCATCAGTATAACAAGAATGATTATCAGCGCAGTCTTTGAGCCAATGCGAAGCACGTTCAAAGGCAATGGCCGAATCGGACGACGGTGCGATGTCGAGACTCTCGCCGAACAAAAGTTTCTCATACCTATCCCAGCTTATGAGAGACAGCTTCTGAACATCTATCGCATTTCATAATAAATTTTTAACATGTCCCTAAGTGACTGAGATGTGATGCTGGGCTCACCTGTGATAGGTTTAAACAGCTGCACAGAATCGATTTGCTGTCCATCTTCGAGCAGTCGAATTGATCCCGATCCCTTGGAGTTTGGCAAAGACAAGTTTGTATTAAATACCCACCGCTCGCGAGGTTTGATTGCAATGGAAAGATCACGAGTGCTGGACTCGTCGGTTAGCCATGATGGCTTGGTGTGGGTGATGATATCCAAGAGCATGCCACAATAAGCGCATTCGTTGGTGCGGCTGCAATCTCTGAATTCTTGTATGTCGATAGCGGTGCCTAAATGTTCGTCCCACAACCCGTTCGGGCAGTCTGGCTCGGCCATGGTCACTCAGGTTCAACTGCTCTAGGGATCAGATAACGGCGTTGTAGGAGTTTGAGCATTTTTCAGGGGTGCCTGGTGGGATAGAAGTTCAGCCCCTCATGGATCCTTCCTGCTGACACATGACAGCCCGGCCACGCCCCTTCGACGGCCCCGGAATATTATGAGGCTCCCACTGACCAAGGTTACCAAATTTATTTGTCCCGGTATTCGTGTATTAGTATGTCTCACTATAAGAAGGATCGCAGCGGTAGATACATCCCGGTGACGTCCAAGGGACAAAGATGGCAGCAGAATCGTTGCAACTTCTCATTCAGTACACCAAATCTTGCGTTTTAAACACTGCTCCATGATAGAGACTTCCTTGATATTTACTGATCCTAACATCTTACGACCTTGTGCACTGCGACAACGCACTCATCACCCCTCCCTCCGGGAAACCAAGCCGGAGTCCGTATACCGTCTAGGAGAACATGCATTGTAGCCTCATCTTGGATCCAGAGCAAGTCGTAGCTACCATCCCTAGCCCATAATCTTGCTGTACTGCATGAAGGTGACACTGGCCTTCTCAAACACTTAGCGGTAGGTCGCGGGTGGAAAATTGCCTGGGACGCCCACCTCAATAAACAGGTCATTGAAACCAACTAAGAGAACGTCCATACCTTCGACCACTGGGATTTCTTCAAGTTAATCTATTGGTTTCTTGTTCTTTATATGAGATATAGCCATGATGCAGATGTGCCACCCATTGTGATCACTTTGAACGCCGACCTTGGCTTAATTCAGCATATTGGTGGAATGTCGGTTTGTATGGAAGAACATGACGCTCCATGAGATCGCTGGAGAAGCTAGTCACCTTGTTAATCTACTGATTCGTGATCTCGATAATTCCACATACCTACGCTGGGGCGAAAAATGGTGAAACCCCGCATGCAACTCTCGCCCGAGCATTCTTGTCGTTCTTTGATCAGTTGCCGTTCATCTGGGAACAATGACTTTTGGCGAATCCAAATACATGAGAGGTATGGCCAACTCCTCCCCTCCTGCGAGTGGGAGATGTACAGCAAACATAAATTTGGTGAGGTTACTTTGCGAGCCTTATGATTTCTCGGCAGGTCGTATTGAATACTGGACCTCCTGTTGTCCAGAACCTCGAGAATACCACAGATTAGATATCCTCATCACCTCTGTTCTGAAGCCTTCCTTGTCAGTTTTGCTCTTGGCCCCCAGGTTGGACCATTCCAAGTTAGTATTGAGTATACTACTAATCTCTTCGTCAGTCGCATGCTCAAAAACTGATGCGACGGATTTGATGAGACGAGTCGAGGTAGCAGCGTCCAGGGTTTCAAAATATGGCAAACATTTCCAAATTTTGAGACAAAGGCCTTGATATTCAGCACGTGCCGGCTTGTTCACAGTTCCGTATATTTTTTGTACGTCGTAAAGAACTGCGAGCACACTGATATTCATCATCGTAAGCGATAACACATAATTTGCCATCGTGGCTGAAGTGAACACGACCTTGTGGCCAAGGAAGAAGCTCGGCTCAGGAAGTTCAACCATGAATCCAGGGGATGAACACGCTTCCCACACGTCCTTTCGGGCGGTCTCGATTGGTCCCCTCACAGCCAGGATGTCTTGGACTACGGACTCATGTGAGCCTCTCATTGCGACGGGATCCTTCCAGATTTTGAGTACTGTGGGAAGAATATTGGATAGATATGGGCGAAATATGGTCATGATGCCCTCCAGCGAGGTCCTTGCAAATGCTTCAACTTCTTTCTCGCCTTCTCGGCGCTCGTTGTTCCCGGATAGGGATTGCAATATCTCATTGGTTTCTTTCCATGGTGACTCGAAGTGGCCGCCCTATTTTCATTTTGGTAATTAGCGCAAAACCAACCAACAATGTTGAGACCAATGATTGGAGGGGAATGACGAAAATGAATACATCTAGAACTCACAATAAGGCCTTCAGTGCCCTGTATCAAGCCGATGTGTAGGCTGCTCTGTATCTCCGGTGCACCCAACTGCCTCATGACATGCCGAATCGCAACCGTGTGCGGTCTGTAGTCAATGAGAGTGAATGGTTTGTAATGGACAGTAAGGCCTAGCAATATCACCATGGCAGCCAGGGTTTCAACCGTGTACACCGCCTGACTGTTCACAGCGCGCTGTAAACTCTTCAAAGCCCTTCCGTAAGTTTTGGATCCAAGTACTTTGGCTTGTGACTGGCCGCGACTCGCTTGATGCCAGGTCAAGTAGAGTAGCGCAATGGAGTCAGCTAGACAAGTGCTTTGAGACAGCCTCTCCGGTACGAACTTCAAGTACGATGGAAGCTCGAGCCCCGTGCGCTCCTTGATTTCCAGAAGATGGACAAGCTGAGCTGTAACCCGATCTACCGTTGTGGTAGACTTGAAACGAGGAACCTGAAGGCGGAAACTGCCGTGGACAGCCTTGCCGTTGTTGTATGGGCTCAGATGTCCGCGATCCACCATCACAGCGAACGGGTGCGCGGCCTTGGAGCTCACAGGCGCTTTTCGCTTGCCAACAGGCGTGCCATCGGTGGGAGGAGCCAAATGTTGAATAAACTTGAGCGTCGACGATGGGCCAGGACACATCATAGAGCTACGGCGACACGGAGCACATGTTGGCCATTGTTGGTCGCACTTATCGTGAGTCAGCCAGCTGGGTACCCATCTACCGCCTGATTAATCGGTTCACTATCCTGCAGCGACTCACCCTGATTCTTTTTTTCTTGCAGTTGGCACAGGCTGTGGACTTGGCAACGCCTGGCATTGCGACGAGATGTGTAGGGCTGCGTAGGTATGAGGCCAGAAAACGAGACTCGCAAGCTGCCGTGGCTGGGTAACCCCTCTATTAATAGTCTTGAATGCGGCTAATTAGGCGAGGGCCCATTAGTCATTGCCGTTATGTTGAATTGACGACCTTCGAGCATGAAGCAGTCAAGCTAGCCGAACAACTCTCTGATGTCAACCCGTGGTGGATGCTGAAAGCAGGGCCGGATTTACGTCTGCAAAATTTTCAAAATGTCTGAGGCGACCTTAGCTTTGCAACTCAGCAGCTCTCTTACGGCTGAGGTTTCAAGTTAGTATGCTCAGCTGTCAGCTTATGTCTAACTGGAAAGCACCTAAGAATTGCCGAAGAATTTCGGCTCATTTTACCTACCCTAAAGTTCATGGATCTTAGTTCATCTAAAACTCCTTTATATTTGTTCCAATTGATCTCCATGTCTACACAACTAGCTTTTAGATATCTAAAGCCGGGGGGGATGAGATTATGTAGTAATTCTTTTTTAATATTCTCAACCAGATGCTCAAATATGCACATCAATATGCTCCATTTTCAATCATCGCTGCTCACTGTTGTGTGGTTTCAAAATTCGAATTTGTGACCTTGCATACCCTCATTTAGCCTAGGCATTTATGTCAGTTGAAACCTGCGTGATTTTCTCTCCAACACTACTGGCGATGAACTTTTCTGGGTCACACATTTCTGAGCGGGATAAGAAACCACCAAAACATGCTACCTATTTGCAACCAGAGTTGTAACAAAACACCCCTAGCGAAGGTAAGTACAGAGTTGAGAGTTTCGATTTCACCGCCGCTATAATAGCCTATGACTTTAGAATAGAACAGTAACCAATAGCATAGGGAACATGCAAGATTGGCCTATCTTAAGCATCAGGAACCTTGCCTCCTAGGACTTGGTCAATAGCTCTAAACCCTTTTGCAGTGTAATTAGGCACAAAGTATTCACCCCACGGCTGGACCCAGGTATCTGTTCAGAGAAGCACAGGTAAGCTGAACCATTTAATAATTATATTCTCGATCAATAGGAGCATACCAATTGTTGTCCGAGGTTTTGTCTGGCAGAGCCAAATCATGGTCTTGTTGGCACCGTCTACCAAGTCGAAGTCAGGAAACTCCCTCAGGACGCTGTCATACTGATCTTTGGTTATTCCAAAACTTGGCCCGGCGCCGTCGGCATTTATTCCAGTTGCAGTAACGGCCACTTCAAGTTCTTTATAGGTATGGATGCTGGGTGTGGCGTGGAGGGCAATAGCATCCCAGACAAGCTGAATACGGTGATCGTCCCACCGAGCGCTGACATTGCTGCCGCGAATAAATTCTCGTGCCGCCATTGCGCCATCCACCTCAAACCGCTTGTCGCTACTGACGAAAGGCGAGTTGGGCGTTGGGTCCCAGCCCATGTCATGCATCAGTGCCGCAATGGCGTGGACCTCAAGGTCGATGGATTCATGTAGAGTGGCATTATTGTCAATAATAAGCGCACCAAACAGCCAAGACCGCATGATGTGCTTGTAGGCCCAATCGGTACTGTGATCTAAGGCCAGCTGTTGAGCAGCACGGACGAGGGGAGTATCAATGACCTGTACGCCGGCGATGGTGCGGTGATGGTATTGGTCGATGTGATCACTCTCCTGGCATGAGCCTTTTAGAAAGGCCATAGCTCGGGAAGCAACTTGCGCGAACACAATGATACGCAATGGAAGCATTTTCGAAACTAATGGATGACAAGGACGAGTTAATCGACGTTATTTAGAATCATTGCACAGGCGTATCGAAGCTGTGGTAGCCGCCGTTATTTATTGTCTAGATTCTGCTTACACCAAAGCAATTCGATGATGCAAATGTCTCCGAGGCTAAGTTAATGTGAGGCGTCTATTGATCCGTTCTCCGGTGGTGAGATCTCGGTTCCGAAGCATTTCGGTGTGTTCAGCGCACAGAAGTGACTCGAACCTGCTTGTAATATTGACCTCAAGCCGACCTTGATCGGCAGTAAAAAGACCACCACCCGGATTCCTCAACATGGCCAACTCAAGGAGCACAATCATATTTTATGTAGGGCTACAACTGCTTTGTATTACTGACACAAATCTTGTAGCCGCTCTAGCCCATTCTCCCAGTACTATATTCTTCCACTCTGCCGAGCCACAGGCAAATCGTTTGGGTTTCCAGCATCTCGTTTTCGTCAAGAGATATTTCCTAGAGTATGACTCATGGGATCTCAATAATCCTGAGCATTTTTTTAACAACTGGTGTGATGAAACAGGTTTATCCAAGATGAGCTAATTAGCACTATCCGCCATCTCATTGTTCTTGAGGATGAAAGAAGCTCCTCAGTGAGGACCCGAGCTAAACTCAATAGTTTAAGAAAGCACCCCACCATTTCCACCTCGAGCTATGGAGTGTCTCCGCCTGCTCGTCATTGTGATGCTGGAGTTTCGGACCGTAATCGCAGACAGAATAGTGGATACCGTCGACTTCATCCCATCACCCCTCACACCAGGCCAATTTAGGCGCCGTTTTTTATGACTTCACTTCCAACAACCTTCGTTTAACCCCGCAGACCAGTTGCTTTCAACCCAAGTGCACGCAAGATGGCTCCTGACTCGATCCCAACATGCCGCTGGGGCATCATCAGTAAGTCCAATGGTCTCTGACTGTGCACCCACCTGGAGGCTCACGAATCGTTCCAGCCACCGGCCTTATCTCGTCATGGTTTGTGGCAGACCTGGCCATGCCTCGCTCGGACGCCAAGGCCAACCACATTATTCAAGCCATCGGATCATCGTCCGTCGAGAAGGGCAATGACTTCGTCGCCAAATACCTCAAGGATGCTCCAACCCAGCAGCCCGCCGTCTATGGGAGCTACGCTGAGGTGTACAATGACCCCAACGTTGACTGCATTTACATCGGCAGCCCGCACGGTTTCCATAAGCGCGACTGTCTGGAGGCTATTGCGGCAGGCAAGAATGTCCTGTGCGAAAAGGCCTTCGTGATTAATGCCGCAGAGGCGAGGGAGGTCTTTGATGCAGCCAAGAAGAAGGGCGTTTACGTCGCCGAGGCCATGTGGCTTCGACATCGACCTATGGTGGCTGAACTGAAAAAGATCCTATATGAGGACAAGACAATTGGCGAGGTGTTCCGAACAACTTCCGACTTCCAGATGTATGCCGACGTGGCGAATCTCCCCTCAACCTCACGCCTTAGAAATCTCGACCTTGGAGCTGGATCATTGCTAGATATCGGTATCTACCCCCTCACATGGAACATCCTGACTCTGGAGCCAGATGCCCCCGCTCCTCGTCCTAAACCCAAGATCTTGGCCGCCCAATCATTTGTCGAGGGCGTTGAGGTCACCACAAGTGTCATTCTGCATTACGCCGAGAGCGGTCGTCAAGGCATTGTAACCTCTACCCTTGAGAAGAGAAGCGGATCATCCAAAATCGTCGCTACAATTGATGGCACAAATGGCTTCATCGAGGTGGAGGGGCAGGCGCCTTCTCACCCGCACTCGTTCACCGTGTATCCCAAATGGACTGGAGATGAGAAGCCGGAGGGGAAGAAGTATGACTTTGTCCGCCCACAACAGGGCTTCATCTACGAGGCTGACAACACTGCCTTGGACCTGGCAGCAGGAAGGAAGGAGAGCGCTATAATGCCCTGGAGCGAAACTATCCGGGTTCTGGAGATCATGGACGAGATCAGGCGCCAGGGAGGGACTGTATATCCCGTGGACAAAGCTTAAAAGTATTGGGTAATATCTCAGTCATTCAACTTAATCAGAAATGAACTGAACCGATTATCATGGTATCTCAATACGAGAAGTAACTCTGGTATTTTGGCTGTGAGAAATTGTGGGTGCTTGACCGTGAGTAAGATTCTACATTATATTGTATAAACGTATGTTTCAGCCATCAATTCAACCCGTGCACTCCGGGGACATGGTTTCGACTCCAGCGGAGTTTGAATTCGGAGTCCGCTTGAAGCTGGGTGATCGTAGCTTAAGCAGTCATGCAGTCATCTCATCCGGAGTTCCGTGGTGTTCCGTGGTAAGAGCGGTGACGCCCATCGAACGCTTTGAAAGAGATAATTACAGTCTCAAAAATCCGTAAAACCCGTTAAGGTTTAATATAAATACCTTTTGAACACTCTCAGACGATAATTGATTCAAACATCTCTCATCATTCTGACTTCTCCAGGACACTAAAGCATCTTTATAACCGCCATATTTTGTCATGCTCGGACAGAACCTCATCATTTCAGCCATGGCCGCAACCAATCTTCGATTCAATTTCCCAAATACCACCTCTCCTGTGCCTTTCGAGATTAAAGTGGACAGTGACCTCGTCCAGCTGGCAAAGGACAGGGCGGCTACCTACCGTGTTTCTCACGGGCTCTATTCCGAATGGACGAATGAAGGAGCTCCTGCTGAGTCCATGAGCAGCCTCGCCAAGCACTGGGCGGACTCCTACGACTGGCCAGCTGTGGAGGAGCGGATCAACAGCAAGTACAACCACTTCGCAACGACTGTCCCTGGCAACAGAGACTATGCCGACCCGATCCCCCTTCACTTCATTCACCACAAGTCTGCCAACGACAGCGCCGTTCCTCTCCTGTTCCTGCATGGGTGGACTTCTACTCATCTTGAATGGGTGGAACTCATCGAGCCTCTGACTGATTCATTCCACATCATTGCACCTGATTTGCCTGGTTACGGATTTAGCCCAGCGCCAACCAAGCCAGGCTTGGGACCTCGGGAGATGGGCATCGCCTTCGACGCATTGATGAAGCAGCTCGGTTACGAAAAGTACGGCTTGGTGACAAACGATCTGGGGGCCCTGGTTGGGGAATGGATGGTAAGCGATGTGCAAACCAGCCTCATCGGCCATTTCTGCGATTTCCTCCTCTCGAACCCCACGCCTGAGGATTTGGAGCGCATGGCCAAGAATGAGACCACGGCAGAGGAGAACGAATACCTCGCCGCGATGAACGAATGGAGCAACAACCACTTCGCGTACTCGACAATCCACGCCCAGAAGCCGCTGGCGCTGTCGCACTCCTTCGCGGACAGCCCGGTTGGCTTCGCAGGGTGGATTTGGGACCTCAAGCACGTTGCCAGTGACGGCTATGCTTATTCACTCGAGGAGATCATCACGGACTCGTTCTTGCTGTGGATTCAGGAACCATACACCTCCGTCCGAGCCTATTTGGAAGTCTTCAAGGTATGCATTTCTTTGCTATTTTAGTACATCGAGAACAAGAGACTGACTAAAATTTACTGCGTATAGCCTGAGAACTGGGCATTCCCCAAGACAGATGTTCCCACAGGTGTGACCCAGTGGGGAAACGTCAACGGACCTTTCCCCGGGCTTGCTAAGTACCCTCTGGCCGTAAGTCTCTACCCCTTCAATAACCTGGATCATCACACGGGTTTGCTAATACAAAAAAATCAATAGCCACGAGCCTGGTGCGAGAGAATGGCAACAGTAGTCTTTTTCAAGCGGTACGAGTATGGAGGTCATTTCCCGGCCCTCAGCCAGACGGCTCTTTACGCCAGCGATGTCAAGGAATTCTATGGCAGCCTCCAGAAGAAGGCCGATGCTTGAAATCGCATGGGCGTCGGGAGAGATTCTTAAGGGGTGCTATCTCCAGCTATCTGGTATGATATTAGGGAACATGACGGGATCAATTTCTGGCTCGTGACCTGTCCTAGTAGGTATCTAGCATCCAAGGGAGTCAGCTTCCATTTACTTTCCCGATAGGGCCCCTCGGGCCAAATATACTTACGGTGGACTCTTGATTCTCAGTTCCCCATTCTGTTTCACCCATGGTCCATAATCGATCAGATGGCAAGGAATCATCGATGAAGCTCTCCATTGCAAATGCCATCCTTTCCTCATGTGATTTAGTCACAGCTTGTTTAGCCCGTGCCTTCAGGTTGTGAAAATCAGCGTGGAGGGTGTCTTTCTCCCACGGCCCAAATTTGATCAATCTTTCATACAAGTCCAGGCTTTTATCCACCAACCATTGGTCATCATCAGCAGCTTCGCTGTCTGGATATTCCGCAGCATTTACAAGCAGAATGAGGCCTGCAGCAAACAGGGAGCAAGAGTCATGCCTTAAGAAAGTCAGCCGACTGAAGATGATGAAAAAGGTAATGGGCATGGAGGTTGGAGAGAATGATAAGACGTACCAGAGATAGTAGTCAGACTGCCCGATGACCGTAGACAGATGGAGTGCATTCCGACTATACTCCAAACACTCGTTCCATCCTGAAGGCAGGGAACTTCTATGATCAGAAATGGAGTTCAAGTGTTCAGTACTCATTTGGGGGAAATGTGGGATTATGCCTCTCAGTCGTGCAATCATAGAACTGTTCTCTTTGTGCAGCCTAAAAATGAGCAGGACACACCATTGATGTACATTCAATAGTGATTTCAGATGCTGAGTAGAGTGCACACAGAGTGATCCTTGGGCTAATCCTGACATCATATTACTTGGTATCGCCCCGAACCAGTGGGAAAGCATGGATTGCAACGTGTCGGTTCTGTTTGTTCTATCTTTGTCGCTTGCATTACTTGACCTTGAACTGAGCAACCAATCGTATGCTCGCGCCTGGACGTACGCGAGTTGCACACGATAATGAAGAAAGTTCAGCGACGTAGTGCCATCTAAAGTAGTAATATTGCCAACTCCATCGCTGGGGTTCGGAGATGGAGGAGCATGATCTGTCCCAGAATCAAGAAGCATTGGCGAAACGCCGAAATGAGCCGCGGCATCCTATGATTCATAACAGGTGAGCATTTATATCATGTGAGGAGAAAACGCATACTCTCCTACCTTGTCGAGGATGTAGGCTATCCAAAACAACCTACTGCGGTGTAAGGCGACTGCGTGAGGAGCGCCTTTCGATTCCGACCTCGAATTCAGTCGCAACATCTCAACCAGCCTTGCTGCGGCGCCCATCAGCATGGGGGTATCTTTGTGTTGTAGGGACCGGGAGGTTCCTTGATAAAGGAGCACCGTGCCCAGCAGAACCTGTAGCCCTAAGAAGTCCTCCGTTCGTATCATCATCTCCAGGAGTATGGACCTGATATTTGCGATGCACAAGGCTACTTCTGGACATTCCATCGACCGGCTCTCGATCACGCGGTAGCCGAGGGCAAGGACGACATTGATGGCAGCCCACTCAGCAGGCGATCGTAGATAGCTCCATCCGTGAACCATCCGCATGAAGTCCTTCTCGTCGAACAAGGGAATAACAGAATTGTAATGCCTAAAATACAACTCCAACGTAGGCATCATGGCTTCTAGCGGTGGTAGCTGCAACTGGGACTTCAAACCATTATTGCAAAGCGTGTGTGACGAATTGTGCGACGAGGAATCAGTCTCGACTGCCGCGCCAGTGCCGTTGCTTGAAACGTTACTCTTCGGCGACATGTAGTTTCCATCACCAATGGACAGATTGATATGACTCCGTTGGGGTTGTCTAGATAACGCGTCCCCACTGATGTTTCGTGTGATGGATTCAATCCGTGCCAGGCGAGCTTCCAACTGCTCCAAGTGTCCTTCTCTAGTCCATGAATTAGACAATAATACCATTCTTCCCGCTCAATAAACATACTTGTCATTAGATTGCTTTCTCTTCTTTTTGTTGTTCGAATCAGACGCTCGTGAAGTGGACTGTGGTTTGTTCAGGGGTGTCATTTTGCACTCTGTCCCGTAGAGACTGCAATTGGTGCACAGAGGCTTCAGCCCATCACAGCGAATTCGCTTAATCGTGCACAAGTCGCATGCTATTGGCGGTTGATGTTAGTGTATTGAGTGGTGCTATCGACCCATTCCGTCATTCTGCCATGGGCATCACCAGCGTCCTGGACATACCTTTACGACGGCCAGAGGGCAAGGGATCCATTCTGCGTAGACAAGCGCGCGGCCAAGTAACAGCAGACCGGGGCTTCGGCACAGATAGAATGCAGTGGGCTGCTCTTTCGGAAAATATCCAATAGTTAGATGCGAGGCCCAACGTCTGTCGCCCGTCAAAGAGAAGAGGAAGAGATGGCGGTGGCGCTGACGAATGGCAACTTCGGTGTCCAGACACAAACTCCGCAAAAGAAACTCCACGGAACTCCGGATCCACTTTTTCGCTCGGACCCGGTGGTAGCTTCATGTTCTCTGCGTGACGTCAGCTGACCATCATAAAACAATCGTAATATCCCAGAAGACGCCGTCTGGTCAGGCTGTCAGAAGAAGGACCAGATAGAGAAAACAAATTGATGATAGGAGATCTGATGGTTTTTTTTTTTTTCTCTGAATTTCTGTAATAGGGCATGTTCGAGTGTTAGTGTCACGAGAAATATCCGTATTGCTGGTCTTAAAGCATCTCCCGTAGTAACGTTTAGCGAACTCAAGAAAACGATTCCACCAATAGAATGATAGGATTCGCACTCATTTCTATTTAAAAACAAAGTCCGGTGTACACAGTCATTAACCTCTTAGTTATCTATCCGCGTGGGGAGCCGCCCAATCTCTTAATCTTCTATCGACTGTGAATTCCATTCGACCAGAAAATCATCAAGGTCTTGACACCACATATCTTTTACACTCAGAGCCTCTAGAGCATCGAGCTCTGCTTTATTCGCTTCGATCATTGTATTCAACTCGTCCAGCCGCTCTTGTGTGAGAGACCAAATGGGCATCTGCATACAATGTTAGCCTTAGGATCAAAGATGATGTCCTTTTGCAGAGACCCATACAGAGAGTACATAATCGAAATTCAAGGCGTTCTCATTTGGGTCTTGTTGTCTTAAAGTCTCCATGTTATCGTCGATCATTTGAGGTTTGGATCCACCTCTGCATGGCGAAAACGGCTCGTAGTTTTGCTCCCGAAGTTGATCAATGATAGCTTGCTTATTTTGAGTCTGAACAACAAGCTCCCCTCCTATGATCTCTCGGATAAACCTAGTTTGGTTTTGAAGCCTTCTGTGTTTGATCTTGTACTTTGATAGCCAATACAGCTTTGTGGACAAAGTTGTCGAAAGTTAGCTCACATATTCACCGAATAAAGGAGTTGTAAAGTTGACCATACCTTGCGTTTGGCATACATTTCCAGTCGGAATATGTAGTACTCTTCTAGAATCTCTTCGACGGTTTGATATTTTTGTAGCTGGCCGGCTTTATTGAAGGCAACGAGATTTGAGGTCCCTATCTGCTTGTTCAGCTTGAAGAGACCCAGCAGGCCCTGGTGGTTAAGATCCATGGCATTCGTTTCATGCAGCTGGATTTTGAAATGAACTGTTTTGTGATCACCAAACTCTTCGTATGACTTGATTATTGGCGTGCCATTTGAGCCACTGATCATTTCTTCCAGCTGGGCTCTGAAATCATCCGTCCACATACGGATGGGTAGTTCCGTTATGACAACTTCGCTTCCCCCATCCCATCGAAGCATTCCGTTAGTTTCGAATCTGTTAGGCCCTGCAGGTTTAATCAAACCATTCCAAAAACGATACCAGGGCTGCATTGGCTGGAATTCTGCTTCCTCTCCATCGACCTCTCCTAGCCGACCCATTCGCCTTTTGAGATTTTGGACGATTTCAACAGGGTTGTAATTCGGAATCGATGTGCTCCATCCCGTTCCAATCCCGTTCGCGCCGTTGACGAGAATCATAGGAATCACTGGCGCATAGACTTCTGGCTCAGTTTCTTTTCCTAATTCATGACACATCTTCAGGCTAGGCTCATCTAGGGCAGAGAATATTTTCAGAGTCCATGCGGAAAGCCGTGTGCTAAGATATCGAGGACTCGCGGCGTCGGACCCTCCAGCGAGTCGAGACCCGAAATTTCCACACGTCTCAAGGCAATTGATATTATTCCAGCCAGCAAACGTTTGGGCCAAGCCAATTATCGTTTCGTACAAGGAAGTCTCATTTTCATCATAGTCAGTTTGCTCAGAGGCATAGCCTGCCAAGTCGATAACCCTCTGTTCGGTTGTCAAACATTTCTTGAAGGCGGCGAACATAACCTTCCGCTGTCTAGGTGTAAACCCATCAAGAACGGATGGAATAGATCGGACATTTCTATCCATGATGGACAAAATAAGCTCGTTTCTGATGAAATCTCCGAAACTTATCGAACTCTTTGTTCGGTCGACATACCCCCCAGGAGCGTAGTTTCCTAGCCATTCCTTTCTCACATCCGCCTTCTTTTTGGAGAACACTAATTCAACAAGCTGAGCCTCATCTGGGCGCATAACTTCAAACTTCTTGAGATGCGCATCCAAATCGGTAAAATAAGATATTGCATCCTCGTTAGAACTCGCCCCAAGTCCGTTGAAGTATTTGTGATTCCAGAGTGACATCTCGGAGGTATGGGCTGCCTTCCATTCCTCGAACTGTGGAATGCTGAAAAACGACTCACGCTTGTGGGGTCTCGTTAGATTCGTCCCCTGCCATGCTTGAACCACAGGTGTGATGAAATCGTAGAAGAAGTTGGGGATTTCTAATATCGATGGAAATTCAACCTGGAAGAAGTTGATTACTAGACCTTTAAAAAGGCTCCCGCCTTGGTCTCGATCGGACCATATCCAGATATGGCCATACCGAAGCCCCCTTGTATCGGAATATGACTTCTGATTTTCTAGTCCAAGAGCTTCTTTGAGTGCTTGAACCTCCTCGTTCTTGGACATTAGACTCTTTAAAAGATTTCGTACATTCGGCAAGTTTCTAGCAAGAGGAAGAATGCCTAATCGATCTGGGTCCAATAATGCTCGGCCACACATCGCCAGTCCGTTGACCGAGTCGCCATCTGCAAGAATCAAAGAACATTCGTGGCTCCGTTCGGTGCCAGCGAGATGGGCATCAACAAGCTTAGAGTTGCCGACATGCCATCGTCTGACCTCAGCACCTGCAGGCTTTCCCTGTATAGCCTTACCAAAGTCCATGGCATTCCTTAAAATTTCAGACGCAGCAATCTCATCTAGAAATCCATTTGAGAGGATACATTTGGATTCCAAACGGCGGATAGTTGTCGTTAATTCTGCCATATCATGGGAGGAAAAAGCTGGATTGGGGATCCGGCAGTTGATGAAGATCAACAGCTGGTTTTTAATAATTGATTGGTCAGATATGTGAGTTTTCTCTTCCGTTTGCAGGGTTTTGAAAAGATGTGTAGTGATCTGATCGGTAATGTATTTGACGTGAGTACCTCCAGCTGTTGTTGCAACCGAGTTCACAAACGACACCTGCTGGAAGGAGCCGTCTGAAAGAGCGACAGCAATTTGCCACTCCTTGTGGGATTTGCTGTCTTCCAGGATTATATTATACGGGCTCAATAATCCCTCTCGAGCGCTTCGCTTTGAAGCAATGCCTTTGACATGCATTTCGCAATAGGTCCTAAAATCAATATCGATGCGTTCATTGTTGAGAAACGTCTCAATTCCAGGGACTGTCCCAGCAATGTCATAAACCCTACGGTGTAGTAGACATTCGAGGTCATCATCGATCCCGCTGGGCATGTGGAACCTGCTGAAGTCGGGTTGAAATGTAACTCGGGTCATGTCGCTGGTCGTTCCACTCGTGATTTCAGGCCTCGTTGATTTCGACATATTTCCTGACCATGTTTGCTTGTACTGCTTGCTGTTCTTTTCATCGTGGATCTCTATAGTGAGTTCTCTGCTAAAAACATTGCAGATTATGAATCTGTAGGATTTTATGTCGCGGTAGGTCCTCTGCTCGTCATCATCCATGTCGGACCATGATTGCAAGCGACCAATGATGATTTCAGGAAGATATATTCCTTCCTTTTGTAATTATCGTCAATTTATTAACTCGTGTTTGTAAGGGAGTATATTTAAGGAGAGGGACGTACAGTGTGGATTTGAACGGGAATGCCTTGGCCGTTGCTTTCTACACTGATCTCCCCCGTGGCCTTGTCAATCATGACCTTGATGTAACTGAATTTTTCATTGGCCTTCTTGCATTCCACCGCATTCATAAGGATGTCGTCAAAGATCTTGTAGATCCCAGGCACGTAGGTAATTTTCCGCTTTTCCATTTCTTTAGCTTCTTTGTTGAAAACCCACATCTTCTGGCTGGTTCTCGCCGTTGATCCGATATAGGTATCTGGCCTCTTAAGGATCTGTTCAAGCCCTAAAACGTTTTGATTCGAGTACGTCACCTAAAGTGGTCAGTTTATAATACAGTTCACAGCCAATATGATCTAATCTGTTCCCAGAAGCGCTTCTCGCCACTATATCTAACCAACAAGAAGTTAATCAGATGATGATATCTCATACCTTAGTAATGGTGCTAGGTAAGTCATTCTCAAGGTCGGAAGACTCATAGTCTACCTCAATAGAAGAGTCGGGATCCATGATTATCAAGTTTAAGCACGTGGTTTCCAAACTCAGCGGTGAGCCACGATGATCAGGGGCGACCAACGAGGGTTCGTCAATCAAGAGATTTCAACGATAATCAAGCAGAGAAACAAACTTCTTCTATCGTGGGAAAGCTAAACACAATTTTTAGAGTAATTGTGAAGCTGGGAGAATTTTGAGGAGTAATCACCATTTTAAGGGTTCCGTCTGCAGGCAGACGTTTCCTGCTGAGTCATTACTGTCGCCTTTAACGTGCAACATGAATGGGTTGCCGGGAACTACTCAGTATTTTTCACATTCACGTGAGCTTTCTTGTTCATAACCTATCAAGTTGGGCATCCTGACAGTCAGGCTATGACTTCAACTCATTTAATATAATACAGCGAATCAGAATTGTTTGGAACTACAAGTGGCGTAATCTGCTATGCTTCTTCAGCATCCTTTTACTAGCTGAGAAGAACGCCCGGTTCGCTATCCCAAAGGTTCACTTGCAAGCAAAAAAGTAATCAACAGAATAAATATAATCACAATTATTTCTCCGTCTTGGTCCCTCTTCTTTGTCTTGGTTCCATGCATTCGGGGGTAGGTGGCTAAAACGCAAGCAACCCAAAGCCCACTTAGACTCTGAAACATTGCGAGTGTTGGTCATGCCATGATAATACAAAAGGGAGCATATGTTTCTTAGCTTACATAGTACATTCGTGCAGGAGTAGTGGCAGAAAATGATTCGTGCAAAATACCACTAGCGTACGCCGATGTCACAATACGCGACGGTGACATGTGGAGTGGTGACCACTGGGAGACATTTGTTCCCCCTTGATATGAGTGGAAATAAGAGGCTTAGGCAGTAGGAGTTCACTATGATGGATAATGCCGACGACGATGCCGCTTGGACCAGCCATGGGCCTACCTCTGCCCAACTTCATGTAGGAGAGACACAGTTGAACGTACTCCTCAAGCAAACCATCGTACGAGCCGGTGAAAGACACGTAATCCACGGCCCGGATGCTAGCATTTTTTTTTATGATTTGCCGGCCTTCACTACGCACCACATAGCCTAGCGCAACTGCAGATCCCACAGTCTAAGATGTCGCTCAATTCGAATAGATTCCAACATACCAGAGCCAACGATACTCGAGAAGCTAAATTCCATATTTCATTATGTTAATTCACCTCGCTATTGTCTATAGCCAAGTGTTTCCAAATATGATAGAGCTACCAAGCTGGCGCAGCACACGGGACGAGCGTCCGAGCCGGAGGGGTCTCCCTCAAGGCTCTTCTCGTCATTTCGGCCACGTAATATAGCGAGGTTTCTGTTCTCATGATTCCAGCCAGAAAAGCATGATTGGTTCGCTAGAGAAATTATTTTCAGGCTTAATGTTCTCGTATCTGGGGTAGCATAATCGGATGTTCCGGGGTGTCGTCCCGGGGCCAGTGAACGGAGTGCGACCCTCCGGAGCACCGTTTCAGCTCTAGACGGAGACGCCAGCCATCCCCAAATTAGGTATACGACGGAAATGCTCCTTGAAACGAAGACTAAGGTCCAAGAGTGGGAATTCTGTTTCATCGCGGCCAGGAGTTTGTGGACTTATAACTTCACAGCATCCCTTGTTTCGGCGAGGGTTTTGAAGTCCGGACAACACGACTCTGTGCTCAGAAAATTTTCAGTTCCCAAGGAAAGGGACAAATTTCCCATTTGAAATTCATACAAGAGATCTTGAAGCTTGCAGAGATGCGTTTCTCTATGATTGCGGCAGCGTTGTCTGCTTTGTCGACAACATCAGTATCTGCACTCACCTACAAAGGCGTCGATTGGTCCTCGGTAGCAGTGGAAGAAGGAAAGGGTATCTCATACTCAGATGGCGGCTCGACACTCCCTCTCGAGCAGATCCTCAAGAATAACGGCGTCAACTCGGTGCGACAGCGTGTCTGGGTGAATCCATCCAACGGCGAGTACAACCTGGACTACAACCTAAAGCTGGCCAAGCGAGCCAAAGCCCAAGGGCTGAGTGTGTACCTCACATTGCATTTCAGTGACACCTGGGCCGACCCAAGCAAGCAAGGAATTCCGTCTGGCTGGCCCACTGCCATCGATGACCTCGCATGGAAGTTGTACAACTACACCAAGGATGTCTCCAATGCCTTTAGCAGCGCAGGCGTTGCACCAGCCATCATCTCCATTGGCAACGAAATCACATCTGGCCTCCTATTGCCTACAGGAACAACATCCAATTTCTACAACGTGGCGCGTCTGCTGAACTCTGCTTCCTGGGGAATCAAAGATTCCAACCTCAGCCCAAAGCCCAAAATTATGATTCATCTCGACAATGGTTGGAAGTGGGAGACACAGCAGTGGTGGTACAAGGGCGTCCTCGCTGCAGGTCCTCTGGCGTCCAGCGACTTTGATGTTATGGGAGTTTCCTACTATCCGTTTTATGGTAACGGAGCTACTCTCTCGGCACTCAAATCAAGCCTGCAGAACATGAAGAGCACCTGGGGCAAAGAGCTCATGATTGTCGAGACAGATTGGCCAACTTCATGTCCTTCCCCAGCATACGCATTCCCCTCCGATCTCACCAGCATCCCATTCTCTGCCGCCGGGCAAACTACCTTTATCAAAAAGGTAGCGCAGGTTGCCAATGATGTGGGTGCTACGGGTCTCTATTACTGGGAACCCGCATGGATGAACAACCAGGCCTTGGGCTCGTCCTGCCCTTCGAACACGCTGTTCGAGTGGCCTGGCAAGGCTCTGTCCAGTCTTTCTGTATTTAAGAGCATTTGAATAGTCTAAGAAGAATTTTGGACTATGAGGTTATCCAAGGTAGCATGAAGAAATATTTTTGCATTTAGCTATTCTATGACAGACTTCAATTCCCCGCGCCGAGACAACGCTCATAGAAACCAGCTGCTCGACTCGTGTGTACTGTAAAAGATCTGCGTATCTCAAGAGGTTCATCTAACTTGAGAAAGGATAGCCTCTAGGCAATGTAGCCCAAGAGTTGATAATGCCAAACGCAGCAGTGTGGATTCGGGGTAGTATTCCAAAAGGGCAGAACCGCTGTTTTCTGAACATTGCACGAGAATAAGAAAACTTTTGGCACCCAATTAGTCAAATTCGATGGCTCAACATTACTTAAACCAAGATAGATTTTCCACCAAATATTTTCATAAGACAGTAGGTAGAGATCTTAAACGATGCGTAGATGCGAAGCTTGGATGAATACCAATTTGCATAATCCCATTTACCCACGAAATATCAAAGCCTATCTGGTCGACTCGTTGCTCAGAAAAACTAGAAAACGCCGGCGCCACCCTTTTCCATGTCATTAACAGAGGCTGGTGTTCATTCCTCGGCCGGCTCCTCCACGCGGACCTTCAGGCGCCTCTTCTCGCCACCAAACACCTGGCTCTTCTGCTTGACGACACGAGCATCCTCATCAATGATACCATCCTCGATATCCATGGCATCCTCGCCTGCCTCTTCTCTGCGGCGTCGCAACTCGCTTCCACGAATACGGGGCAGGAGGTGCTCGTGCTCGGCGACGAGCTTGGCCGCACGGGCGAGCTCGCGGGCCTTGTTCCCAGCCATGCGCTTCTTGTAGAACACGCGCTCTCTGCGTGCGCGGATCTCGCTGACGCGCTTCATGGCCTGGATAGTCTTGGCCATGAGCTCGGGGTTGTATCGCTGGGGAACGTTGCGGCGGGCCTCGAAGAGGAGCGAGTTGTCGACCGTCATCTCCTTGCCGGCCCGACGGCGCGACGCCTTTGTCCAGCGAAGAGAGCGCGGGTTTCTTCGAAGCTTGAAGTTCTTGTGGCACTTGGATTTGCAGAATCGGAAGGATTTCCCTAGAAGCAGTCACTGTCAGCGTCGATTTCCAGGCTAAGGGAAACGTGGCACGAGAAACTCACCATCATTTCTCATGAAGGTAATCCCCTTCGAGGGGTACGCCGGAGCGCCGCAAAAGTAACAGTTGTCGATTCTGCAGGTCTGGTTAATAGATGTCCTCCACGAAGATAGGGCTACGCCGCAACTGACCTCATATTTGCGTCGCCAACGTTATCCTCGTCCTAACAGAAAGATGCTAAGAACAGAGGCTGGTTGTAAATATTGAAAAAAAAAAAAAGTAACCAGCCCCACCGCCATTTGATAACGATAAGTGATTAGGTAATCCTCTTGGATATGATGTGGAATGAGTTGTTCCCGCAGAAAAGAGGGGTAGAACCCAGCGGCACAAACATTTCAATGGTTTCCGAGCAAAGCTTTAGGTAATGTCCATCATCTCGTTGCGATATGCCAGTGAGTTCTTTATAATCTTAGGCAAGCTCATGTAGCAAGATATATTCAAGATGACTGTGATTTCAAAACCACCTTCTCCATGTCTAAACATTTATTGGGCCAACCGCATCCCCGCCCCACTAATAAAAAATACTAGCACCACACTACGCCCCGTTTCAAACTACATTCCAGCCACTTGAAGACAATCCTCAGCCACCATCGCGGCTCCATACATATGAGACTACCCTAGACATCCCAACCGCGAAGACAGACGCCAAGTAATAACGAAGAGTCCTATTATGGAACTTATTTCGGTAAGTATTCCTGAGATATTAATGATTTCATGATATAATCATGTGGATAACGGATCAACTCTATAAGATTGTCCATGTTTAACGAGATAGTATACTTCACGGTGATGAGTTAAATTCTGAGGTGTGTCCAACAGGAAGATTAGCCCGTCTCCAAGTGGACAGAGATGTGCTGTCAGAATTGACGACTTCCAGATTAGATGATACAATTTGCAAAGAGAGAGCAGAGTGTAAAACAGTCGAGGTCTAATGCTTACGGGTGTGGCAAATATCAGCCTGACTACCTACTAAATGGTGTGAAGCTCGCGTGCTGACATCAGCTGCTACTTGTTTCTGATGATGATGTGTGTGGTGCTAATCAATCAAAAGGACGGCATTACCATAGTGGCGATCCTTCATCTATTAGCCACTTACTTCAAATTAACGTTCATCACTTTTCTATTGTGTTGAGTCTAGTTGACGACATCACTCGCATAGAAATTGGACACCTCGTTAGCCCTCCACCTCGGAAATACATGTCCCACTTAAAGTGGCCCTCCAAAAGTCTGAGACATCTACCCACTTTTACACCTAAACTACCTCTAAAAAGCTCTAATTTAAACTATATTTTACCACTAAGTTTTTTCTAAAAATTATATATTATATAATTTATTACTTAAATTTAATTATTATATTTTTTAAAATATTAATACCCCTAATAAATCTAGAGATATAGCTCTCTAAAGTTAGAAGAGTTAAAGAGAGGCCTTCTTTAGTGGGCTATAGTGGATGTATAGTGGATTAATAAAATAGAAAAAGTTACTCTTCTACTTTAAAGAGCTATATCTCTAGATTAACTAGGGGTATTAATATTTTAAAAAATATAATAATTAAATTTAAGTAATAAATTATATAATATATAATTTTTAGAAAAATTCTAGCACTAGAATATAGTTTAAAATAAGAGTGTTCTAGATATCTTTTAGTGTAAAAGTGGGTAGGTGTCTCAGACTTTTGATACCTGCCTGTAGCTGGTATGTTGGAAGAAAAATGCCGATTGCTCTGACTGTTCTATTATCACAATGCATTGTGAACTAAGGGGGCGCTGGTCAGCGAAAGTGGCTTAGCTGGCTGTTGCCATTGATCCTTGATCCGTCGTCCATCTAGTCGTTTCAGGACTACGCGCTTTGAATGACACAAACTCTTGTCAGCATGCCAACCATGCCACGTCCTTATCCTGAAATCGGGAACTCTTCGTTCCTTTTGTCGTGTAACTTCACCTCTTCGTCAACCATGAGAATTGCTCATTGTGCTATTGCTTGCAGCACATAGACTCCTTGCTGAAAAATGCATCACGGTAAAGTCCAGGAAAGTGGGACGCCTCTCCTTGGTTCGGAGATAGCCTTGGAAACGATGAATCTCCGGACTGGTAGCTATCAAGGTATGTTTTAACGCCAACCAGTTGGGTCGCCTTTGGCCTACTGACGAATCCGTACTTAGATGCGTATCTTCAAGAATTTGGCGGCAAGAGGCCTCGTGGCAAGTTTTTTCGTATGCGACGGAAGAATGGTGGCAAGCCAATGTCTCGAGATTCAGCTACAGGTTGGAGGCTTGGTGCGTCGGTTGCAGCCGCCATAGCGCTTGTTGTCTTGATAGCCAATGTTACGATGGCCGGCGTGTTTACCTCGAGGGCACGAGCTCAAGGATATACCTCAAATGTCGTACCCATCAACATTGGTAACTGCGGCTACATCAAGAAACTTGGCATCGGGATACATCTCGTTATCAATATTGTTAGCACCCTTCTTTTGGGAGCAAGCAACTATTGCATGCAGACTATAAGTGCTCCGTCGCGCGATGACGTTGATAGAGCGCATGCAAAGGGCTCGTGGGTAGATATTGGCATACCCAGCCTCCGAAATCTGCGCTTCATTAGGAAGCGGCGAGTTTTTGTCTGGTTCTGCCTTGGCGTAACTTCTATTCCACTTCATCTTGTGTAAGCGTATTCTTCCCACTCTTTTGGGCACTTCTAACTCCCTATAGCTACAATTCTATCTTCTTTGTGTCCACTAACAACAATCTGTACCGAATCTGGTACGCCGACGATTCCTTCGCGCGAGGTGCTCCTTTCAACGAGACGTTTTTCGCACAAGCTATAGCCCTTGGAAATGTCAACGCCGGCAAAGTGCAAGATCAGCTTATGCACGGCGAGCGATATCAAAATCTCACCAACGACGAATGCATCAACGCTTACGCAAAAGCTTTGATTGAGGACAGAGGGAACGTGATTTTAGTCATGGATAGACCCGCAAATTGCAGTATTTTCAACGATCCATTTGATCTGAGACTGAGCGAACCCGGCCACTCTTCTCTTCCGGATTGTGGAAACACATCGGCCACATCTCTGTACTCAGTTGACAACTACAACAATGATTTCAGCCCCGAGACCGATCCCTACATTAGTAACTGGTATTACTGGATCTGTTCCCAAGAGTCAGTCTATAGGACAGAAACCGAGAATGATCCTAGGTCTCCACCTGACAAATTGTGCAGTGATGGAGCCTGGAAGGACCAGCTGGGAGCAGATCCATGGACAATCCATGGCATTAAGGTCAACTACTGTCTCAGCGAAAAACTAAACAGCCAATGCCAACTAAGAGTTTCCCTCAATCTCATTTATGCGGTTATAGCTTTTAACGCGGCCAAGCTGATAATCATTATCCTCATCGCGACAAGCTCTTGGATCAACGACGAGCCTCTGGTAACTGTCGGAGACGCAGCTGCTTCTTTCATTGAATCTCCTGATCCGATAACGAAAGGGCTCTGTCTCGCATCTGCACGTGAGATTATACATACTAAGGTATCTGAAGAATCATCCCACGCGGTTTATCAGCCCCCGAGAAAACGCTGGTTCTCTGCTGGTAGCTCCCTTCGCTGGACAATTGCCTCGCTCCTGTAATATATGCTACTCTTTCCTCTCCCCTCAAACAAGGAGTACCTAACTAATATGATGAGAAAGGACTCTTACTGCAGTAGGCGTGATTCTTGGATTGCTAGGATATGCGTTAAAGATGCTGGGAAGCCGCTTTTCCCGAAGCGATTTTGGTTCTCTATGGTCTTTTGGTATCGGGACTATCAACCCTTACACGCTCATCAGAAACTGGAAGATCCCCACAGAAGGAGATCTAGCCGTTGCTGGTACCGTCCTCCTGACAAACTTACCGCAAATCATCTTGTCCTTTATATACTTGGTTCTGAATTCCCTTCTAACGTCGATGGTTGCTGCCGCAGAATGGGCCAGTTTTGCTCACGGTTCACACCAGCCCCTCCGAGTCTCCTTCCCTAAAGGGGCACAGAAGTCTGCATTCTTTCTAGAGCTTCCTTATCAATACAGTGTCCCCATGCTAGTTCTCTCGATACTGATGCATTGGCTCATTTCTCAAGGATTCTTCATTGCACAGATATTTGAGAGGTACTTGTGGGACTTTGACGACAATGATAGGCTTGACCAAGAGGCGTTGGATAAGATGCAGGTAACCACAACGGGTGCGTACTCTCCGATTGCTATGGTTCTCACCTGTACCATTCTTGTTATATTGTTTGGGAGCGTGGCCATCCTCGGGGCTCGCCAGTTGAGGGATGGGATGCCGCTTGCCGGAAGTTGCAGCTTAGCCATATCCGCTGCGTGCCATACGCCTGGGGGAACTTCCAGTTTACTACCAGTGAAGTGGGGGGTAGTCCGTTCAGCAGAAGGACCTGTAGATACCGGTCATTGCTCTTTTTCCAACGACGAGGTAGAATTGCCAGAACCTGGTAACCGCTATGCATAACTCAATGCTGCATCAGTTCAAGTCTAAGGAGGAGAATACTGTGGCTAAGGAGGAATTAGACGTGTATAGCTGACTAAATTTTGGCTAAGAAAACTTTGGGCTATGAGACTCTTTGATTTGATGTTGGCTGCTCGCTAATTTGTCCTGTATCAAAGCATTTGTGGCTCACCAGCTTGGAATCCGAAATTGTTGGTATATCTTAGGCTGATGAGATGTATATTCGAAGCCTCGATGATCTAGCTAAGACATGGCCCTCAGCTTAGAGTCAGCAATAGCTGAGATCGCATCTGCTAGAACAACCGCGATTGCCACCAACCAGTCTCACTGGTGCTTTGAGAAAGTAAAATCAAATCACGGCAACACAAAGGGGGATAACTAGATAAGACAGCAGGAACCTGAGTTTCGAGGTCCGGACTTCTGGCGCTAGATGCCAATGCCGAAAGAAGCACATAAGGGTTAGCGACTCAAGGTGCGAGCAAACAGCTGATCGAGGATATTAGGTTCAATTTGGCCCGGCGGAGCGATATTTCGAAAATGGGAAGCTGTAACGTGAACTGCATACGTCTATACTAATTAATTATTGGAAAAGCAAGTTGAACCAAAGATTTCTGAGATAAGATTGTCGATAATGTCACTTTGGTAACATGAATATCGTTGATCTAGATTCGTGATTATTGTAAAATATTGAATGATAATTGGACGGATCCTTTTTTCGGCGAACTTTCTTTGCATCGAAGGATTAAATCATCTGTCTGTGCTATTACTGCACCAAGTGAAACGACATTTTCCCTTATTGAGACATAAATTCACGTATCAAATTCAAATTAATTTGAAGTCACTCGGATGCATGGCATTTTGTCTTTGTGGTTCTTGTGCTCGTACGGCCGCAGGGACAATTGGTCTATTGCCTATCTGAGAACTAGACTTGATACAAAGAAAAATCCGGCCAAGGAAAAGTGCTCTACATGATGCGCTGCCACCCATGATGCGCTTCACCTCCATCGACCATCCTCCTTGAAGGCATGCCGACTTCTCATTTTGACTGTCATAGTTGCCCCCTAAGCCTCATAGAGACAGTTAGCCCATTTGAACCCCTTTGACTGCAAAATCATTTAGCAAACTTGATCTTGATATTATTGAAAACATCGACTTTAGCTTTGATTCTGGCCTTCCCCTTTGATGCCGTCTTTTCGGTGTATTCTTTATTTCCCGGGCTCAAACCAGTGGTATTGCTGACAATTTCATTCAACTTATCGGTCATGTCTCCGTAGCCGGTTTTCTCTGGCCGGTAGGTAAAAGCCTGTCGATCTTTTCGAAATAAGTCCCGGTGTGTTTGCCACAACTCGGGGATCTTGTTGGCCGCAGCCCCCTGGTTGCCTACTGAACACTTCTCGGGACGGCCATCGGCAAGGTCCAGGGTCATTGTGTCAGTAATAGTCGCTTCATGATTCGCATAATGGCCCATAATGAGATACCACTGATTGTCCTTCCTTCCGGCAATCACTGAGCCGAGACAACCGTTAAAGCCAACCGATTTGTAACTGGTTCCCTTTTCAAGTGTAAAAAGTTTCGTTTCACCCATACGGACGGTGCATGCTTCTGCCATGTTTGCGGCGTTTCCATTAGCAATAAATAAAATATGTTAGATTATGGCATACGATTAGAATTTACCTGCGGTTTTATATCCATTTTGATTCCTAACTCACTTAATTGCGAAGTTATGGCCTACTCATGCACGGGTTCAAGAACAACGAAACTGGGTATCTGACTGATTCACTGAACTCGAATGGTTGACATTCACAAGTAGTTTACCAATCACAGATAAGTCACTGCCATTGAATTACAACTGAGCAACCAAATATTTGACCGACTTAGCAGATTAAACTGGTCGTGTCATTGATTTACTGAAGTTAGACCGGATGTAATGTTGGAGGTCTTGGTGGCTTTGTAATACAGAGTACAAAGTGGTCTTATTTATGTGTGGTGTACTAGTTAACTTAGTAGTTCGATATTTCTAAGCTATTTCTGGTGTATAAGAAACAAGAACATAGAATGGCTAGTCTTGCGTCGAATTCACGAATATCGGCTTCTTGGTCAAAGTGTTCACTTGAAGGAAATTAACTCATAATACCATCGGCCTGCAAGTTTTGTATACAAGAAATGTCATCTATACACAAAATAGCAGAACTGGAAATGGAGAGAATAGCGAAAAATGTACAATGGCAGAATATTGAATATCTAGTTCGTTGTTTCATAGCTACATACGTTGGTGTTGGTGAAGTCATTGATAACTCAAGAAATACGGCACAAAGTGAAAAGTGTTAAAGGAATCTATCTTTAAACTATTGAGATATTCGTCTTTGTCGATGTAATGAATGGTGCTCCCATAATATGGCTGGCAATCCATCCCCGCTGCCAATAGCAGCCTAGGAATACCTAGTTCGACTCACCTAGATCGACTCTTTCAGTTTATCATTTTAGACTCAAACGCTGGTATCTGATGCAGATTAGCTCTCCGAGGAAAATAGAACATTTGATTATGAATGGCTGCCAGGAACGCTTCTATGCTTGGTCAGTTTGGAATTAGCATAGAGTCAACGGTGACAGTGACGAACATCGAATCAACCTTAGTTGAAGAGTCCAGATGAAATTGATTTGGAGTGAAGCCCCAAAAGATTCTTAATTTCATTTTCGGCTTCACTATTTGGAGACATGGAAGTGATCACCTACGCTACCCTCTCGATAGTGACTTCTTTAATATCCTTTCCCGTATCGGTTCCCTCAAGCGGATCTGCTGAAGGGCTGATCTTTGCTCTCCATCCCATATACCATGGCCCTGCGAACAGCTCATCCATTCTCTCCATGGGGACACCCTTGGTCTCTGGGGCCCATACGCCCAAGAGTAGTAGTCCGACTGCACAAACACAAGTCCAAAAGATATATGCCCCAGACACCCCAAGTCCGACAAACATGTTGGGCGTTACGCGCACGACAGCGAACTGGAAGAACCAGTGCAGCATCATGTTGAACGCATAGCACACTGATCGAATACGGGTTGGGTAGATCTCTGTGCCGTACAGCGCCTGGGTGTTGCAAAGGCCAATTGACCACCCAACAGCGTAGATGAAGACAGAGGCAATGGCTGCGTTGCTCGCATACTTGTTTGACCCGTCTGAGAACAACGACATATAAATGGCCATCCAAGCGTGTGCCAGGCCTTGCAGCCAGAGACCGGTGAACATGGTTTTCCTACGTCCCCAGATATCGACCAGGCACCAGGCAAATAACATGGTGAACACGAGCTTTACGGCCCCGTATGCCCCAGAGGTTATTAGAGACTGATCGGAACTGGTCACGCCGGCTAGTTTGAAAATCTGAGGGATATAAAAGGTGATGCCGTTCCCTCCAGTCCATTGAGCAATGGTTTGTACCGCGGCGCCCAGCAGGAATCTCTCACGGTAGTTGCTATCAGTTACAATCTCCTTGACGATTGTCCAAATCGATGCCTGGGATAGGCTCTCAGTTTGGTGATGAGCCTGGTCCTGGATGTCAGCGCGCTCTGTCGCCAGGGCCTCATCATCTTGACTCGATTTCCGAAGGCGTTCGAGCGCAGCTGTGGCTTCCGCAATACGTCCCTTGGAAGCTAGCCAGCGCGGGGTGTCTGACAGGAAAAAGGACCCGATGAGAGCGAGGCCGACTGGGATGAGGGGAATTGCCTGCACGAGGCGGTACTGCATGCGATCTGAAGGGAGTCCTTTGTTGGCGCCGAAGTTGATGAAGAAACCTAGCACAAAGTTTAGCAAATATGTCATGAGGTTTTCGCAATCTTCGAGGCTTAGTGTCTCACCAAACATTAAGAAGGAAAGTAAGAACACCATGTACACGGTGACGACCATTCCTCGAGATTTGGTTGGGGCAATCTCGGAGAGGTAAAGTGGTGAGACAACGGTCAAGATACCGGCACCGAGACCGGCCCAGATGCGCGCAAAAAGAAGCAGTCCGATGATTCCCGAAGCAAATATTTGCATAAAGAGGCCTGACATCCAGAGACATATCGCTAGCTGGAATGAGCGAAGCCGACCGAGGCGATCGTTGATGAGAAGCGCAATCAAGGTGCCACACGCTGCCCCGAGAACACTGAAGGACTTGATGTTGCCTTCCAGAGTCGCCAGGCCGTTGGCGTCATTTTTCCAGTTGGATGCCAGCAGATTGAAGTCCGTCTCGAAGGACTTCAGACTGACTGATGCACTGTATCCACCCTCATCGTAGCCTACATACTCAATGAGTAAACGGGAATGTTCAAGGTTGGTTGTTTTTTTATCAAGGGCACTGACCTTTAGGAATGGATCCGCAAGACACGATGATGATAGAAAGGACAAAGTACCAGTTGACGCTCATCTTGTTCTTGTGGCGAGGCCAAGGGCGGTTGTAGGATGGTGTGACGAAGGTGACGAGGTGCTCAACCAGTTCGGCCCAGTCGACTCCCGTTGTTGATACTCAGGGGACGGAGCCAGGCTTTTGTAGGTCGGTTGTCAAGGCCTGGGGCGTCTAGGGATCCCCGTGGGGTCCACGAGTCGATGCAGGAAAGCGAGATTTCATGCCTCCAATGATCAATTGGAGAACCGGCTGGAGAGTTGGAGCCCCAGGCTTTCCCCATCTTATTGCCGGGTGACAGGCCCAAGTTTGCACGCAGTATTGGTGGAGATCATTTCCCCATCGATGCCAGGCCCTCGGCGAACTCCCGAGCCAGGAGATCAGCTCAACTCGCTGAGTCACTGACTAATGGCGGCCTACTCTGGGTCATCCTTGTCAGAAGGGATGGATGTGGAGAGGTTTGTCCCTTCGGGAGTTCGCCGAGTGCAGTCGTTTTGGTGTCAAAGCCTCTACGCAACCGGTGCTTCACCAACTGACATGCCAGCCTTGTCTCTCCTCTCCGCAGAGTGGATGGTGGACCACAGGATATTGCAAATTTAGCTCTTTCACTATCCACAGACCATTCAAGATACTCGGGGCAAATGAGAATAATGCCTCGCCTTGCCTTGCCGGAGCATTTCCGCCTGCGCTTCGCTCAGGCATGTCCAGTACATATCAAATGTCGGGCACTATTATATCCAATAAAGCCCCAGCCTACGCACCACCCCAGTCGGACATTCTGTCACTACTCTGCGAACCGTAAGAAACACAAGACCGCGATGCTACAGCATTCTCAAATACCGCCTGGGTCATGGGACTCTCACATGCACGTGTTTGATGTGGAGCGATATCCCCTCCTAGCAAAAGCGCTGTATGCTCCTAAACCATACACAGTTGCCGATGCCATCACCTTTGAGGCTTCGATGGGCCTCGATGGCGTCGTCATAGTCCAACCTTCAGGCTACGGCAACGACAACTCATGCCTCCTCGATGCCCTCCACCAACTTGGGCCACGAAGTGCCCGGGGCGTTGTGAGCTTTGACCCTGCGACAACATCTCCAGAAACTCTTCGGGAATGGCATGGCCTTGGAATTCGTGGCGTACGCGTGAACCTACGGTCCGTCGAATGGAGTCCTACAGAGGCTGAGCTCACCTCTGTACTTCGCGCATACGCAGATCTCATACGGCCTCTCGACTGGGTCCTCCAGATTTATGTACCGTTACCAACGGTGAAGACCCTAGAGAACATCATACCAGAACTCGGAGTCCGATTCTGTATTGATCACATAGGTCATCCACCGTTGAATGAATCCGGGCTCCAATATGCTCGGACTCGAAATCCATATGACCTTGACGGCTTCGGATCATTAGTTCGCCTTCTAAAGGGGAAACAGACGTATGTAAAGCTTTCTGCAGCCTACCGCTTCAGCCAAGCCACCGACTACGAGGATGTGGCGCCTATTGCCAAGGAGGTGCTGAGGGTTGCAGGCAAGAGCCATGTGGTATTTGCAACTGATTGGCCACATTCTCGATATGAAGGCCTTGATATCTCACCTTGGGTACAAAAGGTGCTTGAATGGTGTGATGAAGACAAATCCCTCGTGGAGAGAGTCTTTCGCGACAATGCAAGGGATTTGTGGGATATCAGAAATTGATTAGGCACTTGCGCTTGGTATCTTTATGTCATAAAGCGGTACATCTATAGACTTGATCACTAATCTCATCTTTCAGCATTGCTATATGGAGACCCTGAAGAAAGTATTGTTGTAATACATGATGTGTAGTTGATAATTGATTTCTCGCTGATCAATAAATAATAATTCAGAGAGGGGGTTATGAAGGTGACAAGCCGCGAGATTTATTCAGCGACGGCTCAAGAAATTTAGGCGTGGATGATCGGCATCCGCCTCCAAGTTTCGTTAAATCGATAATAGAATCCCCAAGCTCTATTAGTTTATTTTATACACCTTAGAATCCTCATTCATATGTCATGCGGGTTTTACATTGCCCATTGCGTTGGCATGACACTTGGCTGGCTGTCAGTTCATCAGTGTTGTACATTTAGACGAACATAGTCTGAACTGCTCTGGGCATAACATTGATGTTGATTCGTACGAAGCCTTGGTTTCTCACCATTAGGATCTTTTTAAAACTATTTATCACGAACTTGCGTTTAAGACGACGCGGTCACGTGAGAGCAGATGTTCAGAATGTGGGTATTATCAGTTAGTTAGGTAGTTTCTCCGCCATGAGAACTTAGAAGCGACCCCTGCTCACAATCACCGCATGACGACGAAACACCAGACACATGATGTCAACAGCCAGGGAGACAAAAAGGCTGCAATTTACGTGTGAACAATGCCGTAAACGCAAGGTGCGGACTACGTAATTGTATTGGCATATCGGTCTCAACTCGTATAGCTAACTTCGAGCCCTCCAGGTCAAATGCAATGGGCGGGAGCCAAGGTGTGATCGGTGCGAGGCTCGGGGAGACGAATGCGAATACAAACAGTTAGATCATTGCTATGGTAACAATAGTAGTTCTTTACTGACACAAAAATTCAGGTCACCAACACTGGCTTACACGCACTCACTAGAGAAACGTGTCGAAGAGTTGGAAGCGGAGATTCAGGCTCTTCGAGCCGGAGCAGCAGACAAGAACACCCTAGAACCCGAATCTTCTGCCGAGAACCAAAACCCGCCGATAAATGCTATCGAATCATCTAGACCTAGGGTCCTCAAGGGCCTGAATCTCGATGATAAGGGTGTCCCGATCTATCATGGTTCAACAAGCTTTTTCCACCGGCTAGATAGTTCTATCCAAAATGGAAGCACTTCCGGAATAGCTACACAAATATCTGACCCCCTTGGAGCCGAGAGCAGGCAGAGACTTGTATTGAATGCATGGGAGCAGCGTGCGCAAGAGAGTTTGTCTCAGATACCTGTATGTTATGGTCCTCACACAATACGCCGTGCCAGTGGCAAGTGTACTAACACTTTATTCAGGAACCTTTCCGGTACTTGTTGAATCTTCACTGGTGCTGGATTCAGCCGTTATTCAACTTCATCTACAGACCCGCATTCACACGTATGGCATGGTTGTGACTTCTACCGGAATACCGCTAATACTAAGATAGGTGATATGGCTATGATGGGGCCCTACTACTCTCACACATTGATGAATGCTCTCCTTGCCCACTCGGTACGGTGGGGAATAGGAGACGAACAAACCCGACAGCTTCTGAGTCCTTACGACGATGGCAAAGTGTTTGCCAGGCAAGCCTGGGATGGTATATTCAATGAGCTTAGAGAGGGTGTGTGCACCATTCCAACAGTACAAGCGCTGCTTCTTCTGAGCGCACAGGAATGTAGTCATGGCAATAGCACACAGGCATGGGTTTGTACTGGCATCGCCTTTCGACTTATTGACCATCTTGGGATCTGCTTCGATAGCCAGCGGTATATGGGATCTGCCACTTTATCCGACGAGGACACTGAAATACGCCGTCGCTTGTTTTGGAGCTGTTACTTTTGGGATAAACTGATGAGTCTCTACCTGGGAAGATCGCCTTCCCTGCAGCAATCTCCCGCCTCCCCTCCACAGCGTATCCGTAAGTTGCATCTAATATCATTATCGTCGTAGGAAGACTCGCTAATAGCAACTTTAAGTTGATGATTCAGCCGAGGACGAGTTGTGGACGCCACACGGTCTCACTTACGCGAACGGAGAACAATATCCTCCCACTCCCTCCCATTCGACATCCTCCTTTATTCAGATATGCCGGCTTACGGTCATATTCAATGAAATTCTCATCCACATGTATGATCCGACCTACCACAACTCAGATACAGAGATGCACAGTTGTCTTATCAAAGAGGAGGCGTCGTTAAACTCATGGTGGGCGGAATTGCCTCCCTTTCTCAAGATGGAAGTATCAGATCTTCCTCGATATGCTCCACCTTCAAACATCGTAATACTAAAGTATGCTCCAAGCTCCTCTATCCAGTTCAAATTCTAACAAACTCAAGTCTTCTCTATCATTGCTTTCGAATCCTCCTCTATCGGCCAATGCTATCGCGCCGCTCGTCTCCGGAATTTGGCCCTCTTGAGCCAAATCCAAACCATCTCCGTGAGTGCGTCAGCTCTGCGACAGCTATAATCGCCATTTTCGACCTCTATTATCGAACGTTTGGCGAATCTCACTGCACGATTTCTGTCGCATACTGCGTGTATATAGCTTCATCTATCTTCCTTCTCCAGGTACAGGCTACGCCAAGTGATCATCAAGCGGCACGCCGGCTGGAGTTCTGCGGCCACGCACTTGCAAGTGCTAGTAGGATTAATCCAAGTAAGCAACTGCGCCCTCTCTCAGTCGTGAAATATAGCTGACCTGTCGCATATAGTAATTCGAAGCGCGCTGAAGTTAGTGATGGAGGCAATTAACGACCTTGGAGTCGAAATGGCGATGCCTTTTGAACCACAGCCTGTCACGGGCACAACCCCTACAACCAGCACAAACTATCCGCTGCAATCTCAGGCATTCCTATCTTCGATTGATTCAAGTCAACTACCCTTCACTTACGAGCCCGATTTTGAAGGGCTTGATCAGTTGCAGTTTGGTCTAAATGTCGATGATCTAAGTATATCGTCGGAAATGTTCCAAGCTGTCTTGTCTTTAGAGCCTATGACTGTGAGGTTGGAAGACCTTAATGACCAAGTCCTATAGAATGCCCCGTGATAAACAAAGGGAGTGACCTTTTATTGTCTCATTGTGAATCCATTCCAATGAAACCAAGCTCCTGCAACGTACAGACAGTCGAGTGGTCATGGCAAGCTTCCAGTTCTTCCAGATTAAATGTATTAATTATGAGTTTCATCAATATTCCTTCTAGCTCACTAAAATGCAGAAATTGAATACAAAACTCTGAACCTTGGATTAGAGATTCATCTTGTGAACACTACTATCCCTAGTCCACCGTCTGAAGGTCTTCCCGTAGTAATAAAACACTACCCCAAACAGGCTCCAAAGGACAAGTAGTCCCATGTTAACCATGAAGGCAGGAATGAATCTGATGAGAGCTGATGAGAAAGAGTCATTAAGAAAAAAAGGAAAGACAGGGGCAGCTTACCCATTTTCCATCGTCCAAGGGGTGATGAACTTTCCCATTCCATAGCCCCAAAGGTTTTTGTTTACCGTGATGATAACAAAGATCGCTCCAGAGACTGGTTTGTAGCTGTCGACGGCATAAGTGCTGCTGATACTAGGAAGTGCGGCAATCTGAATTCCTGCACTTGCATAGCCAACGATGACAATGGCCTCCCACGGCCACTGTTGCTGGTATCCAATGCCCGTTATAATATGTCCGATGGCCGATATTACTACGTATGGGATCATGGCTGGAAGACGCATCTCGGGCTCTCTGATGCCGTTATTACGTGCTGTTGCGCGAGCTGCTACCCAATCGCTGAGAGGCCCTGCAGTCGCAAGCCCAATCAGGGCGCCAACAAAAATCGAGAAGTTCGTAAAGCCTGTGATGGATTAGAATTCTTTCTGTGATTTTCAAGGTTAAAGGGGAAACAAATGAATCATACCGATTGACTGGGAACTCATGTTGTAGGGTGGTTCTGCAAAGACTTGAGATTGGGTGAGGTTTAAAATCAGCATGGCACTGCAGCTCCAGCTAACGACAAACGAGGCAAACACAACGATCGGAAAGCTGAATAGCTTCCATGGAATCCACAGATCCAGAAGCATCGACCTAAGTGGAGAAGCGTTTGGCTGAAAAGGCAGCCACTGCTTTCGATTTGGGCTTCCTCGCCCCAGCCAAGGCTCCTCTTCAGCAGGAGCAGTCTCAGTATTGCTCTCCTCTGATTTGTGTTCGTGGCCCTTTTTCTCTGATGTATCTTCACGGTGTTCCGCCTCGAGGACCTTGGAAGATGATGTAGCATCTGTCTGACGATGTCCTTCAAGAGCGTGGGCACGGCTATATGACGTCTCGGGAAATCCAATGATAATGAAGATTAGGGAAACGCCGGTGATGGCGGTATTGAGCCAAAAGAAAGAAGGCCATCCAGTGTGATCGGCCATAGAGCCGGCGATAATGGGAGCGATCTATTGATGTCAGTTACCCTGATTACGATCATAACCACAAGGGTTGTGCGTACCATCAAAGCTCCAGTATATGTAACCCAAAACATGGTATTCCATTTTCCGCGGTCGTGGAGAAAGAAAATATCGGCAATGATTGTCGGTTGAATGGTTTCGGCGGGTCCTGCTCCAATTCCGTTGAGGCTGTAGCTGTGTGTTAGAGCGCCTTGCTCCTCTGAATCAGATAAGGGGTTTCTTACATTGATGCCCCCATGAACCCATTATAGTCGGTGGCCTTTGCTCGCCAGATATGAGAGACCAAGCAGATGACTTGCGAGACAATCAAGACGGGCCGTCTGCCAAAGGATGTCGAGATCGGGACCCTGTATATCACCGTGTTAGTAGTCCCCATACTACAGTATCTCGGATTCATCACACACCAGATGAAGTTGCTGAAGCCGAGGACCAAAATGGTAACGCCTGTGAATTGAATCACATCGGACAGAGAGCTGTTAAAGTCTCCCATCAGATGCCCAAACATGGGAGCTAAAGCCAGAGGTGCGAAACCCTGGGTGAATGTCAGAGTAGACGCTGCAAGGATTGCAGATAGCTTCCACTTTGTAGACCAGTTCAATGGATCGTTGGGGCTGTGGCTGGGCTGCGGCACCAGAACTCGGTGGTTTTTGCCTTTGCTCTTGACGAAGTGGTGCTCTCCAACATCTGCCATGATCTCCGTTCCCGGGAGAATTTCCAGATGCAGCTCATTTTGGATCTCCGTGATCTCCTGCCCGGAGTTAGCGGTTCATCGTCTTCATCCAATGTTTGAAACCAGAATCGTAACCTACATCACGCCGATCTGCGGTTGCCATGATTACCGATGACGATCAGGAATGATCAGCTTCAGGGGATTTGCTGATGTGGCCAGATTTGGACGAAGAATCTAGAGTTGCCAATCGTGAAGTTGAGCGTGGAGAAAGAAACGCATGGCTCAGGGGGGTGCGGTTCACTCCTTATAACCAAGCGAGGGCCTATCTCACGGCAGGGTCACATCCGATCAGCTAAACGACGCGAATCTTGATCCAGAGCCATATGCCTGGAAAACTTCCGACATTCCGAGCTGCAATCACGTCTCCTATCGCCTAGGCAATTTGCTACCCCAGATTACCATGTGGCGTTTCCCACTTTACCCCAGCTTCCCCGCGCCAAGCGCCGGATGTGTTCGGGTGCGTTCGTTACTCCGTACATCCGTGCCCTTATCAAACCCCTTGACTCGGATGGGGTTGTCTCTTCTGCGCCACCTATGTTCTAGGCCTCTTAAAACACCTGGATCTGGCGGCTGGCCAAGCACTTAGTGAAGCTGATGAGGGGATCGCACTGCTGACGTGACCTTTTGAGGACCCAAGTTTCTCTAATTGGGTTCCTCCGATTGAGCTGTTAGCACCTTGGCTTAGGTCTCGGCTTGTGTTCGGATATGTGCTTGGTAGGTTCGGATAGCTCCCTCATCTGTCGCAGGTTTGTGACGAGTTCATACAGATGATTAAATTCAGACAAAAAAGATTTGCTAATTTGCTAACTTGATGGTTCAATGATGTTCCCTTGACTTTCTTATCTCGGAACGAAATGGCACCTACCCCTCACATGAAGTGTGGTTGGGAAAGATAAAGTACACACTCCCGCTAAATGGTGGTGTAGCTCGGAAATCTCGGAAAACACCGAGTTTGATCTCGAGTAAATATTCTTATAGTTAGATCGTTACAAAAGTAGGAGAAGCCCGCAACCAAATACAATCAGCTCAACACTCAACCTCGATTTTATTATCTTGACATTTGGGAAATCGAGCTCTGAAGTATACGTCCACTATGGCTGATTCTACCAACATACGCACGGAAGCCTTGGTTGTGCACGAGCCGGGCGGCCAGTTTGTCATGAAGCCAGTGATTCTTGATGAAGTCCGCTCGGATGAGGTCCTAGTCGAAATGCAATACTCCGGTATATGCCACACAGTTAGTCACTCACACAAACTAGCAAATGTTTATATTAATTGTGTTTCTGATGACGAATTAGGATGTCCTCTTCCAGACCGGTCTGCTTCCGGGCCCGGCATTCCCAGCCATCTTTGGCCATGAGGGCGCAGGGGTCATCCGAGCATTGGGCAGTGGCGTCAAGGACAAGTCCCTGAAAGTTGGAGACCATGTCTTATTGTCGTTCAACGTTTGCGGTACCTGCAAGCAATGTCTAGCAGACAACCCGGCCTGTTGCCATGTCCATTCACCAGTCAACGCAGGCTGTGTGCGGATATCAGACGGCTCCACGCCAGCGCGTCTCGAGGACGGGACCGCTGTGAGCAGTCAATGCTTTGGCCAATCCTCATTTTCACACCTATCAGTAGTGGCCGAAAGGTGTGTTGTGAAGTGCCCATATCCCGAGTCACTCTCTTACTTTGCCCCTCTGGGTTGCGGCTTCCAGACAGGGGCGGGGACGTTACTGAACGTTCTGAAGCCTGACAAGAGCAAGACGGTGGTTATTTTTGGCGTTGGAAGTGTGGGGATTGCCGCCTTGATGGGCGCTGCCTATCTTGGAGTCAAGCAGCTTATAGCAGTTGATGTGGTCGACGAGAAGCTGGCACTTGCGAAAGAGTTTGGCGCGACGGATACTGTGAACCCGCAAAAGATCGGTCAAGAGACTGTGGAGGCAACCATCAAAAGGCTCACTGATGGAGGAGCTGACTACGCCATTGATTGTACGGGGCGTATCCCTGTCATTGAGTCACTCTTTGGATGCTTGGCTCCTAGGGGCACTGCAACGACGGTTGGAGTTCCCCCTCCCAATAGTGTGGTCAGAATTGAGCCACAGACTTTCCTACTGGAAAACAAAAGCTATATTGGCGTCGTTGAGGGCGGCTCTAACCCTCAGAAGGTTAGTGTCAACGTTATTGGTTCCATCTGAAGATACTGATTGTCCTTTAGTTTATTCCCCAGCTCATGGAGCTTCATCGTCAAGGCCATTTCCCTGTCGACAGACTTTGCAAAGTATATCCAGTCAAGGATTTTGAGACAGCTTTGAGTGACATGCGCTCTGGAAAGGTCAGTGGACGTATTGAATCGATTTAACTATCTATATCTAACTCGCGTTTGTCACAGGTCGTGAAGCCAATTATCAGTTGGAAATAGATGGCTTAAATCCAGCCTCTTGTGTACTGCCTGTGTCAACTTAAATATGACGAGATTGATAGAATGGACTTTTTTGTCCAGTAGAGTGAAACAACATACGCCACTCTATTGTATAAGCTCTCGCTTCACATATTCTTTCAGCCCTGGCACATCCCCTGCAGTGGACGATACAGAGTGCCATAACGATTCGCGATAATACCTTGTAGCCAACCAAGTTTCGAAATCGACCCCAACCAAAGAGAAATCGGCACATGGATTGTTGACAATGTCCACACCCATCTCCTTGGCATCTTGCCTGTCCTGGTCCGTAATGTTGGGACAATCTGGATTTCCCCCATCCCCGCGTTCGTGTTGATGATGACATTCATACCCCCAATGGCCCGGTCTAAACTCCTGTAACACGCAGCTAGCACCCTTCTTCCCAGGCTCAATGTATAGAGAGAACAGGTACGCCCCTTCGTGTTCGGATAGAAATATAATTTTGTATCCCCCGACGCCCCCATCCAAAGATTTCGGAACCTTTCGTAGACCACCCAGTTCTAAACAAAAGTAGTCGCCGGCCGAAGGCATTCGTCTCTGGAGTTTTTCATCCTGGATAAACTTGAGGAATGCTGGAGGCAGGGTGACGCCTATGCGATCTGCACTTGATATCAAGTCATCATAACTTGAATCACGCACAGCCGGCCCGGCATATTTCGATTCCGTTATTTCTGCAAGAATTCCCGTGAGGGGTTCGAGCCACTTGAAGTCACCGCAAAGATGCAGATAGTCAAGGTTGGGAAGCTGACTGTCAGGAGGGAGCTTGACGACGGTTTGGGGCGAGAGGCCGAGGCACTCAAGAAACTCTGGACCTTCAATGAAATCTTGACGCAGGGCGTTAAATGACTGAGTTTGAAGGGGGCCAAGCCTCTCAATCAGGCGTTTAGTGTCACGCCTGGATTTGAAGATTGGCTGGAGCAGAGAAATTGAGATCTCAGTGATGGGATGTTTTAAGGTCCATGCGAGACTCTCAAGAGTGTCATAGGACAGGTAAGATAGAACCTCGACAATGACTTCTTTTGGTAGACGTGGGAATGTCGCCATTATGTGTGTCAGCCTGTCGTCCTTTGTTTGATGATAGGTGGGTGTTGGAACTTGGGGGGATCATACGTGGCTACAAAAAAGGCCGCACTATGAAACTGACTATAGGGTATATCGTGTAGGTTGCAATTTTCTAATCTTCACCGATTCTAAGATTAGGGGGGTATAGTGGATAAAAGGGTCCAAACAGCGACAACCTTTAGTTTTCGGTTTTTTTAGGCAGTTTGTTTGTTTTTCTATTTCCTAAATAGGCTAGCGCATCTTCAGAATTAGGTCACATAACCTTCTTTTCAACACAACAGCCCTAGCCCAGCCTACCCACAAGAGCCTCCAGCCGTAACAGCCTTTTCCCTGATCTACGCGTCGCGATTGAACAGCCCAACCGCGACAGCTTCATCGGCTGTAGCAGCTGTGTTCCTGACCCAGCTGTCGCGATTGAATAGCCCGACCGCGACAGCTTCGTCGGCTGCAGCAGCTGTGTTCCTGACCTAGCTGTCGCGATTAAAAGGGCCTGCTGCGATAGCTTCGTCGGCTGTAGCGGCTGTGTTCCTGACCTAGCTGTCGCGATTGAACAGCCTGACCGCGACAGCTTCATCCGGCTGCAGCGGTTCCCCTTCGAATTAGCTGTCGCGATTGAACAGCCTGACCGCGACAGCTTCGTCGGCTGCAGCAGCTATAGTAGTAATTTCTCTTCTCTAGTTAGCTATTATAATAAATTAGCCTTTTAATAATAAAATAATAATTTTAGAGAGGTTTTTTTTAACTAGAAAATATAATATATAATTTTAATAAAATCTAAAATTCTAGAAATTATAATTTTTTATAATTCTGAAAATCTAGAAATTTAAAAAAACAAAGGTTGTCGCTGTTTAGACCCTTTTTTCTACTATCCCACCGTATAAGATGACCGACCCTGTATCGCCACTGGTGGTGGGAACAGGACGGGAAGAAATTTGAGCCTCAAGGGTCCTGATGCCTCTGGCCGCCCATCCGCTGCTATTTGGAAAGGGGGGATCGAATGAGTAGCACATTCATCATATTGTTGATTATTTACAAGGCCGGCTGGTAAGTTACAAATTTCACAAGCCGTGAGCATCAATCAACATGACACATCACTCACCTGGCGTGAATGCCTTGCTGCGCCCCATGAAAGATGCGCCCCATTGCACCCCATTCATCTATTTGCACCCCATTCGTTGCCCCAAGCCGCCTTGAGTTATATGGTCGTGCTGCTCCCAAGTATTAAAGCCTGCTGCGTTGCACCGCCTAGCTTACTTACTCCTCGCTCTCTGTTTACGCTAGCATGCTTACACTGAACTGCTAGGTTTGCTTTTGTTATGTTTTAGGGTGTTTCGACGTTTGACATTTGGATCTCTAGATCTATGGCGAATTTTGTATCAGGTATCGACATAAAGGGGGCATTTATATCGGAACGTATTCAGTGTAACTGCGCGAGAAAACAACTACAGATGCCTGTGCTAACATCAAGACCTCAAGATGTTGATGCGGCCGAGGTCATACCCCGAGCAGAATCAAAGGATCTAACCACCGGTATGCTGCACATATATCGCAGGCTCAAAGATTTTGTGCTCGATAAGCTTTCCAGGCTGGCGATGCTCCCCGGGGCTCTTCCCCGCCGTCTTTCTGGCTTTCGATGCCTGGCGGATAATGCTGAAGTCTTGGAGCCTGAATCTCAAAAACCCATTTCGCATGTGGAATTATCGGAGGAGACAAAAAAAGCCCCGACTGGGTGTTGTTGCGCCGCCGGTCTGGTCGTTACGACTTACTTCTATTTGATCCTGGTCTTTTGGATTATTCCCTCCATCTATTGCCTGAAATTTCAATTTCGAGGAAAAAGAAGGCCCCCTTGTACAACAATGCCTTGGGCTATACCGGCAGCACTGGCTGTATTATGGGGAGTATGCTGGATGTTCTGGCCACCACTGCACCATTCTGTACCTGGAGATTTCAATCACGATCCACAGGTGCCTGATCCGTCTCGGAATGGTCTTAATGTTGCCTCAGAGTTTGATGACATAGACAGTGAGTACCATGCTCACGCGAAAGTGGATTGTGACTTACCAAGACCAGTCAACCAAATAAGTACAGAGGACATTGACATTTCTCAGTATGATCTCACACCTCAGATTTTCAACTATCAATACACTGACTGGGCCGGTACTGTGAGCGACATCATACCCTCGGATGAATTTAAAATCAATACACAGGCCGATAATCCAGTTGGTTCCTTCATCAGCATGTCTTCGAATACCGAGGCCACTGACACGACTTCTTCCGAAATGTCGCACAATCTAGGGCGGAATAAGGGCTCATCTTATATTCCATCGACGACAAGCAACATTAACCCCACATGTGGAAGCAGCGAGAGGATAGCCGAATTTTCGACTTTTACCGTGGATGTGTCATCAACTACGAAAAAGTTCACTTGTCTGGACTGTGGTGAAGGATTTACTCGGGCATCAACACTACAACGCCATCAGACCGAGAAGCACAACAACAACGCCGAGATGTTTCCTTGTCCAAATACAGGCTGCAGAAGATCAGATTTACAGAATGCTTTCAAGCGCGCAGCTCACTTAACGCGACACTTGAAGAGTTGTAAAAAGCAACCTGAGGGGCAGGGATCTTACCAGGCGGGTTCGTCTGAACAGTATTCAGCGTATCAAACTGACATCAGCCATACGTCAACTTCCATTGATGAATACAAGGAAGCTGAGAAGAAAAGAAAGGCCACAGATGAAGAGGATCTGAGTACAAACACTGGGGAGCAAGTCATAGACTTCCTCCAAAAAAAGAGGAGACAGTTGCTGGCAGAGGCTGAGGCCGGAGAGAAAAGGGCCAGGGCGCAAAGAGAAGAAGCTACGAAGCTTGCTGAATGCATAAGATGCTTGGAGGGTGACAATGGAGATGGAGCAGGGATATAACCACATGGGTTGCGGCTGGAAAGGAACAACTTGACGTCTGAACGTGAGCTATTGAAAGCTATGAATTATTGCTCTTTATGATTGGAAGTTATGCCAACACTCTCTGAAATTAATCTCGTACTCGAAATTCAACTTGCTCTGACCATGAAAGGCCCTGATCTTTGTCTTTGATACATGTGATATCGTGAGGCCTCAAAGTCGCCGAAGCGCCCCCACATGCGAGTTCAAAGTTGAGTATCTTATACACAAGACTTTATTTCCTGATGATCAAATAACGATGGCGCGTGAATTAGTCTTGGCCACCATCTTCCCTGTATTGTTCACTAGGCCTCACAAGGCATCTAAGACGCAGGGGTTGAAGTAATAGACGAAACACACAGAGGAAGGTTGGATGGCCACACAAATGGATGAACACTGAGCGATCAAAGACACCTATATACATAATATTTTGATGATATTCGAATGCATTTAATCGATGCCAGAGACAGGCGCTTTGCTTAAGTATTGATTGCGTCTAGGTCCATCGAACTGGTGTATCCGCCTGCTCTGATATTTAGATTTGTATATTTTAATCCTTCGATATACTAAGCAGTGTAACCTGGATTTATAATCATGCATCGTCGGATTTCTAAGCAGTGGAGAAGCAATTTCATAAGTGCAGCCTTTCCAGGTTTCAATAACGGTAATTAAACAAGGACAAGAAACTCTTGAGGTAGAATATCACATCGATCACAATGGCTAATGCTCTCATCTTTGGCGCGTCCGGTATCTCAGGTTGGTCGCTTCTGAACCAAACCAGAATATATCCATCTGAAAAGGCATTTAAGCGAATCACTGGCACAACAAACCGCCCACTCGCCCTTGGTCATGCGCTTATCCCTGAGGATGATAGGATCAAGATTGTCTCCGGTATTGATTTGAGGGCTGGAGTGGAAGAGGTTGTGGCAAAGCTTCAGGGCCAGATCCCTGACATTGCCACAGTAACTCATGTCTTTTTTACTGGTATGCCCACCACTGTCAGAGCATCCATGGCATTAGATCTACAATCCTGATCAAATTTGTAGCATACATTGAGGAGAAGACTCCTGAAACGATGAAAACAACAAACACACATATCCTAGAGGTTGCTATCCAGGCTGCTGAGAAGGTTGCACCTAATTTGCAGACATTTATTCTGCAAACTGGCGGAAACGGGTACGGTTCTACAGACAATTGCTATCCTTCTTTTCAATCTTAATGCACAAACTAAGCTGTTTATTATCATCCAAGATATGGATTAGAGTTTCCAGACCAAGTGCAAATCAAGACGCCCTTGTCCGAGTCCTTGCCTCGTATTCCAGAGCCATGGGCAAGCAAGGTATTTTACTACGCGCAGCATGACCTACTCGCAGCGGCGTCACGGAACAAGAAGTGGACATTTTCCGAGATTCGACCAGAAGTCATTGTTGGCTTTTCACCGTCATCGAACTTCATGAATCTGGCACAAGGGCTTGGCGTTGTCTTCTCACTCTACAAGGAGGTGAAAGGGGCGGAGGCCTCATTTCCATTCCCGGGAACCTTGCGTGGCTATAACGCCACTTTTACGGACACCTCCCAAGACATACTCGCCAAAATGGAGATCTTTGCCGCCCTGAATCCGGAGACATGTGGTAATGGCGCTGTCATCAACGTCGCGGACGGGCCGACCATGACTTGGGCGCAACTATGGCCCAGACTCTGCGAGCATTTTGGACTTGTTGGGACTGGTCCTCAGGACAGTGGTATATCTATACAGGACTTTGTGAGCAAACACAAAGATGCGTGGGTTGATATTGCTAGGAGGCACGGATTGAGTGAAAATGTGGTCGAGAATATGAATTGGGCATTCATACACTTTGTGCTAGTTGACGTTGCCTTTGACCGCGAGTATGATCTGGCCTACTCCCGAACGTTGGGATTCACTGAGAAGGTCGACACTGTGCATGGTTACATCACCGCATGGGAACGGATGAGGCAGGCAAAGATTCTGCCGCCGAAAGGCTTCTGAAATTCCGTTGCTCTTATCCATTCAACGACGATTTTATGCATACGACCAGGAGCAAACTTATTATGGCATCATGGGAAACCTAACATTCACGCAGATGGAAATATAATCTCTATCCGTGGTGAACTAAGCGATGTCGAGTCTTTATCTAAGAACCAAACAAAATGACTAACCAGATGGACATCGCCCGCCTTGTTAGCTGAGTCAGTTTTGCATTCTTAGCAGTATACTAAGCGAGATCCGAGCGGTATTGAGTATGTTTGAATGCGCGAATCAGTCGTTCCTCGAAGCTTCAACATCCCACTGAAAGGTCGAGATACGTCTTCCTAGAGTCATCTCTTTCGCTGCGCCAAATGGAGACGCTACCACCTGTACGACTTGATTCCTCGCTCCCTTATCTGCTCCTCGGTCATAGACTCCTCCTCCTCAATCACCTTCTTCTTATCCCGAATTTCTTCCTCCTTGTCCAAAATCTGCTGCTTCTTTGTCTGCATCTTCCTGTCGACCTTTTGCTTCATTATCATCAATACTATGTCATCCATCCAAACCCCGACAAAATCATCAGGGTTGTCCAATTTTTTCAGCTCTCTATCAAACTTGCAAGAGGTTGGAAGGAGACCTCCTTCACTCACACGACCGAGAAAGTTTCTATACTGAGCCAATTCGGTTTCGTCTTTTTCGTGCTGTTTGAGACCGGCTTCAAACAGACGAACGAAGAATTCTTTCCAGGAAACCAAATAGGTCAGGTCTTCATTAAGGTCTTTAAGATCCTCGTCAAGGGCTTTTAGATCTTTATGAAGCTCGCCAAGCTCATTGAATTCTGGAGTTTCAGACATCTTGTATCGGGAGGTGGTCACACTTTTGAGAAATCCTCTTTGTTTCGCGATACTGGCGGCGCTTGTCGAGGATGTGCAGTGTTCGTTGGCGATCCGAGGTAGACGTAGATGGATGTGATGATCTTGTTTGGTTTCTTCATTCCTTTAGGAGAAGCGGGACTCATTTATACCTAAAATATGGGCAGACCTCCATATCATAAATGAAACACATGATGTTCAGCGTGTCTTCTTCGCTTGTGGATAATTCTTTTGTGTATATGGAAGAAAGACAAAGGTTCAATGTCTACGACGTGATCAGGTAACAAAGCACAGGTGAGTCAGTGGCAGGATTTAGACAATAGTGTCAATATGGAATGCAATCCAGTCTCAAGAAGTTGTTTTCTATCTTGTTTTAGTTAGACTAGTGTGCTGCCAGCAATCCAAGGCTTGTCATTGCTCCTTCGACTAATCCGCATGGAACTGACAGGACCAGTAATAACCCTATGATATTTAATGTCGTATTATTATTCCCTAGAATAGCGTAGAAAACCCTGGCCGGTATTCGCCCTTGATTCGTTCCAAATTTAAATCCATGATCATGTTCTTGGTAGAGGATGTCAGTTGCGGAGCAATAATGCTCCGTTTGTCGACATCACACGTAGAACATATAATTGGCTGCAACGTTTTTTTGTCTCTTCATTGCCACCGCTGTTAATTACCTGGCTTGTGGTACGTAAAGCCACTTCGCATTGTGCCGCTACATTTTCTTACAGTCGTCAGTATGCTAGTGTTACTAGCAAGTCGGAACTGGCTCATCTGGGCCTACTCGATCAACAATGGGAGGCGTCCGGGTCTTCCTTTGTGTCCATACATTCTACAATAACTACCAGAGACTCATTTTAGCGTGTCGATATTCATCACCGTCTATTCTCTATATAGCATATGTTGCGAATATCTGAGCTAAAGCACAAAGGTCAAATAGAGTAAAACCGCGTGCACTGCCCCTCCCGACTACTCCATGCCCAGGATTCTAGTCGCTTACAACATACCTCTTACGGAGCGGTAGAGGCATGCATATTACCTTCGGATTGGGAAATCTGCTCATGGGCTGACTAGGGGTCGTGGACGTGGACGACGTGTTCAAGTGCCTTAGCGCCGACTGCAAACAAAGATCCCTCATCGGCAGGGTCCTACATCTGAAGCGAGGTCGCGCTTGTCTTTCACTCTTATCAGGCCCTCTATCTTGCGAACCTGCAGCTCCGACTTTCCAAGAACAGGACATATCTCCGACAAATGCCGGTGGCTGCAACCCCGCTTGGCCCCTCCATTTCTCCAGTCCAGACGTTGTAGCGGAGACCTAGTTGACATGGTCCGTCTCCAATAGAGGCGGTTGGTTTTGGCATGCTGTCACAAAGACACAATTCAGTGGGACGACACCACATGGTGGAGTCTTACAACTTTAAGCGACTGAGGTTATGGGGAACGTTCCTGACCACTTGAGGCAGATCGTCAATACAAGGACAGCGGCGAGCCCCGAAGAATGAAGGGTGTGATGGTTCTGGAAAAGGGAGGTCTCAGATCTCATGCCACCACAGCTTGTCCAAAGCGGCAGGTCGATGTAATTAGCGTAGTGCCAATTACGACGCTTGTTGATACTGGAATGTCTACTGCGACCCGCTTCGTTTCACACTCGATTGATAGGCTATGATAGTGACAGGCAATGTGAAGTGAGGGAGGCCTCAAAGTTGATAAATATGGCCCTTCCTCCCTTATAATCTGTTTCTTCTATCCGTCTTATGTTCATTGCTAGCAAGAGCAAAGCCCTTCCCAATCTAGAGCCGCGGCCGTGAAACTTGGTTCTTATAAGCCACCCCATATTGCCAGATCAATCTGTTGTTTGAAATCAAGATGAAATTCTTTACGGTTACATTTGCCTCCTTGGTTACGCTGGCGGTAGCAACGGCGGTAAGTGTTAGCCAAGTCCCATCCTGACACCATCCAGCATTGACATGAGAAAAATAGCCCGGCATTCCATCTGGATCTACTGCCAAGACTCGGCTCGCTACTTTGACTGTCAAGGCCTATGTAGACGACGGCACTTATGATCGCGACCTCTTTCCTCACTGGAAGAGTGTACCAAGCGAGCCCGCATGCTCTGCTCGGTAAGTGAATACTTGTAAGCTTCCAAGGTTCAGTATGCTGAACAGCGGCAGTGAATGGGTTCTCCGTCGCGATGGCACCAGTGTCGTGGTTGGCAGTGACTGCTACCCCGACTCAGGTAGCTGGACCTGCCCATACTCTGGCATAAAGAACACCGTGCCTTCTGACGTCGATATCGACCACATGGTTCCTCTGAAAAACGCTTGGGTTGTGAGTGATATCCCTTGGGTCAGACCATGCTGAGGCGTCGTTTGAGCTAACTCCGTATTCGCCTTCTAGTCCGGTGCTTCCGAGTGGACAACTGCCGAGAGACAGGCATTTGCCAACGACATTGATGGTCCCCAGCTGTGGGCAACGAATGGAGACACCAACTCGGCGAAGAGTGATAAGAGCCCGGATGCTTGGAAGCCTCCCCTAACCAGCATCTACTGTAGCTATGCTGCTGCTTGGGTGCAGGTGAAGTATAGCTACGACCTTACCATTACTTCTGCCGAGAAGACTGCACTTACCAGTATGCTCAACACGTGCTAAGCCGAAAAAGGGCCATACAACGTAGGTTGAGGTATTTTGGCTTAGGATAAATCATTTTGAGATATAAAATCGACTAGATAGCCAAACTTATATCTCTTTACCTTATATCCAAGCAGAATAACAAATGATTATTTGAAATGCAATGCTATATCTGGACACAATCCTCCAGTTGGTAGTGTCGGACTATGTGGTGTGCTATTTAATGATGGAAAAACCAACAGACTGGGTGATAAACTATTCGCAAAAAGGTTGTTCAGTGAAACTCAAGGTTGCATTCAACCAATGGTTGCTCGCCTAGCACAGACCAAGGCTACGACGTATTTCACCAACTCCGATACGCTCCATATACCCAGACATCCCCGGGTGTTATTGTTGCTGTGTCAAGCACTGTGTTCCCCTCACAGCAGCCTACAATGCTACACTCAGCACCATGCTCCAACAAGATCTCCACCATCTTGGGACGCCTTGAGATCTTGGCGATATGGAGTGGAGTTTGGTTGTCCTTGTCCTTGGCGTTGGTATCCGCCCCATTTTCAAGCAGCGTCCTTGCGGCTTTCATCATCCCAAGTTTCGCTGCCTTGTGTAAAGCTGTCTGCTGTTGATCATCTCTCTCATTCACGCTTGCCCCGTTTTCAAGTAGAATATCGACATTGACACCCGTGGCTCCTTCGAGAGCACACATGAGAGGTGTACGCCCCTGGGAATCCCGCGAGTTGATCGGAACTCCATAACGAATGAATACCTTCATGAGCCGGATATTCCCAACCATCGATACAAAGTTCAAAGCGCCTTGTCCGTTGTAGTTGAATGTTGCAAGATCAGCGCCGTGTTGCAAGAGAAGCTCGGTCAGCTCGATGGCTCGGGATCTTATTGCATGCTGGAGCCCCGACCAACCATTCTTTGTTACTGTATTGGCATCCGATCCTTTTTCAAGCAGAAACTGAATAATATCCAGCGGTTGATGGGGTATGGCACATCCCAGAGGCGTCTCGCCACCTCTAGCTACGGCAGTGAGAGATGCTCCCTTCTCAACTAGTAGCCGTACGATTTCCGCAGCATCCTTTTCTTCCGCAACGCAGTGCAGTGGTGTTTGTTTTTGTGTATTTAGGGCATGAATATCGGCTCCGTGCTCCAGCAACAACTCAGCCAACTCCAGAGAACCTATGTGGCCTAAACGATGCAGGGGTGTGTTGCCTTCGACGTCAGCCGTTATCACTGCACCGTTTTCGAGTAGGATCTTGGCGACTGCCACTGGCTCCGCCGTGTCTCGTGTCATCGACAGTGGGGAGTTTCCTCTTTCATTTGTGGCATTAATATCGGCGCCCAGGCGAAGGAGGAGTTGGGTCATATCAGCCCTTCCAAGTTTCAAGCTAGTGCTGATCAGAGGCGTGTTACCATGACCATCACGAGTGTCAACCTCGGCACCCAGGGAGGCGAGCAGATTGACCACGTCGCAAAAGCCCTCCAGCGCAGCCGTGTGAAGAGCAGTATTTCCGTTGGCCTCTCTATACTCGAGCTGCGCGCCGTGCTGAAGGAGCACGCGGATCGTCTCAATATAGCTGTTGCGGCCCTTTCCCGTTCTCTGCGTCAGTTCTATGCCTGTGTCCATGGGCTCTTTCCTAGACGCAGCAATTGTCAGAGCTGCTTTTTGGTTCGGGGGGCTCGTAATGCTTGCGCCATGTTCTAGAAGCAGTTTGACCAGCTGGTGGTTTCCATCTCGACATGCAATCAACAGCGGCGTCGACGGATCGCCGCCAACCTCGAGATCAACTTTGCCTGTTTCAACCAGCGCCCTGGCAATTTCGACGTTTCCAGATTCGGCTGCGAGGATGATTGGCCTCACACCAGACTGATCTTTATCGACATCCTCGAAGCCGCCGTATTCCAACTTGCAGGCCCAGAGAGCCTGGAACATGTCGCAGCGGCCATGCTTGATTGCCAGCGTGATATGATGGAGATACACGAGGTCTACTCCAACCGTCACGGCCCGTTGGATTGTCTCGGGCTTATTCCGCTGGATGGCCCATGTCACAGCCGACTTGTGTCTATTGGTGAAATAATAACGCCTCTTATTGCTCAGGTCGCGGTTGCGACGGTATAGCTGAGGGATGAGGACGTGGAACAGGTGCCAACTTGTCCTAGCCAGGGCGCTGACGTCGGTGAGACTAACCAGATTCTCCGATATGGCCTGCAGCAATTCTGTGGGCAGCTCTGAGAGGGACATTTCGGTCTATTCCGTACGATATTCGATTCAGCTGTTACTGCGACTTTTGCGGTGATTATGCTCTGCTCAAGGCCGAGGTGGAGAGGGGAAAGGGGAAGGTTGATGCCCAGTGCAGTGAGGCTGAGCTTGGAGCCACTTATTAAGGCGCGCAGGAATGCTTGAACAGTGACAGAGCTGAAAACGCCCGTCGGTTCGCCCCGGAGAGTTAGCGCCCGCCGAGTTCTTCGCTCTATCCGTACATACATATATACCTACCTATCTCGATGCGCTATCGGATCCAGATGGCGTGGTTTGCTGCCTAGAGTCTAGGGGACCTGGACTGAAAATGCAGCACTGCAACCTACCTATGTCCCTGCCCGCTTCGATCAATGTAGGCGGCACTACTCGGACATGCCGCAATGCTGAACTGTCTCGCCAGGCATGGACCGTCAAGAATCGAACGCCAAGCATAGGCCTCAGTCTGCATTCAGAAGCATAAAATATTTTTTTACTAAACTAGAATTGATCGTGCGAGGGAGGAAGCAAGTCCACATAGATAACGACTACGTTAAGGTTGGTAAGACGCTCAACGCTCACCAGCGTCCATGTCTTTGAAATTCGTGGTAGGCAATAATAAAACATTAGTTGAATTAACAAACATAGGATCACTCACTAGAAGATTTAAATGTCATTTCACTGAAATTATTTCATAGCCAGCTTATAGAGGTTCACTCAAATATTAGATAGCTCTGAGATAGCTTTAGGGTAGGTTAGGTACCAAATGCGCAGACTGAATCTCGAAAAGACGATATTTGTTTCCTCTGTTATTCATAATGTTAGTCGCAATATTGAAGAATCGTTATTAAGATAAATACGAAAGTCGTTGTCACTATGGCCAGATATCGTGTCCCTGCATTCGAATCCCCACGTACTGCGCATCATACAGCGTCGAGTCATCCCATGTTTTCACGACCGGGGTTTTCACATCGTCCAACTTCATCCAAATCTTCGTAGGCCTCTGATTACTCATGTCCAGCTTGGTCAGCCCGTAAAAGTGACACCACCTAGGACCCTCGCCAGGATGGAACGTGTGGTGCTCAATATCCGCCCTATCAGCGCTGAAAGCGACCCAGCTCGCGGCGTAGCCGAAGAATTGGCTCCCGAGCCAGGTGCGGAAACGCATCGTGAATCCTCGCGTGGTGACATCCTCGGCCAGGACCTCGAAACGGTGGGTCGTGTCCTTGGAGGAGTCGATGATGCTCATCCAGACGAGCACCGTCGGCTTCTTGGAGTACTCTCTGTCGAAGACTATTTCCCGGCGAGAGCTTCTTTCTTCCAGGTCGCCCGAGTGGTGCCAATCTGAGGACGCACCGACCGCCGTCGGGGAGCTCTGGATATCTCTATCTGTTCGAGGGATGGCCATATAAAAGACTTCCATTTGCTTCAGTTCGGTCGACGCGAGCCAGTAGTCCATCACGATGTCGAATCCTTGATTGTCAATGTTTTGAGCATAGCAGCTCGCCCGGAGACTGTCGTTTACTCCGCAGTCAATCGTTCGGAAGCCCACGAGGACATGCGGGGGCTCAGACCAAGTCTGGGGCAGGGAGACGGCCTGGCGCGTGACGGGTTTGGGGTTGCATGAGACACGGACAAAATACCAGGGATAATCTCCTGTACAACCTCCTTTGACCCATTGCTCGCCTTCCGTGTAGACCGATTCGAAGCCGGAATTCTTTCGAAAATAGCGACGCCCGTTATCATACCAGTTTACACGGTTGACGGGCCACTTATTTGTATCAGCGCGACCGACGAACACGAGGTCAGGCTTCGTTGTTGTACGCATTTCTATCAGATGAGCGGTTGTTTGCAAGATCTAACATGGGAACAAAAGAGCACTTTGTCAGAATAAAGATGGGAAAACGTAAGAGTATGTTGGATAGAAACGTACAGTATCTTTTGGAAATTCTGCTATCCATTCCGACACCGAATAGCTTGCATCACTGCAGTAGGTCAATTCGAGCAAGTCGGGAATTAAGGTATTATAGCGTTTCAAATCGGCAACAAGGTCGTCGGTGTCTAAAGGAAAGGGCGAAAGAGAGAAAAGAGCGTCAGCATGAACCTTGACCATAACACTCTTGTTGTGTCTGTCAGTACATACAACCAATTAACTCTTTGAGTAGTGGGCGTATCTGAGCGATGGAGTTGGAAAGCCTTGTAACGAGAGGTAGCATGTGGTTCTCCAAGTAAGGCTGTTCCATGTCCCATTGTGTTGAGATCGAGTATGCTTGAGGGCCTCTGTCTTTGATCAAATAGTTGAAGGCACTGAACGGTTTCACGGTCCCTTCCGAAGCCTTGTCAACTTTCGCTTGTACCTATGTCACCCTCACGTGTTAGTCTCTGCGATCGAATGAATGGGGCTGATTCGGGATCAATGAAGGCTTGTTCACATCAACAAATAACTGCCTTAATTTGGTCACCTCCGGGCCTGCCAGTGAGAGCTTGTGCTGGAATGATATGACTTCCAATCGGACCAAATCGATTTTGGTAGCGACCTTGGATAGCTCTTCGATGCGTTCTAGGATAGCCCAAACTTCGCTTCCTTTGCCCAAGATATTCTCTGAATGCGTAAGTCAATATCTGGTTAGTCTTAAAAATTTAATGCATATTAAGATAGAAGTAGAGAGTGGTAGCCGGTTTAAAGTGACAACAAAGACCACATACCGATGTTGCATACGGCGTTGGAGATGCTCGTGTCCCATAGAGTTCTTGCCGCCGAGAATTCTGCGAACAGGACGGTTTTGGCGATTTTCCATGCGCTATCAGCAGAAGGATTGGTCAAAATGCAATAGCATTCAGCTAGGGCACGATTCCAATTCGTGATTTCGTGATGGTTGAGAGCACTGAAGCTCCGTGTGATTGTGCACAAAGCGCTGGTTTCGATGGATCTCATCTTGTACTGCTGCCCAAGGCCTCTAACGGTCAGAAAGTAGACAATATATCATGAACAACTCCTACTAAATAGTTCGAATTATCAGCCCCGGATCTGAAGCCCTTTAATGTGGCGCCGCCACGCGGTCGATCAGTCTGGACCAACGAGGGAGCATCCGGGGTGGCGACGGCGGGGCAAGACTAGAAAACCGTCTGGTTGGTCTAGAGTTGCATTATTGGCTCTTCTAGGGCTTCCTGGATTCAATAGCGGCCGCATGTTAGGTTCCAGCCCACTGAGTGACAGCTGAATGATCAAACTAGAGGCAATAGTCTGGGCTGAGCGCCGCGTGTCAACGACGATATTGGCAATATGCCGCAGATGCAGAGTCTCGTGAAAGCACACAAACGGGCCGAGCCTAGCTGAACGCCTTGACCAAGCTCGACCCCTGGAATATCCGGGCGCTTTCGAGCGCTTTGGCCGTTTGTATAAGGTTCGGCTCTAGCTGAGGCGCCGCTCCATCGTTTGTTGCCTTTTGTTGCCTTTTGTTGCCTTTTGTTGCCTTTTGTTGCCTTTTGTTGCCTTTTGTTGCTCAGGCATGCACATAGTTTTGCATAGGTCGAGTTGAAATCTTCACATTGATGAAATCATGGCATCAACTCACGAGGGAGGCAACTTAACACGCCGGTGTGGCTCGCATGTACGTCACGCACTCCGGCCTCTTCAACTTGGATTATGTGTTTGACGTTTTTTTCATTGAATTAGGGCTACATCGTTGGTGACCGTCTTTTCCTAGGGGATTTAACTCATCGCCTTTGGCTTGAAAACCAAAAAGCCGACAGCGATGGCCGTGTCATCCGGTACCTTCATGTCTACTGTGATACTCTAGAGGTTTTCGCCTTGTCCGACGACTCCATCAGTGCACGGGTCCCTTCGCCTATCCGATGGTTAAGGATCTTCGCAAGATCCATTATACGTCGTGGTTCCCCGGTGACGGAGGAAGGCAGTCCCCAGTGGTTCGTTGATCCAATTCCTTTCCTCTCCCCTAGATTTGTCCTAGATCCTTCATCTAACTTCCATCTACCGACCAGCAATCTAGGGAGAGTGACTATTCTCTGGAATGTTGCCGACCGCCCCTTCAAGCTCTTTGGGCATACTTTAGAGCGGGGCGAAGCCACGATCGGTCACAACTTCATCGTCAGCCCGGACGGCTCTGCGAAGTTGTCCGAAGTAACACGCATTTGTCCTAGAGAATTCGATACCCGCCATGATATCATAGATATGTTGAAGAATGTCAAGAGAATCGAAGCGTAAGTTCCCCTTCTCTCCTCAGTCTCAGAGTTACCGGCTGACCATTCCGGGTTTGTAGTGAGCTTCCTACGCTGGCTCGGAGACTTCTAAGCTTGGCCGTCGCCGGAATGAATCCCGAGAGCGAACAAGACACCGCACTTGACACATGCCTGCACAAGGAGGAGACCAAGTCGCGCCTCGCCTTCGTCTCACTCCTCACCAGGACGTCCCCCGCCATGGCCGACGTCAGCAGGGCCGCCTCGACATTGCTTTTCCGCCTGACAATCCCCGAGGGCGCTCGTATCTGGGTGCCGAAACACACCTTCAAAGACCGCGACAGACTTCTGAACAGCTGGCTCACGGCGGCCAGGCAGGTCGAGGAGGACTACAACAATCACAAGGCTGAGCTCCGCGACAACAGGGCCGGGGACAGGAGCGTGGCGCTGATGAAGCAGATCACCAAGTTCCAGCACCAGGATGCCTCGCTTGACTTGAAGGCGCTCCAAGATCGCTACGAGAGGGGCATGAATGCCGTGACGGACCTGGCCCTGGACTTTGCATCGTTCAAGGACGAGATGTCAAAGGCGCGCAGGGAGTTCAACACGGCCGTCAAGCAGTGGGAGGAGGACAGAAGGTCCGAAGCGGATATCAAGTCTTTCTTTGCAACTGTGAAGCTCATAGCGGCCATCGGTATTACGGTCTACACTCTGGGCGCCGCGTCGGGCAGCGTCGCGAACAGCAGTGTGGAAGTAGCAGAAGCTATATCCATGGTGAAGACGGCTATAAAAGAGGAAAAGACCAGCACCTCCATGAAAAAGGCCATGAAGATCATTTCGGCCATTGAGAAGATGAGCAAAGGCGTGGACACAGCCAGAAAGTACCTCCTGGAGGCAAAGGCCAAGATCGCGGACAAGCGAAAGTCCGGCAAAACTGGCGCCTCTATCACACCGTCAGAACTACTACCGCCGGTTCAGCTCGACCCGGTAAACTACTTCGAGCTCTTGAACCAGTGGGACGACTACATGCTGGACAACGACGCCTACTTCGCCAAGATTCTGAAGCTCGAGCCGCACATCAACGAGGCCGACAACTTCCAGCTCGCAGTGAAGAAGGTCGTTGGGCGAGCACGGAACATGCTCGAGGCCCAGAAAGAGCTGCAGTCCGTTGAGGACAAGATGCGGCTGGCTATGGCGCACGTGGAGCTCCGCGCGCAACGTGAAAGCGAGTGCGAGAAGCTTGCCAGCTCGACGCCCGATGCTGAGCTGATCCAAGCCAAACTGGAGCTCGGGCTGAAGTCGATCCGACTGCAAGTCTTCCTCTTATTCCACGAGACTTTCTGTGCCCATGCGTTTGAGGGAAATTTGACCTACTTCCCGACCAATATCAGGTTTCGGGAGGACAAACTAGCGAGTGAGTTCTTCACCGATGTTGCCGCCCTCGAATCGTTGCGCGGAGAGCACCCTGGTCTTCACAGTTTAATGGCGACTGAGGAGCCTTTGAGGTTCAGGACGCCGACCAACGGGGCCAAGAGCAACACAAGCATCTTTGATCCCCTATGGAAGGATCTCCTGATTAGCGAGGGCAGAGTGGCCTTTCAAATCCCGACTCATCATGAGAAGGCACAGCGGAAGTGTCTAGCTTCTATTACCCATGTTGCGTAAGTGCCACATTTGATGAGGTTATATTAACCCTTTGCTCTTCTCTTGACTTACTAAGGAATGTAATAGTCTCCTGTTTGAGGGCATTGAACCCTCAGACCCTAACGCGGACAAAGATGACATGAGTGTTCCGCTCATGGTCGAATTCGGTCCCCACATGCTGCAGCTCGAGGAATCAGGGGACGAGTCCAAGTTTCTAGGTTCGACCGTCCAGATTCAGTGCCAGCCCTCGTTAGTGCAAAAGGTTGGCACCAGGAGGAAGTTCTACTCCATTGATGGAGCCACGATGCGTCCAACACTGTATACCACAGGTTGTGTCAGAATCCGGCAAGCCAAAGCCAAGGATGGGGCCAAAATCAAGGATTGGGATCTGAGCACTGTGACGGCGATTCAGTTGGAGCTGCATACGGAGTCTTGGGGAGACGCCTATGGAAGCGATTAACACCACTGACATTGCTAGCAATTGAGTCAACTGTCTACTATGGGAGGCTACTTGTCACGGAAAGAACCTTTGTGGAATGAAGTTGTGTGGCTCAAGACGCGGTGTCAATGCGATGTATATCACAGGGTACCTATATGTACTAGGACTCCCCTTGACAAGGTCAAGAGATTTCTTTTTTAGCCTTGATCGCTAGATTTCAATGCTATACTTCATGATGAAATCTCCTAAGGACCATAGCGTGCCCGAGATGTCTGAGATTGTTCATACCTAAGAGAAAGAGAATAAAGTTCAACAGCAATGGAAGCTGCCAGAGCCCGACAACTCAACACAATGAATACTGATATTGTTTCTAAAGGTGGAGTTCTGTATATGCGCGGCACTCAAATCCGTACCGACCACTAGGATGAGATTCAACATCCAGTTTGCTAGGCTTGATTGAAAGTCCAAGAAGAAGATAATGATGATATTTCTTTTGATATTGTGAACTTGGTTCAACTGCTTGAGTAATCATGAATTTTCCTCACTTTTAGTTGCTTAACACCAATGACTACAAACAATATCCAATAACAACGAGGCTGTCTCAACATTCAGATCAAATACTTAGTTTCTAAACTGCACAAGGCAAAGTGTACCTTTCTGCTGATTAATTTATCTGCCTTAGGTTCAAGTGATTGGTCGTTTTTTTGTGGCTTGCATTTGGTGGCTGTGGCGGGGGTTCAGCTGAGGCATCTTTGGGACTCCTACAAACGCCTTGTGTGAGACTGACATCAGCAATGAACCTCGCTGTCTTCAAGGCCAGATATTTGACCCAGGCCCCCGATACTTGGCCTTTGTATCCAGATCGAAAACGTCCTCAACAATATCCTGGCGTGCAAGCGGCCCCGAAACGTCGATAACGCAAGCAGTCGGACCACCCGCGAAACGGCGGGACCCCTCGAATGTGCAACGAGCCAGCCGCGTCGTCTCCGAACCTGCCCTCCGGATGACCAAAAATTCGAAGACAGAGTCACAACTAGAATACGACAATGCGCCTGATAAATGTAGAGACGTTGCAACTAGAAACATTCATAGTTGATATACCTCCATTCGCCATACTTTCACATACTTGGGGGCCTGACGGGGAGGAGATCTCTTTCCAGGATATCCAGGATATCCAGAACGAGAGCCTCGAGAAACAATGCAAAGGAATGGAGAAATTGAGAGGGTGCTGCAACCAAGCCAAGGAAGACAATCTCAAATATGCCTGGATCGATACCTGCTGTATCAATAAGGAAAGCGACAAGGAGCTTACGGAGGCTATCAACTCCATGTTCCAGTGGTACCAGCAAGCCTCCCTTTGCTACGCTTTTCTTTCAGATGTCCCCAGTAACGATGATTATTGGGACGAAGGCTCTACATTTTTCTCGAGTTCCTGGTTTCAGAGGGGGTGGACGCTTCAAGAACTTTTGGCCCCGACAGAACTGGAATTTTACGACCAGAACTGGGTGCTGATAGGTACGAAGATGGATATGTCCGCGCCGATAGAGAAGATCACGGGCATTTCGCACCGGTATTTACTTGGCTGGGAAGATTTCCGTCAAGCAAGCGTCGCCCAGCGTATGTCATGGGCATCGAAAAGGAAAACATCGAAAAGGAAAACATCGAGAAGGGAAGATGGCGCATACTGCCTCCTCGGCATATTTGATGTGACAATGCCAATGATCTATGGAGAAAGGGACAAAGCTATCATTCGACTACAAGAGGAAATATTGAAGACGACCGGGGATCATTCTATTCTAGCCTGGGGTCTCGCAACGGAAGACAAGGAATCAGAAAGACCCAAGTCTATCGGGATTCTTGCCACAACCCTGTCGGACTTTGCGAACTGTGGAGGTATAGTCCCAATCGAACACCAATCATCCGGCTTCCATCAATTCGACATCTCCAGTGGACGTCTACGAGTCCGTCTTCCACTCCACAATACACCAGACGGAAAGACGTACGCTTTGCTGGATTGCAGCTTAGAACAGGACGTGGATCGATCCATGGTAGGGACCCCGGTCCAACGTTCGTCCAGTGCAGCACCAAAAGAATACGTACGGTTGCAGGAATGTCATTCTGTGCTTTTGCCGAGAGTTTCATTCACGTCGTCGACCAGGTATGTGTACATTCAAACAGACCGGCAAGCAACAGTGAACGATGCAACTCAACGGCGCCTCTGGCTGCACGTAGATGGTCATCGACAACTTCAGCTGAACCTGGAGGAGGCTTACCCCCCACTCCTCTGGGAAAAGGGGCGCGCCTTGATACTTGAAGAATCAACGGAAGCCAAACAGGACATAAGACGTCACTATTGCATCCGATTTCGGACGCGAGAGTGTAGACAGCAGGATGTTATCGTGATAATCGACTTTCAGATCAAAGAAACGGAGCTGCAGCGTCCTTGTTACTTCCACGTAATGATTCTATCTAGAGAGATCACGTTGAAAGAGCTGTCACAAGGGTTCTGTAAGCTCCGCAAATGTGTGTTGGGAAAACACACCGCCAGCGTCGGCTCTCTGAATTTACAATTGTCCGTTGATGAGGAGAATGTTGCCAAAGAGCCAGTCTTTGTGCTGCGGCTTGCTCAAGGTTTATTTTCCTCGGTCAGGACGGTAAATGCAAATCTCGAACTTGGGTTCTTAAGCCCACAGCCAGGATTGATAAGCCTACTACAAAAGGGAGACAGAGCCAGCCAAAAAGAGAGAGAATTAGAGGAACTAAGGAGCAAAAGAGATCAGAGACTTCATGGCATGAAGGAACGCTTGAAGGTGGTCGAAGCCGAGTTAGCTAAGCTTGCGGAAGAAAAGAGGTTGCTGTCTGTAAATGTGGAAGAGTCGACGAACGAAATCAGTAGCTTAATACAGCGACTAAGCACAGCCAAACAGTGTCGAGAGGAGTGCCTTGAACAAGAGTCAGAAATAAGGCGGCATTTGGATGAGATTGAGATACAGAATGGTCCCGGTAGCTGGTTAGAGGCGATTATCATGATGCAGTTGAAGGCGGGCGGACTTGGGTATCACCCTGGAACCACAAGTGATTCTGGCTCACATACGGTTGAGAAAAGGATGAATTATTGCACACCCCTCTTGTGGGCTGCCATGAGTGGACACGAGGTCATTACGAAGCTACTGGTAGAAAACGGCGCTGAGATCGACTCAACAGACTCTGATGGAAATACACCGCTCTGGTGGGCTACATCTAGAAGCCACGACGGTGTGATCAGACTCCTACTCGACAAAGGTGCTAATTCCCGGGCAAGGAAGAAAAATGCCCAAGCGGTTTATTCAAACGCAACCATGCGCGAGGAAGAATCAAATGTCGGGCGCTTGGCCACTTTTGATGCTAACAGTACGACGGTGAAAAGCGCTTTGGGTGAATTACGTGAGATCGCAAAGGCTGGTGGTGATCGAAATCAGGTGGCTACGATGGTACCGGGCACACGTGTGCCGAGATCCCAAGAATTGGCACAGTCTTTGATTCGTATAATCGAAAATGAAAACAACCATGGTCGTATGCATGGAGAGATAGATCAAGCTCTATTCTTCGCGGCATCAACAGGATCGAAGTACACGATTCAACTACTCCTGGACAAAGGTGCTGGACTAGAGAAAAGGAATGGCATGGGAAATACACCGCTTATATCAGCCGTCGAAGCAGGCCACGAGCATACAGTTCGGCTACTACTTGAGAATGGCGCTGATGTGGAGGGCAGAGGCTATCGTTTAACCACACCCTTGAGCGTGGCAGTGAGGGCGGGGCACAGGTCTATAGTTGAGCTGTTGATAGAAAGGGGGGCTCACTTAGATGCCGGCGGGTCATCTGGCGCGTTGTTGGAAGAGGCTGTCAGAAGTGGCGATACGGCTATACTCAGAATTCTGCTTGAGAAAGGGACCACTTATAAAAACGAAGACTCTGTCATCGACCCTCTCCTGCGTTTCGCAGCATGTGCGGGGAGAATGAGCATGATGGAGTTGTTGTTTGAAAAGGGAGCAAAGTATGAAACAACCGATCCAAACGGCAATAAGCCTTTGGGATTGGCAGCAGAACGAGGCCACGAAGCTATAGTTAGGCTTCTACTTGAGAAGGGTGCTGATACTGAAAGTAAGGGCCCTGATTCCAATACACCAATGGGGATTGCAACTCTGAGGGGTTGTGTGACTGTCGTCAAGGCCTTGCTTGAGAATGGTGCAAACCCAGAAGCAAAAAATAGTCAAGGCATCACACCACTTATGTCCGCTGCTTCAAACGGTCATATAGAGACAACCAAGCTTTTGCTCAAAAGCGGCGTCAAACTCGAGACGAGAGGCTCTGACGGAAGAACCGCGCTCTTACATGCTGCGTGCCATGGGAGTCTAGGTGTGGCCAAGATGCTTCTCGATATGGGTGCCGACCTAGAGGCAAGAGATCTATGGAAAAATACACCACTTGGCGTCGCAGTATACAGCGGCCATTATGATTTGGCAACGTTGTTCATCAATAGACGGGCCAACCTTGAAGCAAAGAACATCAAATATAATACGCCCCTTTTGCTGGCAGCGATGTATCGCCAGCAGAGTATAGCGACACTGCTTGTTCAGAGAGGTGCCGATATTGAGTCAAAGAATATAGATGGCAATACACCACTCCTCATTTCTGTGTTCAATTCGGACTTGAAGATCGTTGATAGCTTGCTCGAAAAAGGTGCGAATCTCGAGGCCAGAGACAAGGAATACAATACGCCACTCCTTTTGGCGGTATCAGAGAAGCATCTTAAGACCGGCCGTCTTCTGATTGACAAATGTTCCAAGTCTGATAATCTACAGAGGATGAAGAAACAAACACCAGCCCCGGATACCCAGATGGCTCGTCTCTTACTTGACAAAGGTGCTAACCTTGAAGCCAAGGATAAGAATGGCCGAACACCACTTCTTTCGGCAGTATCAGGAGCTAGAGTGGATTTGATAAATCTGCTTCTAGCTAAAGGGGCCAACATCGAGGCAAAAAATAGATGCGGTGACACATCACTTTTTCTTGCCGTCTGTAAGAGGGACAAAATCATTACCAAGCTACTACTTCAGGGAGACGCGGATCCGAAAGCACAGAACAACGGTGGAAACACGCCCTTGAATTATGCCAGAGAGGACGGGGATGTGGTGATTGTAGAATTGTTATCCCAGAAAATCGCTACTGAACGATCCGTGGTTGGGATATTTGAGAAGATGTTTCAACGGAAAGCGTTCAAATCCAAGTGAGCATAGACTTATAATTACGATGCATTTGCACAAATCACTTATTTTAGCGTTATGTACACCTTTTACGATATCAAATGCACTTAATCATCGGTATACTAACAATAGTGGACATATGGGATCCAGTTCAACACAGGATTATCGAGTGGTTCCATATCTCTTGAACCCGATGCGCCCCCATTCCGCATCCCATCAGTAGCCTCTCCGATATCATGGTCATGCCGGATGGCAAAGCCCATCTCATTGAGTGCTCTTGGTTGACTAATTTCCTCAACCCAATCACTCCGAAGCTTTCGAACGGCATGGTGAAGCCCCTCGGCAACGGAACGACGACTCATGTCCCGATTCTTGATCCATTCATAGGTTCTGGTAGCCACTTCAACGCACGACCTATCTTCCACTTCCCAGAGCGTACCAACAACGTTTTGAAACCCTGAAATTTGATAAGCACCAATTAAGTGAATGCCTTCATCGAAGAGACGGAATTGCTTCGTCTGGCCCGTGCCGCAGGCGGAGAGGTAAGCCAGGAACGGCGCCCGGCGTCGAAGATTTGACTTCAATAAGCTTGCTACTGTTAGCATTTCATTATTCCGAAGAACCAAAGAGCTTTTTGACGGATCAGATCCGTCACTCATTCCGTGACCGGCGAAATGAAACACCGCACAGTCGTCCAAGGCAGAAAGAATATCCTCTTGGCGTGCTTGCGGTCTAACGACTTCCAACTTCATAGCCTGACAAATCATCTCCACTTCGTCAATCTCTTTGGGCGCGTATGGAAGTTGGTTACTACCAATCAAAACGGCTTTGCGCTGAGATCGGCCCTGGTACGTCGGATTCTGCCTTTTGAGACCATCTATGAGAGCTTTGACAGACGGGCTATAAGAAGATATAACTCTGTCCATAGCTGTATTTTTCGAACCATCGCAATGAAACCCAGCAGCATGTATGGGAATTCTACAGAGAGCACCAGTGGGAATCCACCGGATGTGAGGCCATTGACCCTGGATAGGCGGTTTATCAAACCCAAGAACCCCAAGCACCGGTTCGGCGATGGTCTCCCATAGCCACTCAAGCATCTCTGTCTCGTATTGTGTTATCTTTACTAATTCGTCAAGGTGTTGACGTTGGAGATTTGGTAGCCTTATCGAATGTAGTTTATCCTTTTCAATAATCAAGGCATCGCAACGATAGTCGCTCACATTGATAACCACAATCGGGCCATGAGCAGCAGCGGCCTTCATATCTTCCTCAGATGGCGGAAGCAAGAATTTGCCGAATCCAGGTATTTCCCGGATTTGTTGGATTGTATTCTGTAATTGGAGCCCGGCGTCGTGCCGATCTATGGAATGTGGCTGGTCAGGGTGCTCTGTGGGCAAATTCGTTCCCCCTTCAAGCTGATCCCGAAGCATGATGAATCTATTCGCCAGTGACGGACTTGCTTCCTGGAGTGCGGAAACTTCAGTACGTAGATCAATAGACGACCCCATTATTATCCCACGACCAAGCTCAATCAATTTAAGCACCTCATAAACATCCTCCCCTGCCATCAAGGCAATGCCTCCCGCACTTGAACCCAACTGAGCGTTTTTAGATACTAGGCGCTGCTTATCAGAATGCTCCAGAGACCAATCAACTACCAAGGCAAGTAGCGCCATAAGGGATGACACAAGATTGTAAGCCGGTTTCCAGAAGTCGACCAGCCGGTACAACAGAATAAGTTGTTTTCCGCCTGCTAATCTATCCTTGGCGGGAGAAAAGGTGTGGGCAACGGATTCTTCAAGCCGATGAATTCCGGCTCGGAGAGCCTCGAATTGTGTTGAAATGCTTTGAAAGTCATTTACCTGCAAAGCGAGTTTTGGGTCTATAGCATAAGCCTCTCGCAGCTGTTGTAAGGCATTTTCAACGCCGGCTGTTGCCATTCCCCTCTCCAAGTATACACAACCAGCTTCTGACAACCAACGTGCTCTTCGGGGATGAGTTTCCGGGGTTATCTTGAGCACTTTCTCGTGGAAGTCATTAGCCGTATTAAGATCTTCTTGAGACCCTGTCTGAATATGCCTGTTGTGATAACAAGAACCAAGTCCTTGTAATTGGCGTGCCCTCTCCAAATGATCGTCCGGAATCAGAGAAAGAGCCTCTTCGTACATTTTAACTGCCATGTTAAAATCAACATCGGCCCGAGTCTTGATATACCTCGAGTTGTAAGCACCACCGAGATGACGGAGATGATTTGCTCGATCCGGGCCGTCCAGTGGTGTTAACTGAAGACTCTCCTCAGAGTATTGAATGGCATCGTCAAGATCCATCATCCGGCCTGTCGTTAGATATCTGCTTTTAAAGGATAGAGAAAGATGTTGAAGTATAATTCGGCGTTGTTGTTTGAATCCTGCACCATCCAGTGCCTCCTGCAGAAATTCAACTGCCGAATTCAGGTCTTTAATAGCCCCCAATGCCACGTATCTTCTCTGGTAAGCCCTCCCCAAATTTGTTATGACCTGGACCCTGACGCGAGCATCATGCGTTTTTGGAAGTATTTCGTAAGCGGCTGTAAGATATTGCATAGCTAATTGGAGGTCTGATCTTTCTCCATTCATGTCGTATTTGCATTGATACGCAGTTCCAAAAGTATTCAGCCTTCCTGGCTTATCGGCAGAGTCGTGCGGAGTTGCAGCAACCGATTTCGCGCAGTACTGAATTGCCATTTCAACGTCTTCCATAGTTCCCAATGCCTTACACCGGGAGATATGAGCGCTGGAAAGACTGTCCAATATCTCGGGTATCTCCTGGTCGTCGTCTGGACATATGGAAAGAGCGATTTGATAGCTTGTGATTGCTCGTTCGATGTAGGTGATGTCTTTTGTAAGTCCATACTTCAACATATGCTGAAGCGCAAGTCTATGATATCCAAGTGCTCGATCCTGATGATCATTTGGTGCCAAGGCAAGATATGTTTGATGATACTCGATGGCTAGGTCCAGATCTGCTACCGACTGAGATCGGTTGTATTTGTATAGATATGCATTCCCAATGTCCATATGCTTGGCAAGGTAATTTGGATGGTCAACTGACGCGTTATGAAGAACGCCTAAATGTTCTTGAATCTGTATGTCCATGTTCTCTGCTGTCCAGGTTGCTTCGTCGGCCTCCGAAAACTGTCGTTTCAGGCCCGTCGGATCATTGCTATACCAACTATCATCTGTGAGAGTTGGAAGAGCTTCCATTTGGTCCTGTGTGGTGCTCATATTGAAATCTGCTAACGGGAGCGACTTTGATGAAGGATATCGACGAGAAACCGGCTACCTCGACTAGACTTCGTAAGAGTCCTCAATTGCCTATTTGATTCCATTTGAAACAGAGGCTGGGAGAACAATGAGAGAGGCGGGGTAGTGAAATGCACATTCGAAAGCGATGACTCAGACACACATCTTACAATCCAGCACGGACTAATTAGGAGACGGCAGAAATCTTACGCGCCACTGGGAATTATTATGAATACACTGACTAATCACTTGCTGCATCAATACGCAGTTTCCCAAGCAAGCATAACAAACAGAGTGATTGATTGAGTCACAGAACATCTCAGGGTATAGTTAATGAGGAGGTTGCTAACGTCAATTCAAGCGGAGCGGGGATGGAATGTAGGAGAAAGGATTGCTCAAATCAGTAGCGTTATATAGAAGACAAGTCGATCATTTGTACGAAGATATAGTAATAGATACACAGAGAAGCTGAAAAGTAAGACCTGTCATACGAGGTTTCGTTACATACCGAGGATGATAATCAGGCGACATTGACGGTGCTTCAAGTTTTCAAAAGTGAAGAATAGATTTATGTTCTTTGATAACATAAGGGGAGGCAATGAACGCTAGTTTGACTTACACCACGACCGAGGTAGAGATTTATTTACTATATATGTTACGCTCAAGCAGCGCTTTAACTGCTGCGACAAGATGTACACGGCTTTGACCTTGGGTTAAGAGGCACAGGTATTCAGAGTCATTGTATAGCGTAATAGGTGCCCCTATCGAAGAAGAAGCTCCCTACCCTAGGGATAGTAAGGACCCTCTAGACTTATATCTCACCATGCGGACTAGAGTTAGCAATACAGTATTCCAGTGATACTTTCTTCAGGAGGCTGAGAGGGCATGGTTCATTCCTTCTCATCACTGCTATTCTTTCTCCATTGTTGGCAAGCTTATGTATGTAAACTCTGCGTAGGTTTCTTGTGCGATTAGACAAAACTATCCTTAATAGCCTAAATACCTCTTTTATTAGGCTAGCAATGCTTCCCTCCAACCACTGCTAGGGTTCTCGAACGTGAACAGGTTGCCCAAATCTCCTTCTACGCATACCACTCTGCCTACGTCCTGGCATCTTCCAGTATAACATCTGTAGCTTTCTCGCTTATCATAAAGGTGGCCGCAACCGGGAACCCTCCTGGAACACGTGGGAAGACTGAGCCGTCGACGATCCTGAGATTTTCAACACCGTGAACCCTGAAACGCGAATCCACACAGCTGGTGTCCTGATCGACACCCATGGGGCAGCTACACGATGCATGATGCCCCCAGGACTCGTACCTTGCTTCTTCTTCCAACGACTGGATGGGTCTCGTAATATTGAACGGAGCCCACGGCGCGTCGACCTTGTCGAATATATCGAGAGCAAGCTCCATTCCTTCAACCAACGCGGCCAGGTCGGAGTCACGCCCCTCGGGGAAATAATTGAAATTGATTTCAGGCACATCACGGGGATCGGCTGACCGCAAGGTCACTGTGCCTGCTCGGTTCTGCATCTGCATCTTGACAATGGACCACCAAAAGCTGCCTGGAGGGGCTGTCGCATTCGACCAGCCGGGCCAGAACCCGCGGAACACACCATTGGCGCCACCAAAGAACCAAAGATCAGCATCAGCATTCTCGCTCTGACTGGAGCGCATCAGCAGGCTCAGCATCGGGCCCTGTGTGTACGGCCCGGTGCCGGTCTCCATGAACTCGTCGAAGCAAGGATCCCCAGGCACAAAGGCGGTAGTGCAGTTCTCAAAGGTGTTGAAAAAGTCCTTGGATGCCAGTCCCTCGACGCCAATTTCGTAGTTGTCTTGCAGGTTTGTACCCACGGCCGGCAGAGGAACTTGGACTGGGATGCCAAATTCCTCTAGTTCTGCCTGGGGACCGATGCCGCTCAGCTTGAGGATCTGCGGAGTATTGAAAGCACCGCCTGCTACAATAACTTCTCTCTTTGCCACCGCGACCATGGAACTCCCGCTATCGGCTTCGTTGGATCGAGGGTCAGCTCTGTAGAGAGCAGCCCCATTGAGATACTCGACGCCAACAACGGATTTTACGGCTGTAGAATTGTCAAACAACAGCCTGGTGGCAAGCGAGTTTATGCTGACGGTTAATGGATATTTCTGCGTGCCGTTGGAATAGGTCTCGTCGATTGTGCTTTTGACGTAAGTTCCAGGGCTCGAGCGACGATGCTTCTGGTCATGATGCAGGGTGTGTTCCGTAATGTGGTTCTTTTCAAAGCGGTTCCTATCAAGACTGTTGCCATCGCGATGCAACAGCTTCAACACTTCATCCTTGCTGGGGTTCTGCGAGTCCCCAAGTGCAGTCATTGCCGTGCCAACCACCTCGAAAAAACCGTCGTCGGGCCGAACGATGGAAAGATTGTTCCGATTCGACTGTTACTTGTTAGTATGACGGCACAGAAAGATGCTGGATTGGAATCAAGGAAGTTGCTAGGGCCAAGGATCGAAAGACCTGTCTGAGCGGAATCGCACTTACACCAAGCCAACCAGAAAAACCATGACCCGGCGTGTCTTTAGAGAGAAAATGGTTGCTCTCCAGACGTTCAAAGTACTGTCTCATGTTCTCCGCTTTCCACGAGTTGTCTCCCGTGAGATTCGCGATGTGGTCCCAGTCGTTATCTGGGGGAAGCGCCAGCCCAGCGGCATTAACCATTGCGCTCCCACCAACCGTAGCACCTCTGGGGTACAACATTCCGCGTGCTTTGGCATCTGGAGGCGGGTTGGACCCCACGTAGTATGAACCATTAGTCAATTGCCATGTAAACTTTGAGTCTTTCTGAGCCTCGTCAAGATCAGAGTAGTGGTTGACAAAGAACTGCCACGATATATCTGGGTCCTCGGCTGCAGTGTTTGCCCTTTATTCAGTGTCAGCTTGTTCTTGTTTGTATTCGTTTTCGTACATACATGACTGGAATCGTCGTCAGTGGACTGTCGACATGGTCACCTCCAGCTTCAAGAAGAAGCACCGAGTATCCATGCCTTGCCAAGTTCGCCCTAGGTGGTGTTAGCCAAAGTGCTTAGTGGTATGAAGGATCTGTAGCTTACGCCAGTGGTCCTCCACCGGCGCCTGATCCGATGACAACGTAGTCGTATTCCGGATTTGCTGAGGCAGAGCAGCCTGCTGTTGCAAGGAGGCAAAGTGCCAGGGAACTATTGGAAACCTTCATTTTTAACCAAGTGTAGTCGTGCTTAACCAAATGTGGCTATCGTAATAATCTATTCTTTTTAGTGTATAGAAGTTAGAGTAAGATTCAACTCATCTGTATGATGCTAATATATATAGACATTTTCAATCCCGGTAGTAAACTCGTACCGTTGACATCGACACAGTTGTGACGTTGGAAGATTCCTTCCCGAGAATTTGTACACACGGCCAACTTGGCCGTGGTTACCCATGACCCTGATGGCTCTTATTGGTGACCAGACTAATCCCTGGCCCAACATACTTCCAGATGAGGGAATAACCTAGAGCTTCAAGATCAACATCCGGGGTAAATAAATCTCGACCCTGGCTCGCGGAAATCAGCGTCACGGCCAACATGGCCGAAAATGGGGCAGGCGAAAAGCCAACAATGCTTTACCCCGATCTCGAGACAACAAACTGACTGTGCAAGGAAATGATCTGCAGCTTAATGTTACCGAACATAGGTCAGCTGGTAGTGTATCAGCAATAAATCCCTGAGTTTTTCGCGGCCTCATGCGCAAGGATGGATTCCGATCTCTCCCTATACTACGACAACGGTATCACGGGCACCATAAAATTTTTGTTCCTTCCCCACGTAACCTTGCCAATGGTGGGACCAATACCTCTCTTTACCTACTTACTTACCCCTTGTCCTCATATACTCTAATTTCCTAGCTCTCCAATACCAATGATATTTTGTCCCTCTGATCCAGGAACAACACCCCCTTTCCGTTCTTAACTTCCGGAAAGATGCAAAAGCTATGTAATAAGTGACTAACCATAAATTGCGCATGCTGATGTCCAGCCCCTGAGAGACCTCGATCACTATTTTGTCTCAATTATCATACACTCTACATAAGTAGGGCATATAGATAGACGTGCTTTGCCTTGACAGCAATATAATATGATTACTAACTATAACTATCTAAACAAACAAGATGTAACGAGTCCGGGGCACTGGTAGGAATAAGTCGTGATGATGAGGCTTGAGCCAACACGAAACTTGGCCAAATGATGCAGGCACTCGCACCGTGGGACGACGACTATAGCTGCGGCAGAGGTGACTGACTTATTGCTGTTGTTCGTGGCGTTCCAGTGGTAACTCCTTCTCAAGGCGTGAATTTCGGCTGATATCCACCTTCAATAAATCGACATGGACATGACGGATGCCCAACAGCCGATGGTGTCAAATCCTGTTGAGCTAATTCTATCAACACCTGGTTACATCTAGCTATACCACTGTCGATTACCCTATATCACTTGAGAAACTCATCTTCTGGCTAAGCAGCACGAGGTATTGGCAATGTCGCCAGCTACGTCGTTACATTCACGGCGTAGGCCACCGGGCGATGAAACGCCAATGCTTTGGTGATCTGGCTTCAGATGAAATTTAATGCCATCTATCACATAGTTAGCCAGGCCGGTAGTTGCCGGTCTCTTATATGTTAGATATGGATCAAGTGACAATAAACCAATCATATACGAGCCTTGAGGAATGGTAGAGGCTAGGACTGGGCTTACGATTGTATTGTTTCGTTTCTGTTATTTCCCATAATTTCGCTTCTATAGCCTCGTTTTCGGCGTTTCAAAAGTCTTTTTAGTATCATGATGACGTGAAATACATATAAGCGTTAACGGTCATCCCTGTTTGGAGATTTCAGATGGGATATATATCCAGTTTGTTGTAATAAGTTATCACGCCAAGTCACTTGGCATTGTCAAATCCATTCTCAGTCGAGCACACTCAAGGTCTGGCTTGGGGCATTTTACTGTTGATGAGTGCTCTATTCGCCTGTAAGACTAAAAGGGCCGCTGTCCCACTCGTCAGATTGCTTAGTTCATCAACACATCCATCTAAATCACGGAATAGTTCAAGATTGGGAAGAGCCGAAGTAATAAATTAGTGGGAAACCGCATTAACATGGCCCCAAAGGTCCAGCCGCAGCCGTAGCCCAACGGCGATATTATCCTAGCCCAGCATGACCGCAATCGGTAGTAGATATCACATATTCGCAGCTACATTACATTCATTAAGGGCTGTATGCAACTATGAAACATTATACTGTAGGGGTGCATCTTTTTGGAATCTCTCCCTGTAGGTAGTCTCGGAAACCCAGGGACCGGCTTGTAAATAGCAGGGCTCGCAAATGCTCCAGCGATCCCAGCCTCAGACAACCATACCGTACCCATTATTTGTGGCTAATAATAAGCACGGCGATGGGACTTTTAGCTTGCCCCTCCCACTTCTTGAAACGGTGGGGAGTCATTCGGTGAGCCACTTTCGGCAGCTGGTACGTGAAGACATAAATATACGACCGATTGTATGAGGACGAAAAAATACACCCCTCTGAGCCCTCTGATCGAGGCCATTTACGAGGCCCACCTGCTTTCTTTTCACGCTTGCTAGCCAATTGCTTGGATCTGCAAGGACTTATGGCAATGCCGACTACAACAGACTCAGAGCATGAGGGCGATTATCAAGTTGTCTCCAAAGACAGTGTTCCTGCCCCCCCAGCAACGCAAGCAGGCGCAACATGGCAAAAAGAGCTCGACACAGTTCAAAAATGGCTGCAGCCAACGGACTATAATTCTCTCGGCAACGAGTACATGAAACATTTACACTCGTATGTTCCAGGTACGGGGTCTTGGGTGCGGGAATCTCCCATTTACAGCACGTGGGCCGGGTCAAGACCACGCAGCGAAGCGCAGCATGGGATTTTACATGTTAGGGGAGTTGCTGGCAGCGGCAAGTCAGTCCTCGCTGCCAGCATCATATCCCAGCTTCGCGAGGAGGAGCCGAACACTCCTATGCTTTTCTTCTTCTTCCGACAAATCGTCGAGAAAAACCACAGTGCAAAGTACCTTGTCCGAGACTTTGCTTCCCAGCTTCTCCCGCACAGCCAATCCCTTGTCTCGAAACTATATCCGATGTCTCAGGAGCGGGGTGTAGATGGCTTAGAGCTTAGCTCTTTGTGGGATGCCATACTGCAAACACTCGAAAGTATATCACGCATCTACTGTGTTGTGGACGCGTTGGACGAGATGGATGATGGGGATTTTAGCTTCATTCATCAGCTTGTCCGCCTCGGGGCTCTTGATCCCGGCCGAGCCAAGCTACTTTTGACGAGCCGTCCCGTTTCTAAGATCGAGGAAGCGCTTAGAGATCCGCAGATCCTGCGTTTCAAACTGGAGACATCTTTAATTGATCCGGATATCGAAAAATACGTCGGTGTGAGCCTCATTTCCCTCGACCCGTCGCTGCGACCAGAGACAGAAGACCTGGTGAAGAAGACCATTTGCAAATGTGCCCAGGGCCTATTCTTGCACGCGCGACTAGTGACTGATAACTTGACCAACGGTCTCAAGTATGGGCGTATCACTGAAGAGATGCTTCCAGAGTGTTTGGAAAGGTTACCTCAAAATTTGAAGGATGTTTACGAGCAGATGTTGGCAGGCCACGCGCAGAGAAGCGGTGTGAGCACAAAGCAACAGGCTCATATTCTCATGTGCGTGACTCATTCTTCCCGGCCCCTGGGACTGATTGAGCTGGGCTCCTTAGTCTCCAGTTTCATGGGGTTGGATAATCTCAAAGAGGGTAAGGATCTGGTGCGAGCGAGCTGCGGACCGTTGCTTGAAATATTGGAAGACCAGACTGTGAGCGTCATCCACCATTCCTTCACAGAGTTCCTTCGCGACGGATCCCGACAGCAAACCCCTGACTCATTCCCAGTCCTGAATTCTCGATATGCACATAGCATGTTGGCAAGACTTTCCCTCCAATATATGGATCGCTGTCCATTGCTGGATAACAATACAGACAGGCCAGATGACTATTCTTGGGATGACGACGATGACTACAGAAAAGAAAAGGCAAGCCGCCATCAAGCGCTACAGGATATGAACGTTGCTCGACCACTTTTAAATTACTCAGTAGAGAATCTCAACTACCATCTCGATAATGCAGAGCCGGAGGATACGCAGTTGTTGGATACAATCTCCACCTGCCTCGCTCCTGGGAAACCTGCTTTCAGGGTCTGGATGTATCACTATTGGCAATCCCGTTTCTGTAGCTCTTTCACTACAGTTCATCTTGCAGCCTTTGCAAGCATGCCGTTGTATGTCATGGAGCACTTGGGGCCAAACGACACAAAAGATTCAGACGGCCGGACACCTCTTTCTTATGCCGCGGAAAAGGGCACCGCAAAGACGGTCAAGTTTCTCCTGAGTCACGGTGCTGACCCAAAATCACATTGTTGTTATGGATCGACCCCGCTTCACCTTGCAGTCAGAAAGGGGCCCATTGAGATTGTTCAGCTATTACTAGAGGCGGGTGTGAGTCCACTCATCCAGGCGACAAGACCGGATCGGTATGACGAAGATGATTTAAATGATTCAAGTTTTGGCAACACCGCTCTGGAGTATGCCTTCACTGGCAACCATGAGGCTATCATCGAATGCTTCATGCCTTTTATTACCCCTGATTACGCAAATAGATGCCTGCACTGGGCTCGGGGAACCAAGATCGTCGAAGCTATCTTGAAGGCTGGACATGCTGATGTTGATTGTTTCGCAGGTGGCTATACTAAGTTATTCAGGGCTACCACTGCTTATGACTTTGAGACAATGAAACTTTTGATCCAGCATGGTGCAGATGTGAATAAACGGTGCAGTGGAGGCCGGTACGAGAATGGCATTTTCAGTCTCACGGTTGATAATCCTCGAGGCCCAATGCCCATACATGCTTTCGCTGGCTATGAACAGACATTCGCTCGTGGCTGTAGCGATGCAGAGAACGCGGAAAAGTGTCTTCGACTCCTTCTTGATGATGGTGCCGACATCAATGCAACAACTGACGGAGAAAAGCACACATACCGTGGCCGAGATGGGAACTTTACACCATTGTTCTACGCCGTGAAGAAGAACACAAACGGTTATTTCTTCGGCGTTATCGACAAGACCGGGGAGAAGCTTGCTTCACTGCTTCTCAAGGCTGGCGCTGATCCCAACGTCAAATCAACTTACGGATATGCTCCCATCCATGTTGCGAATCCTGAGTGTCTTCCCCTATTTGACCTTCTTGTTGCTCACTCGGCCGATGTCAATGCAAAAAATAAGAGTGGGAGGGCACCACTCCTGGAATTAATTCAACAGTATCAAGCCAAGCCAGACATCAAAGTATTCGAGAAGCTTATTGAGTGTGGTGCCGATGTCAACACATCTGACGACGGAGGAAATACCGTTTTTCATATGATCCTTGGCAATTTGGAAAAGTTTAAGATGTCCGATGTCCCTTTCTTTCAGCTTCTGCTCCGCTCCGGCGCTGATATAAACAAGCCAAATAAGAAAGGAAACCCACCCTTGTTTACGTACAGACTACCAGAGGAAGCCTCGTGGTCTCCCTATAAGCGGAAGGAAGATGATGAGCCGTTGCTTCGAGCGCTTGTGGAAGCTGGTTTGGACATGCGGGCATACAATGGCCAGGGGGAGACCATACTGAGTAATCTCATCCCGCGATATCACTGCGAGATCAAGTCGGTCGAAAGGTTCATCCGCCTAGGTGCAGATTTTACGACACGGAATAAGGATGGATCAACACTGCTACACGTCGCAGTCAAATCAAACCTCCGTATCAGTTGGATCAATTTCCTTTCGTCACAGGGCGTCGATCCTTTAGCCAGGGACGAAGAAGGGAGAACGCTCATCCACGTTGCCGTTCAACACTGCGATGCTGACGCGGACGGGCGAGCTATTGTTGAAAGTTCAATCGAGCTTGGCGTCTCCGCGGGAGCCAAAGATGGTTTCGGAAGTACGGCTCTTCATCTAGCAAGTAAGAGAGACCACAGGGAAAGGAGAACACCCCGAGGAGATGGACACGATTGGGTGGACGCCATCCTCAAGACCGGGATATTAGGGGCCCAAGATGTCAACGATCGTGATGGCAGTGGTGCAACCTCTCTACACAATGCCGCAGGCGTTTCCGAGTTCACTGTCGCCAAGCTACTCCAAGCAGGAGCAGATCCCACAGCTCTAAACCTTGAAGGTCTCTCCCCACTTCATATTGCCTGTCGCGATGGTCAACCAAACGTTGTTGGACTTTTACTAGCTACATATAAGGAACGGGGTGAGCTTAGGCAGATGATCAATCTTCACTATACCCTCGGAGAGGGAAGGACGGGTCTGCATCTAGCAGCTCAAGCAGGAATCCCGGAGAGTGTTTCTTATCTACTGCACAATGGTGCTGATATTTCTTCGCTTGACAAGAATGGCTTCACTGCACTACATGCGCTGGTTGAGGCGCCACTGGATACTCCATGGCTGGAAGCTCTTGATCTGCTCCTGGAATTTGGAGCAGACCCGAATGTAAGGGCGTCCGTTGAGCAGAAGGGTGTCGGAGCTCTCGATCTGGCCATCAAAAAAGGCCGCGAGGCTATGGTACAAGCTCTTATTCAGCACGGCGCGACGTCTGATAGCAGTACAAATGCCCAGTCTCCGGAGCCTATGATATCAACTGAGACTCTTCAAGATCTTCTTGAGTCTAGAAATTCTCCAGAAATTTTCAGAAAGGTTGAGAAAGTACTCGAAACCAATGACTATGCGACCATCAAAGAGTTTGTCAGGCTTGGCGGGAACTTGATGAGTATGGATCAGTATAGGTACAGGACTGTTCTTCACGGGATGGTAGACCGAGGCAATATCTCCTTGCTCAATTACTTTAGCGATGAAGCATCAAAAGTTCACCAGTCCCCTTGTATGATGAAGGAAGACAACCCGGGAACTTTGCTTGGGGCTGCTTGTGAGCGTGACTTGCCAGGTCTTGACATCATCAAATGCCTTGTTGAAAACGTTGGCCTGGATCCAAACATGCCTTCCGATCGGATAGGCTATACATATAAGCTGGCTAAGGCCACGCCTCTGCACTTCGTTGCTTGCGGGACACATTTCTGGCATGCGGACGCGGTTACGTACCTGTTGTCTCAAGGTGCAGATATAGAAGCCAAGAATATGGATGGGCAGACGCCGCTCCTTTGCGCTATTAGTACACAACATCCAAATGGATTATTGAAGGAACGAACGATCAAACGACTCTTGGATCACGGTGCGGATCCCAATTTCATCGCCGAGAATGGAGCATCGTGCCTGGCGGAGGCTGATAGTGCCGAGGTAGTGAAATTGTTACTCGAACATGGGGCAGACATCTCAGCAACTCCTGGAGTCATGGAGTTTGCGTTAAAAAACATGAATGCCGAGATGGTTCAGGCCCTTCTCAATGCCGGCGCTGATCCGGATTACCATGATTCCCCTGATGGCAGCTACACAGACCACAAAACATCATCACGATATCCCCTGCACAACGCTGCTCGCCTCGCTACCGAAGCAGATCTTCCGTTTGACTGGAATTCCCGGAAACGAAGAATCACTGAAATTCTGCTCCAGGGCGGTGCAAATCCATACGCGTCTTATTCCGACGGTAGCTACGTGCTTCAGGCCATCGTGGAAGAAAAGGGCTTATTGGATCCTTTCCTTAAGCTGGGTAACGTCGATATTGAGAAGAGAGGCCGCCATGGACGAACATTACTCTTGTCTGCTTGCACCATCCTTGAGAAGCCCCATCAAGAAGCCTGGGATGAGCATATGAAGAAAAGATTTCCTCAAACTGCAAACCCCAAAGCCGTGCTCGCATTGCTCGCACGTGGTGCAATCCCGGACGTTACGGACGATCAAGGAAGGACATCCCTTCATTGTCTCTGCACCATGACACATCCGTACGATGAAGATCACAAGCAAGCTTTCGATGCTCTTGTGTCCAGCGATCCTTCGACCATCCACGTGGCCGACAATGCCGGCTTCAAACCACTGCACCGCGCCAGCCAGTTCGGTCAAAGCTGGGCCATATGGAGGCTGGTAGACCTCGGTGCAGATTTGCTAGAGCCTGATCCTGACGGAAACACGGCCCTGCATTTTATCGCGCCCGAGATGGTTGGGGAGAAGTCATCGGCGGCGGCAGCGCAAGCTGAGTTCGAACACCTCCTTGCCGGGGGCCTGAACATCAACGCCCGCAATAAGAAAGGCGAGACGCCTCTCTTCCTATGTATATCGGCCGAATGGTCCGGAACTCGTGAACCCGGCACTCGCCATCCGACTTACGCGCTAGAAAATGATGTATCCCCGAGCGATGTTCTAGATCTGTATATCGGTCGAGGTGCCGACATCTTTACAGCTGACGGCGAAGGCAAAACACTTCTTCATGCTGCAGCGGGTAGGCGAATTGAGGACCTGGATTGGAACGAGGACCAGATCAAACATATGGAGAACGTATTCAAGAAATTGATGGATCTAGGGCTCGACCCGCGGCAAGAAGATATCCAGATGCGAACGGCAATCGACATGGCTGTTGCGAGAGGGCGGAAAGGTATCGTGGACTTTTTCGCGGAGAAGTAGGATGCGGGTTTGATTTCGTTAGGAATTACTCGAGGGCACAAACCATGGACATCGCTTACCAACTGAATGATTCTATTGAAGTAACCAAATACAAACAATCCTTCCCATTGTCAATATTATTGCCTGTGTTGTTGGAAGAAAAGGTAACAAGACACGTCGAAAAACCTCTAAGCCATCTAAACTCTCAACCACCCTGAAAATCGCAAACTCCCCCTCATACACCCGGTATGTTGAATCCGGCCGAATGAATTGTATTTGGATGATTGTTGAAATCTTTGTGCGTACTCGAAAGCGGATAAGGGATGGTGTTTAGCACTTGGCCAAATCAGCCCTCAGTCCCGGGACCTTCAACCCCTTTATCTCACCCTGCTCATTCTCCTCAAAAACCACCTCATCAACTGAAAGACCGGCAAAGCGGAGCTTATCATAGGCGAACCAAGTCTCGCAGTAGTCTTTGAAGAGAGTCGTTTCATTTTTCCCGAGACCCAGAAATCCGATCTGCCAGTTCGTCTCATTGCCAGTGACCGGGTAAAGGCGGGCATCTACGCCTGACGCGCCCTCGCTCTCTTCCGACAGGGCCATCCAAGCATCAAAGACGGACTTGCCTTCATTCTTCCACTCTTCGATTTTAAGGCCTGGCCCACCATCGACACCGAGACGGAGCAGGGAGCTGTTTGGACCCTTGTACAAACCGGCATACTTGTGTGCGGCTTGCTCACGTGCGAGGCCATCGACGACGGGGACAAACTTCTCGATTGCGAGTCCGAGGAGGGTTCGCAGTAGGATATCGCCGCCAGGACCAGCGATGTTAACGGTGAAGCCGATGTTGTACTCTGGGATCACGGCTATGTACGCCCCGTAGATGGCGAAGCTGCCGATCATGGAGTACACCTCCAAGGGCCTTTTGCCGGACGGTCGCTGTATATCCGAGGTTCGAACAATTGACCATGGCATACCAACACCTCCACCGGCTGTAGACGTGGTGAAAGATGTAGGCTTGAGCCACAAGTTTGTCTTGACAGGTGAGAGAAGCTCATGGTTGATGATGCCACGGGCAAACTGAGCCAAGTCATTCGGGGTAGAGAATACACCGGCAGTTCTAGATAAGGTGAAAAATGTTAGCTTGTCAACAACTGAGACCTTTGCTTAGTCGAATCAAATGTCGGGGCCTCTTAACATACCCCTTCCAGTACCCCAGATCAATTGTAGCCCATTCTTCGCTCCCTTTAGGGGCAATGATACGGCTTTCATCCGGAGTCTCATAACCAGATGATGTCATTCCGAGAGGTCCTGTGATCTTCTCTGAAACTATGTCACCCAATTTCTTTCCACTGTAGCTTTCAGCGGCCAGACCAAGGAGGATGAAGGCAAAGTTGCTGTATGCCGGTGTCACCCCAGGAGCCCAAACGCTACTGCTATTCCTCAAGCCAGAGAAGAATTCTTGTATTTATCGTTAGAAATAGAAGCATGGAATTTTTTGTACGGTATGAGGATTGTAATATTGAAACACATACCTTCGCGGGAACAATACTCATGACCCACGCTATCACAAAGAGGATACCAGTCCGGCGTAGTTGCATTAGGGAAGCCCAAGGACTGCAAAACCCCAGGTGGCACACTTGCCGCCAGGTCGAAGGCGTATCCTAATATCGCGAGTCAGTACTGCAATCGCTCTAGTGGGTCGTTTAAAAGCAATGCCACAGAATGAAAACTTACCATCTCTGACAATGCCTGATACGTGCGAAGCAAGCATTCTCAGCGTAATGTCTTTATATGCCTCAACGCCTTCAAGCTCCGGAATGTGTTTCCAAGCAAGATCGTCCAAATTAAGACCGTCCTGAAGCATGGCTGAAAGTGTTGTAAAAAGCTTTGACACTGAGGCGATACGGTAAATGGTATCGCCATCAACGTGCTGTGCCCCTTTTGCGGAAAGGAGATCCGCGGTATGATGAAACTGGAAGAGCGTCTTGGAGGAGGATGTAACGGTGACGGAAAATGATACTGTTGACTTGTTGAACAGATCTCCTGGGTTCTCGACCAGCTGGGTCAGAGTCTGCCCCAGGTTGGTCCCATTGGCGATTGCGTCAGGGATGTATGGTGCAGGAAGCACCTGGCCATTAGGAGGACAATACTGGATGGCCTGAGCAAATGGCATGAGTGCCACTACTCCGGCTATACCAACAGAGGCTTTTCCCTTCATTTTCAGGCTGGCGAATATCTTTTAGTTATGAAGTAAAGGCAGGAAAATATACCAAAGATGTTCTTGTTGTGTAAGTCACGGCTCAGCAAACACGATGCAATGTAAATCCCTTTATATATATCCGTCTGTTCAATGGCTCAAAAATAAACATGATCTTGCAGCGCTGTTTGTGTCCCATTCTGGTCTGATCCACGATGAGGCCCCATTCATACAATCAAAGGCTGAAACTAGCTGCGTGGACAACAATCTAAATTGCACAGCAATCCATCGCATAGTGACTCTACTTTAGTGTAGTAATCATCAAGAGGCAACCGCAGATCACGGCGTCCCGAAAGCGAGAAAGGCTGAGTCAGATACGTCAGCGTCTCTACCAAATTTTGGCGTCATCAATGTCATCAAACAGCGGTTGAGGCTGAGAAGCGGACAAATTTCATAATAACCTCTGATTTAAGCATATGCGTACCACTGTAATAAGAATGGGAACCTTAACATTATTTTTTTAAGGCGAAGAGCTAGTCCTGATTAGACTTGTAACAGCGCGGAGAAGTTGTGAAGGATTCAAACCGCCAGTCTCACCCCTGCGCATACACAGCCACGATTATTTCTCACCTCTCATCATTAGCAATCCAAGCCTGCCGTTGAGGAGAACAGCGCCACAGGGATTCGTCTCGAGAATGCGTAGCCAGCCCTACTAAAAGAGCTACAAACAACGCTTCGTCCCCGAAAATCCATAGGCCCCGCACACTCGCGCCAATATCGCGTGTTCCTGAATCCGGCCATGGTTCGTGTTCCGACTTCAAAGGCTTGCAACACCTGCAGGGAGAGAAAGAAAGGGGTAAGTCGCTCCACCATGCAGCCAGCAATACTGCCGTCGAACCTAGTACATGAATCCTAAACATGGTTTCTAGTGTGATAGAAGGACTCCAGCATGTGGACAGTGTATCTTGGCTGGATTTGAATGTGGAGGATACAGTCGCGATCACCTGTTCGTCCATGCCAAAGTAACGAATGGCCGAAACAAGGCAATATACACCAAGAAAGCTCCACAAGGCGACATTACTCTCCATCCGTCTCTTGAATCCAAGGCCAGGGATGAGAAGTACCTCGGTCTCTACTGGTCTGCTCTTCTACCCGGTTCCCGGACGCTTTCACCAGACGCTCTAGAATTCTCGACAGGGGGGTGGACAACTGTAGCCGGCCAACTGTGTGGATCGGAAAATACACTACGGCAGGCAATCTTGGCCACAAGCTTGTCGATGCTGGGCGACCGGGATAACAACGCCACTCTCAAGCTGAATGGTCTTCAGACGTACACCAGGGCTGTCCAGTCTATGGTGAGCGCTATCCAAAATCCCCGCCAAGGAAACACGGATGGACTGCTTGCAGCGGTCCGCTTTATGATTTACTTTGAGGTGTGTATCAAGATGCTGCCCCAGTGCGTATGTTCCCTGATATGACGAATGCTAAGAGACCTCGAGATTTTCTTCAGCTCGGAGGGAAGCAAATATCACCAAATGGGAAGCTTAGGGAAAATCAAAGGCTGGGTGGGCCATAAAAATGGCGAGATCGCTCTCTACACGTCGAGAGGGGCAGATACCTTCAGGACAGGCTTTGGACATCAATTATTTGTTGATGGAAGATTGCATACTGTAAGTGGGCAGGGTCATTAGAGCAGAGAATTCTCCTAACCTATGCTAGTTGTACGAGTCCATAACACAACGAAAGACGTCTCCATTCAGCACATTCGAATGGAAAACAGTTCCTTGGGAGGCTGAACCCAAAACGGTCAAAGATCTCATGGTGGATTTTATGACTGGTATTCCGGGCTTGCTTGAGGATCTTGACAATCTAAGATCAAATTATAGCGAGGCTCTACAACAAGAGCTCCTTGATAAATGCGCCACAATTGAAGCCGAGATTGCGGAATGGGAAGACATAATAGGGTCGCCTCTACAAATGTATGATTACGATTTCGCGGACGGACTATTATTGCTACCAACAGACGATAAAGGCTTCGCGATCCTGCATCTCTGCCAGTTCTATTGGTCTGCATGCTTGCTGTTATATTCCACAATATGGTTTACTCAAACCATCATACCTCTTTCCCAATCTCAGCGAAGCGAATACGATGCACAGGGTCATCCTGCCACAACTTCATCATGTGCCACTGGCATCTCGCTTGTAGGGTCCCAGTCTCTCAGAAACCGACATTCCCGTCAGACAGCGCCGACAGCCTACGCATTTAAACTTGCGCATTCGTTCTACTTAGGGTATCTCCCCGGGGCTGGAGCTCTGGGAAGTCATTGCTCCACATTCCCTCTCATGCTCACACTCTCTTATCTCACCATGGCTGAGGGATTGGGGCTTCACTGTGCAGAGAGACAAATGATAGAGAGCATTTTTGACATTCCGTTCTTGGGGAGCCATGTTGGTCAATTCTCCAGAAAGATGTGGAATGCTATGCCAAGAGATGATGGGGGGCTTTATGATAGTCATGCTTACTGGTGGCGACATGGCTTTCAGGCGACGACGGAATGAGCTAGGAAAAGACATTGTCGGATATTCTTTTAGCATTAACATAGACTTAGGATACGAGCGAGCAAATACATGTATGTTCTCCCAGGTCCAGTCCCGAAAAAAAAAAAGGTCATGAGCACACAGATTTAACTCCAAGAGGTGTGTAACTGCTGCCCTCACAAATAAAGTTACCCTCGTCAGCCTAGAGCTTCATACAAAAAAATCTTTGCCGGCACAATGCTTTCGCTATACTCTTTCTGGTGCTGTAATTGTGGACTGTCATCAAATTAGTTTTGGACTATGCAGCATCGTCCCAATACGCCATTGCCCATACTGACTTGGAACGTGATCCTCGAATCGTCCTGTAATATAACATCGAGGGAGCTGATCATGTGTGCAAATTACCCCCGCCACCTTGAACTTCAACCGGAAATCCAATACCGAAATGAACCTTTGCTCTAAATAGCTCATCTGATCAAAGTCACTCGTGCCGCCTTTATGATCAAGTCTGCCAATGGGTACTGATCTCGGCATGAGCCTGCCGGTAGCATCGAAGCTGGAGAACCGCATTCGCATGATTGAATCCTCTTCACAAGTGCAGTAAAAACCCACCATCCGTTCTAGATCTTGGTCGTTTGGTGGCACAGAGACTGATAAAGGTAGGTTACCAAAGGCTCAAAACTACGCCCACATATCCGAAATCCTATGACTACTTGCAGCAGCTGACTTTAGAGCCGTTCCATTGAAGTTACATGTCACTGACACCTCCTAGTTTTAGTACCACATTATGGGGGAAAAGGCGGTATGATGCCTCTTTAGTTACATCGTGAGCACCATGTGATATGCTGTCAACATGAAATGTCTCCCTCTAAATAACGAACAGACAAGGTCACATTACACTAGGTAATGTAACTCAACTATTCAGAGATTTTGATTCTCATGCCATCGCTTGAGCGTCATCCTCAAAATTTAGACTTTGCAGAAAGCTAAAACTCGACCCAATCACCTTATTATGGTTAAATCAGAAAATGCTATCAAATAAGTCTGGTCAGACAAGATAATATCTGATTAGATAAGTGAACGTGAAACAAACCGAAGTTGCGACCGGGGTTCAGATTAATATGGCAAGCATGCCTTACCATACAGCAATGTAACGTGGGTAGGTCATGCCAATACATCCTACGAGACAAAAGTCTCACTCAGCCCGGCAAAAGAGTCAATCCCGAAATGACAGCCAAGAAATGCGGTCCCACCATGCCCGAAGGCTGTCAGCTGATTCGGTCCTCTCACTCTCTCAATGGGCCTAGAACATACCGAACTCTCTTCTGTGGTTAGGCAACCGTTGATCGTATGATAGGATTATCCTCAACCCCTGTCTTTCCCGTTGCTCCAAGCGCGGGCCTTTTAATATCCTCGTTTCCCCACGAGAAAATCTGACTTCCGATCAATTCGACTTCGATTTTTCAACAGTGGACCTGCCTAGAGAGACTGCTGAAATGCGCATCGCATGGAGTAAATCTCCGTCTTGAGGAGAATTGTTGTCCCTCGCGCCAAGCTTATCCAACCACGGATCTTCCTTATCCTTCTTTCCCGTTACTTCTTATCCATGTTCATCGCGATGAAAGCTGCATTAAGATTCCTGGGCGTGGCCAGCCTCATCGCGGGTACAACCTACGGCAGAGCAATTCAGCAAACGCTTTCCGACTCATCCGGAAATCTCGAAAAAGGCTTGCAGACTCGTGACGTAACCTTCCCGTTGGCCAGCAGCGATCAAGTATTGCTCGAAGAAACCCCCTTTAGTTCCGGCATGCTTGGTGGAGTAAAAGACATTCATATCCTCCGCTACAAAAACGTCAGGGAAGGCGAGCGCGTCCAGGGCGGTCAGAAGCTGAGAATCTTGGGTGTCGGCGACTCCATCACGGTGGGATTCTTGAGCGATCAGGACGGTGGCGATGGAAGCGGATATCGACAAGCGTTGCGCGACGATCTTTCCAGTAGGCATCTTCCTTGTTGTACCCTCATCCTTGATTAACATTTATTCCCTCAGGAAATCAAGTCGCATTCGCTGGAACAGAGTATATGGCTTCTTCGTTGAAGGATAACTACTTTGTAAGTCACCGCTCTTCGCCTGTCGATACATCCCAGAGTACTGATTCAATCCAGGCTGCATGGTCGGGGAAAACAATCAAGTATATTTCAGATAATGTTGATGCCTCCCTCCAACAACAACCAAACCTCGTTCTCTTAAGCGCCGGGACAAATGATATGAATTCAAAGTCATCCATCTCCACAGAAGGCAACGACCCTAAAAAGGCTGCAGAGCGAATCGGTTCTTTGATCGACAAGATCCATAATGCTTGCCCTGACGCGGTCATATTGGTTTCTATGATCGCCAATGTCTGCGATAATTCCGAGTACCATGATCAACACGAGAGGACGAAAAAGTTCCAAAAGTATATTGCCGATGTCGTGAAGATCAGATACGATAGGAGGCAGCCTGTGCTCGCAGCGGACTTTTCCTCGTTTGACACAGGCGACAGCCTTCGGGATTGCGTTCATCCAACAAATCGCGGGTATCAAGTAATGGGAGACTGGTGGTATGACTTTATCGCGCAGTTGCCAAATGGCTGGGTTTCAGAGGCACAGGGCAGCGATCCTCACGAGACATGATTATAACTAAGAATTATTACTATTGATTAAAACTAATGATTCGTCGTGGGCTAAGGTGACATCTTAGCTGAGAGCCTGTTTGCACTTGCGAGGTTATACAGTAGCATCATATTATGCACATGAACTGCCTACATACCTATGTACATATGTACGTTCAGCTGCTTAGCCACAGCTGCGCCACCCATCAACCCTTGCTCGAACAGTGTGGAATGGAGTTGGGGTCAGCCTGAAGGTCAGCCTGAATCTCATCTCTGTCATTCTCCTTTCTTCCTACAGCGGCGCCATTTGTGATGTGTTGAGCCCGAATTCCAGTTGCATTCAAGCGACAGCTTGGGGCTTCCGTCACCGAGGTCACACCATCACATTCATACAATGAAAAAGGAGCATTCAGGGAATGAGGATGGCGACGGGGCCGGTCTGTCTCGTCCCAAGTTTTCCCAGCATGATGCGGCTCAGGAGTCGCAGAGCGGGGTAGAGACGACGCACAGAAAAGATGAGTATGATGTTGCATGGGTTTGCGCGCTGCACATTGAAATGGCAGCGGCCCGTGCTATGCTCGACGAGACTCATGACGGGTTGCCATCAATACAAGATGACACCAACAGCTACGTTCTTGGGAGGATTCAAGCACACAACGTCGTCATCGCTTGCCTACCAAATGCCGAGTACGGAACCATCAATGCGGCTCACGTGGCAAATAACTTAAAGCACACATTTCCCGGCATCAAATACTGGTTGATGGTTGGGATCGGAGGCGCGGATCCAAGTAGGCAAGATATTCGCTTGGGCGATGTCGTCGTTGGAACCAGAGTAATGCAGTACGATTTGGGCAAGATCGTCAAGGGCGAGATAAAGACCACAGCAATACCAAGATTGCCTGACCACTGCCTGGGCACGGCCATCTCCAACTTGCGGTCCAAACATGAGCTTGAACCACATCATATTCCCTCCATCCTGCAGGACAAGCTGGGCACACATCAACACTTCCTTCATCCAAACCTACCAGATCGCCTATTTCGAAAGACATACGAACATGAGGGAGGAGCATCTTGCGAAGCCTGTGACTCATCAAAGATTATGCCTCGCCGTATCAGAACGTCAAATATCCCGCAAATACATTATGGCGCTATCGCGTCAGGAAATCAGGTAATGAAGGATGCCTGGACAAGGGATAAAGTAGGTTCAGAACTGGATGTCATATGCTTCGAAATGGAGGCTGCCGGTATAATAGGCATCCTTCCATGCCTGCCGATACGAGGAATATGTGACTACGCAGATAGCCACAAGTGCAAAGAATGGCAAAGGTATGCTGCAGCTACCGCATCCGCCTATGCAAGGGAATTACTCGAGGTTCTGCCAAGTTCCAATGTCTGTACTCTGGCATCTTCTCACTCACGCACCGGTAAGCTCAACGGCCCGCAACCACTTCGCATATCCTCGCTAACCACTAATCGGGATTCAAGGCCGTCCGAAGGCCCTTGGAAAGTACCGTCGCAAAAAGCTCCTCGGTTCTCTCAAGTTCGAACAGATCGAATCCCGGAGATTGACTATCAAAGAAGCGCATGAAAAAACCTGCCGCTGGTTCCTCAGCCACCCATCTTACAAAGCCTGGCTTGACGCCTCGAAACTGAAACAACATCATGGGTTCCTATGGGTCAGCGGTAAGCCTGGCGCAGGGAAGTCAACCTTGATGAAATTTGTCCATTCCACAATGACTGGCGATCAGGTCATTGCATCCTTCTTCTTCAATGCCAGAGGAGAATCTTTGGAAAAGTCGGTATCCGGAATGTACCGGTCACTACTACTTCAACTTCTAAAAGGTTACCCCGACCTTCAGGAGGTCTTGGACGACCCTGAGCTCATGGCCAATGTATGGAGCCAGGACTCGGCTCTCCAGAAAGTGCTGGATAATAACCCTGAGCTCAGAGCTACTTCATCAAGCAAGGATTCTTACCGTCTTTCCCTGGATACTCTCAAAAACATCTTCCGAGCCGCGATAATGAAGCTTGGCAGCCGTCCTTTCACCTGCTTCATCGACGCTCTTGATGAGTGCGATGAACAGCAAGCAATTGAGATGGTATACTTCATCGAAGAGCTCACCATACAATCTACTGATATTGGAGTGCCCCTTCGTATCTGCTTTTCTAGTCGCCATTACCCGTACATTAACATAAGATGGAGCATTCGGGTGACACTCGAGGCCCAACCAGGACATACCGACGATTTGATGGACTACACCAAGAGCAGTCTGCGCATTACGAACCCTCGACTAATTAAGCAGTTACAAAAGGACATCATAGACAAAGCTGCCGGGGTGTTCCTATGGGTCGTGCTTGTTGTTCATATTCTCAATGACGAGGATAGACGAGGTCGGCCAACGCTCCGAAAAAGGCTCCAGGAGATGCCCAGTGGCTTGACCGAGCTCTTCAGGGACCTTGTGACAAGAGACAAAGATAACATCGAGGACTTTGTTCTCTCTACTCTATGGATTCTTTTTGCAAACAGCCCGCTTCGACCCAACGAGTACTTTCACGCTCTATGGTCTGGACTCTATCTGAAGGGCTCAGCAGATACAGAAATCCCGGACACGTCTCTTTATACAGATGAAACAGCTATTAGATATGTCACCAGCTCTTCCAAAGGACTGGCTGAGATAACGAAATCCTACGCGCCAACCGTACAATTCATCCACGAGACTGTTCGAGACTTTCTCCTCAAACACAATGGCCTCAATATCCTTTGGGCTGAACTTGGATCCGAAAGAGAAAGTCCATGTCACGAGAGGCTAAAAGAATGCTGCGAGGCTTATCTCAACCACTCCGCCATCCACGAGCTCATCTCCGAGACAAAAGGCATGAATATCAGGAAGGGATCTGAACGCTTCCCGTTTCTGGCTTACGCTTCTCAAAATATCCTGTACCATGCAGACTACGCCGCAAAAGCCATTCCCCAAGATGCTTTTGTGAAAAATATTGAGCTCTCTCAGTTGGCCATAATTTTAAAATCGCTGGGGCGATACGAATATGAAGATTACATTGTCAAAGGAAAAAAGAAAATTCTTCTCTCTATTCTGGCAGATAGAGATTGCCCGGAACTGATTCGTACCTTGATAAAATGCGAACCAACATCTGAGGTTTATGGAGCGCAATTCAAATATCCTCTGTTTACTGCTTTCAAGAGGAACAACAAGAGATCGATTGTCGCTCTGTTCGGTTTATCAACATGTATTTACAATGGAGTCGACATCACAGCTGGCTTTGAGCATAAGCATACACAAATATTCTCTGGTCAGACGCCGTTAACATGGGCAGCCAGAGAAGGAAGGGCCGAGTACATAGCCCTGCTTCTTGAAAAAGGAATCGACATTGATGGAAAGAATAAGTACGGCAACACAGCACTTTTAGAGGCCTCGCGTAAGGGCCATGAAGGGATCGCACGGCTTCTACTTGAAAAGAAGGCGGATGTAAATTCGACTTCAAAAATTGGCTCTACGCCACTCATCGGGGCCTCAGGATACGGTCATGACACTCTGGTCAAGCTCTTAATAGAGAATGGGGCCGATCTAAACGCTACTGATGACGATGGCTCTACAGCCCTCATACAGGCTTTGAGGGATGGTCATGAAGAGACTGCTAAGCTCTTGATAGAGAATGGGGCCAGCATAAATATTACAGGTACCTAGCCATGGTTCCACGGCTTGTCTGCAGGCTGTTAGCTTCAGTGATAGACTACTGCTAGGTCCTTGACATAAAGGCTGTGAGAATAGGTCTGTTCTTACTAGGAGAGTAATAAATATAATAGCTAGATAGATACCCCTTACCTTAAATACGCCCTGACTAGCATTGAATAATAAACAATCAATCAATCACAGGTTATTATCAAAGCCAGATTGCAAATAGCACTGTTGGATAGTGCTTCTGATTAAGGCCATACCATCGCTATCGCCTTCGAATACCCAGTATCCCTTCATCGGCTTTTGTGTGGTTGGGTCAAGTCTCTGTTCTGGTGGTTTAGGATATCTGCTATTCATGATAGGCTCAGCTGAAACCATCCTGCCATTGACATCCCGCCAGATCTTGATATTTTCCCACGCTCTTTCTTCCAATTTCTTTCCAGTAACACAAAACTGCAAGGACTCGTGTATTGAATCAGGAAGGGCAATCGCGCATTCACGCAACCCTGCACAATTTGCAACGAGTTAGTCAATCTGACTTAGAATCTCATAACCCGATACCCACCCATGGATCCAATATCGCTCCGTGGGGTAAAAAGAGATGTAAAGACGTTTCAAAGACGGGAACTATCTTTGCAGTATTGTCAACAGCTTTTCCAAGTGCCCTCCTCGAAGTTTACGAGGTGATGAATCTCTTTGGGGTAAGGAAAAGTACAAAGGCAATGAGAACTCCAGCGCGGGTATCATGACGAGCGATGATGGTAGAAGAAGCTTGTAGATATTTGATATGAGAAATTCACTAATTATTTTGAACCATTCACGCTATATAGGGTTTCAGTGCTTCCGCAATATCTGTATATCCAAAATTAGCGTCCACATTTCCCCTCGAGAAGAACATGATACATACGCTTGGCCACAGCTCAACAACCAAACCATCCCATGATTCCAATTTGACAGTTTTGAGACAGTTCGCCTGATGCGCTGCTAGCTTACCATTTCAACCACAACATAAAATCTTATTTGTAACGCTTGTTTATCACTAATAGCAGGATCAGCCTCATGAGCGACGTTGGTGGTGTTCTCACGTGCAGGTGCTTGACCATGCATGTCAGCATATACGTGGCCTTGCCACGTATCCAGCCAAAATTGACGCAGCCAAGCATATTGTCAGTGAGAACTTGAGACGGTAAAACAAAGTGGTAGCAAGAGCACCCCGAGACGTGTGCGACAAACAGCACCCTGAGATTATCGAGGTCCGGTTTTTTCTTGTAACAGAGTTTTGATTCTACGGAACTTGGCCAAACGTGTTAGGCCCCCCATAAACCGCCGACTGACATATCGTCAAAGACAAGAAACTCACAAGATGTCGGATGACAAGACAACTATCCAGGAGGTTCATCAGATGTTCACTTCCATGCTGGAGGATGACATGTATCGCCCACACGTACTCGAGCTCCTTGCCTCCAATTACTACGCCAAGTTCAAGGCTACGGGCGCGGCTCAGCATTTCGATTCAGCCGTTACGTTGTACCAGGAGGCGATGGATTTAATGCCGGAGAAGGAGCCTAATCTCGCCCATATGAAGGAGGCCATCAGCGTAGATTGCTATGCTAAGTACGAAGACACCGGCGCGAGCGCAGATCTGGATTCAGCCATCCAATGGGCTGTCAAGGCTGTCGATTCAACAGAAAAAGAAGACCCGGAGTACGGACATCGACGCGATCATCTTCGGAAGTGTTATGGCGATAAATATAGCGTCACACACGCAATCGAAGATCTAGATGCAATCATTTTGTTAGCCCAAGAAGCGGTTGATTTGGCAGCAGAGGATAATCCGGCGTGTGGGCTTTACTGCCAAGACCTCGGAGTCCAATATATCGATCGATACCAGCGAATGCGAGTGATAGGGGACCTTAATACGGGTATAAGATATTCAGAAGAGGCACTCAATTTGGTAGACACGGATGATCCAACGAGACTTGATGTCCTGTATTCTCTCGGGGCTGGATATTTGGAACGATACGATACAAGTCGAGACATGGATGATCTACAGACAGCTATTCAACACCATCAAGACGTACTTGACACAGTCTCAGAAGACTATCCCTACTATCTCAAACTGCTTGAGTCTCTTTCGGCTGCATACCAAAGAAGATACCAGGCAACGAAGGAGATAGACAGTCTCGAAATGGTTAGCAAATTATACCAGGACCTACTCACACTTGATCCACAAAACGATTCAGAACGTGGAGGTCGACTTTGGTACATTGGAAACTTTTATAGACAGAAGTACCATACGACTGGTCAAGTGATGGAATTGAGTACATCCATAGAATGGCTACAGGATTGCGTTGACTCAACACCAGAGAATCACCCCAAACGGGCGGAACGACTTGGAGATCTTGCAGACAGCTTCCTCGATTTGTATCGAAGAGAAGGAGAGACATCGAATCTTCATAAAAGCATACAGCTAGGTACAGACGCGCTTAGCTTCACCTCGCAAAATCATTCCCTTCGGGTCCATATATCGGGAATCATTGGCCACGCATACAGAGAAATATATGAAGCCGGCGGCGAGATATCAAACCTAAATACAGCGATCCAGTTTTATCAAGAAGGTTTAGATTCAAGGCCCCAAAATCTTCCCGTAGGGGTAGAGGAATTTCAGAATATCGGGACGGCATATGCTCATCGGTATGGAACGACAGGAGAGATGTCGGATCTGGAAACAGCCATTCATAATATGCAAAAAGCCGTTATTCTTACCCCGAGAAATAGCATTTCCTTGAGTGGCAGACTGCAGAATCTCGGAACTGCCTATCAGACGAAATACCAACAGACTGGAACAGTAGCGGATCTGGATGTTGCTATGCAATATTACCAAGAGGCTGTCGACGTGGGACCGGAAGGACCCGTCTACCGAGCCGCTCTATTACAGTCCATTGGAAGCGGATATGGAGATAGATATCAAAAGACACGAGCAATGGCGGATTTGGATAGAGCTATCCAGTCATTGAAAGAGGCTCTTGACCTTACGCCAGACGATCATCCCGAGAGAACACTAACACTTCAAGATCTGGGAGCGGGATACGGTGATCGATATGGAAGAACGGGGGAAAAGTCAGACCTCGAAACAGCGATTTTCTATGCCAATGCTGCTCTTGATTTAACTCCAAATGGCCATGTCCGGAGGGCATCCCGCCTTAATGGGCTTGGGGCTAACTATCGATCGAAATATCTTAAGTGGAAGGACGAAAGCGACCTGGCAATAGCTATACGAACATATCAAGAAGCAGCCGAGCTGTCACTGATCACTTCCGCGGATAGAATCGACGCGCTTCTCGGCCTTGGTTCTGCTTACTATAATAGGTACCAAATCACAAAATTGATGCCAGACCTAGAGATGGCGATCGAAAGGTATGAAGAGCTCCTTGGTTTGACACCGGAGGGTCACTCTGATAGGGTTTATCCCCTTCAAGGGCTCGGTATGGCATACCATGAAAGATATCGAGAGAAAGGTAGGGGAGAAGATTTAAGTATGGCCATCCAGAGCTGTCAAGATGCTCTTGATCAAGACCAATCAGCTGTTGTACAGCGATTAATATCCATCAGAAATCTACTAGATCTGTATACGCAAGCCAAGGATTGGTCATCAGCGTGCAAAGCAGCTTCGACCGCAACCTCTCTAATACCACGACTTACATCTAGATCTCTAGAGAATTCGGATAAACAATTCCTTCTTGCAGAAATGTCCGGCATTGCTTCTGAAGCAGCATCCTTTGTGCTTATGATAGGTCAATCCCCATACGAAGCTTGCAGGCTTTTTGAACTTGGCCGGGGAATAATTGTTGGCTCTTTAAGAGACTTACGGGGCGACATATCGGATCTTGAGGACAGTTTCCCTGATATGGCCCGCCAGTATGTTGAACTTCGCGATCAGCTCGATATAGCAACATCTTCCACGCATTATTTTCCAGTAGAGGACTCTGTCGCACCGGTGCATCGAAGCGACCAACGGTACTATGCAGGTCAAAAACTAGAGAAAACGATTGAAGATATTCGGAGCCTGCCGGGTTTCGATCGGTTTCTTTTAGGCCCTACAGAGGATGAAATGAGACAGGCTGCAGCGCCGGGTCCGATCGCCATTATCAACACAAGCAAACATCGCTGTGACGCTTTAATTATCACTAGAGATAAGCTTGAAGCCTTGCCACTGCCCGGCCTTTATTACAGCGACATTCAAGCCCGCGCGGCTCTGAAGACTGAATCAGTTGATAGAGAAACGCTGGAGTGGCTATGGGACACGGTTGCGGAACCGGTGCTTCGAATGCTAGGGTTCTCCAAAAACCGAGACTCCCCCTGGCCCCGGATATGGTGGATTCTCACTGGGCCGCTTTCCAAATTCCCGATACACGCGGCAGGGTACCATTACTGTGGTTATGACACGGTTCTAGACAGGGCGATCTCATCATACAGCTCATCGATCAAAACTTTGACGGATGGGCGCAAGTGTCAACTTCAGGAGGATGCTTCCATTGGGAAGGTAGTTCTTGTTGGCATGGAAAATACTCCAGGCCAGATGAACCTTCCATATGTGCCTGAGGAGATTAGAAGACTTGGCCAGCTCTGCGAGTCGATGGGATTACAAGTGAGCAAGCCGCAGTCGCACCAGTCCGAGGTCCTCTCTGCTTTGAATAACTGTACAATCTTTCACTTTGCAGGCCATGGACAGACCAACCAATTTGATCCATTGAAAAGCGCGCTGATCCTGGGAGATGAGTCCCTGACGGTCGAGAGGCTCTTTGAGATGAATCTTCATCATAAAAACCCATTTCTTGCCTATCTCTCGGCCTGCGGTACTGGGCAGACCAAGGACGATGACCTTGTTGATGAAGGGCTCCATCTTATGGCCGTCTGCCAACTTGCAGGCTTCAAACACGTCATTGGGACACTTTGGAAGGTAAATGATAAGTCTTGTGTGGAGATAGCAACCAAGACATACGAATGGATCCAAGCGCATGGGATAAGCGATCAGTCTGTGAGCGAAGGTCTCCATCATGCATGCAGAAGCCTCCGCTCCGAATGGGTTACAGAAAACAATGCAAGGGGCGTTGCTCTGCAAAGGGCACAGATCCAAGATGTTCAGGGCATCCAACTTTCGATTAACGCAACGAGATCACATCGCGCCACAGAACGAGACGTAAGAGATGCTGAGTCGTGCGAAGAAACACCGCTTCATTGGGTCCCTTATATACACTGTGGAGTTTAAGCTGTAATGTAGATAGCTTCACACCCGGTGCCCAACTTATTCACTCAATGCATGATAATGAGAGACGCATGACGATGATCATACTCTGCTTCAGCCCAAGTGTGGGTCAAACCAATTCTGAAGAACGGCCGAATCTATGTGACGGGCTGTGGAAGAGACACACGTCTCGAGTTAGCATCATCACGGGCCACCACATAAACTAACCCAGCAACAGCCCTACATACCGATGGCTTGGGTAATCTAATATACTCATACATTCATGCCTCAAACTTTTGATAATCTCCTTCACTCAGTCGTCCAACATTCTAGTAAGAAGATGTTGGGCATTTGCGCCCATTTCCAATTCCAGAACTCACGATATTCATCCTAGATGAGCGATCAATCATAGGTAGTAACATTCGCGGATGAGGAAACCTGTGAAAAGACTCATCCGTATTTAGTGAAATCCGAATTTATTTCCGGCTGGCATAAAAATGGGGAAATCTGCCGGATACGGTTAGGCTTTGGAAGACAGTCTCTGATTCGCTGTCCTTAGTTAGTGGATATAAACACAACCGGCCAGGAGCAGCGAGCTATCAACAGCTCAAATATAAATCTATCTTGTTATTATTTCCTCAGCTACCTATTTGTTCGGATTTTTGCCAATGGTGCGTCTTGACATGAAAGACAAGTCAGCTTAGATACATCTGTTTTGACTGTGGCTGGCTTGATCATATTCCTCCAAAACACTAACTGCACGTTCTAATATTAGAACCAATGATCAAATGGACAGAACTAAGACAATGGCTATTCTCAACAGCTAGAATCTTCAGATATGAGAGCTATCTTATTGTATTGAAAATATTTACCGTAATTGATATGCATCTTCATTTTATTTTATAATACTTTCTTTCATCTTTCTCAACAAAACTTCAATGTTATCTCAGCTGCCTGGTCTAGGGTAATGTTTCAGGAGGAAGGCCCGAATCCACTAAAAACGCGTGAAATTAAGAGGATCCGGACGCGTGCGCGAAGGACAGACGCGACACAACTTTCTTTTCGTAGAACATTTGATTTGGGTGGCTAAGGCTGATGTGGCGTGCGGGATTGCTCAAATTCCAAGAGCACCTGCATTAGATGAACTCACGTCTTGAATCATACTTACGTCAAGCCTACTGTTAACATGACAGATGCAAACGCCTTGGACCATGTTGTGGTAGGGGAGTGTGAGATGGCCAACGTATTCCGTATGTTTGGGGCATGGTTGACTTCGGCAATGTAGATGCACGCCTTCGTACCAACTCTGAAAGTTTCGGCACCGTTGCCTTGGCACTGTTAGAGATTGGCAGGGATGATGGGAGCGAGTTTGACTTAGAACCCTATTTCGCGCTTCTCAAAGATTACCGGGGTCGGAGGCTGTCGAGGACGACTCTCAGGTAGTAGCCAGCACATGGCCATTGATTAAGCCCATTGCTAGTAGCCAGAGTCCAGATAATTACTGGTGAATGCGGAATACAGCAGTAGATATCAACAACCAGGATTGTACAATGTAGGAACGTGGGAATAATTGGAAGGCAAGTACGATATGGTGCGGGTATTGAAGATGAAACAACGGAATACATAAAACCAGTATTTAAGGCCACTCTGTTCTATTGAACATGGCCTCGTAGATATTTCCATCATCTGTGAGCATCGAGGTTGTTCATCTAGCTCGCGCGAAGTTCAACAATGTGATCAAGCTGAACTCAATACTCTACATATGGACATTCGGGTTGCCATGTGCATTTTTTATAATTACTAATTATAATACCATGCAGCCGATCATTTCAGATAGTGCCGGCTCCTAATTGGAGAATTTACGAGCAGTGTCGCAACCACGACGCCAGTCTTAGAAACTGAAGTATGCCGGGCTGGAAACTCAAAGTGAACTTCAACTTCCTGAGTCAAATTGGTTACGCTTATCACACGAAGGTAGCTTACGGGCATATCGGCAGTTGAATATCATACTCGAAACTCTGCCCTGGGGTCGTATTCTTACTTCCATTTGCGTGCTATGGTGAATGCTACTGTCGATAAGCCAATATATTTCTCAAGGCCCCAATCATTGTGCCGTAAGCGTATATATTACAACGTAGACCTCTTCAAACTCACAATAAGCAAATGATTCCGAGGACATAGCTCGTGAAATGAGCCGGGAGTTTCATTGGATGGATTCTTTCACCCGGTGTAAGCGAATGAATTGGCGGTCAGACTACCAACCCAGCTTACAGTTCAGTCTTTCTCAGTCGCTATTGCTTACATAGAATGTCGGATTTCGCACCATTGCTTACAGCCCAGGAAGGTCATTTGACAGGGAGAGGGCTGCAAAAATCTCTATCAAGCGTAGGGCGAAATCAAGACTGGCTTGGCTGCAACGCAGAGTATCAAAACCAGGCCCTTTCAATGTCCCACTAGCCCGCTCATTCCCTCAACTGAACTAGAATGTTTGCTGCAATCTATGAGTGTTAGGCCCACTTCACTAACTGCCTCTTTTGTGGTGATTTCATAGCTCAGGAGCCTAGACAGTTGGCCCTGTGCCACTTGTCCAGAGCAGCTTCTCGAAACTGTCTAGCGCGAGCTCCTTGAGTCCAGGAGGTCTGAAGCTTTTTGTTTATGCCATTATCGCTCCACACGGGCGATCGACTCCATGTCGATACCGTATTTGGACTCTGCGCGGCCTTAAAATCGGCGAAACTAACTCCGCATACATGCGGCACACAGCCGAGGTGGTGCCACTTCCAGCTTGATTATTCCTTCGTGGGGAATAGCTCCAAGCAGGCCTGGCAAATGTCGAGAAAATCAAGCGGCTAGAAATCTTTCTTTATTTAGGGATTTTACACTTAGAAGGACTTTGCCCCCGCTAACTCCATACAAGGGTAATCATCTTATGAAACACCTAGGTAGGCTGTAGGTGATCCTTCATCGCCACAAAGGATCGATGCTTTGGCCAAGCGTAGGGATAAATAGCATATTGGCGATGGCATTATATCGTTGCGTACAGACTCGAAGCAGAGGTGTAAAAGATTTAGCATTCTTCCTAATCATCGCAGCAGTTTAACCACAATGCATCACGCAGGCCTGCAGCAGGGAAACTCAGGGCTCACCTCGACCTCCTTGTGATGAAAATAGCGGGAGCTCGGAATGTTGACATAAGCTTCCGAAGTCTTGGAATCAAGAAGATATTCGGGGTTTCTTCGCTTTTCAATAATCAAATTAGCAAATTTATTGCCAAACGTGAGACAGCTGATCTCATGTCTGCGCGATATTCAATGTCATGAAGTGATGAGAGAGGCTAATCATCTTTAGTCGTTGCTGACTAGGTACCATCGCGCGGTAAGCTGCATGTGAGTTGCCTCAATCATCTTTCCAGTGTTGTACCCAAAGTTGTTTTGCCGAGCGGTCCGAATCCGCCCAGCATGGGGTATGTTGCATTTGAGCTAGATAAATATCCCTGAAGTCCATATATACCCAAGAATCAGATGGCTTTTTTAATCTACCATTGCAACTTATTAGTTTAGTCATCCGTTGCCCTGAGTTTTGAATGCTGAATTATTGGTGACATCGAATCCTTTTCAGTTTGGACAGTCGCCTTTCTTTCCATGATGAAGTTCAATTTGTTGCCAATTTTGGCTCTCATCTCTTCATCCCATGCATGGCTGCCCTTCGAAGAGAATCGTGAGCCACTACTTGGCCGAGATGGGAGCTCGCTCTTCAAAAATTCCCTCTCCTCCGACGGCAAGCGATGGCTACCAGGATCAACTCCTATTCGAGGAGTCAATCTTGGCTCTCTCTTTGTATCGGAGCCCTGGATGATGACTCCCACCTGGAATGGCATGAATTGCCCTCAGAGCGAGCCTCGCTCCGAGTTTGACTGCATGCTCAAGCTTGGCCAGACCGGTGGCGACGCCGCATTCCAAAAGCACTATCAGGACTGGATTCCGGAGAGCGACTTCGACAAGATGGCATCCTACGGACTCAACACTGTGCGTATCCCGGTTGGGTACTGGATGTACGAGGACATTGTCTATAGAGACTCTGAGCACTTCCCTCGTGGTGGTCTTGCCCACCTGAAGAGGATCTGCGGCTATGCCAGCAACCGCGGATTCTATATAATTCTAGAGTGAGTATCATGCCTGGATAAAGAGAATCGATGATGCTGATATTGGTCGAAAATTAGCTTGCATGGAGCCCCTGGTGCGCAAGTCGCCAACAACGCCTTCACAGGTCAATACACGCCCAATCCCGGCTTCTACCAAGACTATCAGTTCGATCGCGCATACAAGTTCCTTGCCTGGTTGCGACAGGTGGTACATGAGAACACTGAGTTCCGTAACGTTGGAATGTTTGAGGTCGTAAACGAGCCTCTGCGAGAATTCGAGGACTCTGGCAAGACTACCTACATGCGTAACACATTTTATCCGACTGCATACAAGGTACGTAGAACCTTCTCATTTACAGATTACTCTTTCAACTGACCCAAAGCTATCAACTCTAGACAATCCGCGACAAGGAAGCATCCCTGGGCATCACGTCCAACAACTACGTCCACATTCAGTTCATGAATAAGCTCTGGAACTCTGGGGACCCGCAGCAGTACCTCACGAACAACAACTTTGCCGCCTACGATGACCATCGCTATCTCAAGTGGTCGGGTATCTCCCAGGACAAGGACACCTACCTGCGGACCTCGTGCAACGACGATCGCAGTGGCGACGCGGCCCACGGATGGGACTGGCCAGTCTTGGTCGGTGAATGGAGTCTCAGCGCGCCTCTGGATGGAAACCAGGAATGGAACGACTACTGGCGCCCTGATAACAACAAGGATTTCTACTCCCGGTGGTTCAAGGCACAGGTCTTGGCGTATGAGAAGCACGTCGCCGGTTGGATCTTTTGGTCCTGGAAGACTGAGCTGGGCTCCGACTATCGATGGTCTTATAGTGGTAAGTTGGCCTCAACTGTGCATTCGATATGAAAGTAGTTTG